CTAACTCAGTAATTAGCGGTAGTTTCAGAGAAATTGAATTTGTCCGTTTTAGGGGCTCTGTTTCTAATACGAACAACAAGCAAAAAAATGTTCCTAATGCGAACACCCAGCAAAGAACAAGCAAAATTTAAAAAAAATCACTAAAATTAACTTTTTCACTATTAAAAATTAAAAATTTTAAAATAGTTCAATGACAAAAAACGTTCCTTGTTGATCGAGGAGTTTTAATCCAGAGGTTCAGATTTTTTCAAATTATATTGACCGAGTTATTAAATTAAAAAGAAATATCCTAGCTGTTCGAATTAGGATCACTGTACTTAATTCGAACAGTCAGCTAAAAAATGTTCCTAATTCGAACAGATTATACAAAATACATAGAAAAAAAAGACTTTTTTAGTAAATGAAACTTTTTTATGTTTCAAATCAAAAATTTCTTTTTGCTTCCGCTAGAAAAGATGCTTGTTGACCCATTCCGGATTAATATCCAGCGGTTCAACTTAATCTGAAGTCGAACACCATATATAGGTAATACTGGTGAATTTAGCATTTTTTTCAAGACTATATCTCAGCGTCAGAGCATAGGACCAAGCTGAAACTTATGTGGGATGATGTTGGACCCTAAAGATAAATTTTCATTCAAAAAAAATTTTGATCTGACTCTGCAAAAAATAAATTGTTTTGCACACCGGTAGCATCTGATTTTACTTTGCTGATAGTGATATTCAATTTTTTTAGAGTATAATCCTCATCTAGATCATAGTCCATCGATAACATCAAAAAATATTAAACTATTCATGAGATACAATGTGTTGAGGTTTTCATGACAATTGCTACGATATTGCAAAAAATTCAAAACAATATATCACATAAATAGTTTAATACTTTTTGATGAAATTTGAAATTTATCGATGAACTATGATCTAGATGAGGATTATACTCTAAAAAAATTGAATATCACTATCAGCAAAGTAAAATCAGATGCTACCGGTGTGCAAAACAATTTATTTTTTGCAGAGTCAGATCAAAATTTTTTTGAATGAAATTTTATCTTTAGGGTCCAACATCATCCCACATAAGTTTCAGCTTGGTCCTATGCTCTGACGCTGAGATATAGTCTTGAAAAAAATGCTAAATTCACCAGTATTACCTATATATGGTGTTCGACTTCAGATTAAGTTGAACCGCTGGATATTAATTCGGAATGGGTCAACAAGCATCTTTTCTAGCGGAAGCAAAAAGAAATTTTTGATTTGAAACATAAAAAAGTTTCATTTACTAAAAAAGTATTTTTTTTCTATGTATTTTGTATAATCTGTTCGAATTAGGAACATTTTTTAGCTGACTGTTCGAATTAAGTACAGTGATCCTAATTCGAACAGCTAGGATATTTCTTTTTAATTTAATAACTCGGTCAATATAATTTGAAAAAATCTGAACCTCTGGATTAAAACTCCTCGATCAACAAGGAACATTTTTTGTCATTGAACTATTTTAAAATTTTTAATTTTTAATAGTGAAAAAGTTAATTTAGTGATTTTTTTAAAATTTTGCTTGTTCTTTGCTGGGTGTTCGCATTAGGAACATTTTTTTGCTTGTTGTTCGTATTAGAAACAGAGCCCCTAAAACGGACAAATTCAATTTCTCTGAAACTACCGCTAATTACTGAGTTAGTTTTGAAGATAAAAAAATGATTTTTGCATCATTGTATAGAGAAAACATTTCTCTACTCAACAATGTAAAAAAATCGATATGTTTCTGCAGAAATGGTTTTGAAAAAAGAGAAACCTCTGAAGGTGTGTGAATAACTGTTCGAATTACGGACATGCGCTGTATTGCATTCATTCACCTGGGTAAGTTTTTCGAAAATATGAATTTACATCGATTCAAACAAGAAAACAATATGAGAACGTGAAACTTTGAAATCAGTTATGACCTTTCTTTAAGTTAAGATGGAGGTTTTATTCATTGAAAAATGATATGTCTAAAATTTGTCACGCATGTTATTTAAAAAAATCAGGAATAATGAAAGTATAAGTAGGATTAAATTGCGAGATATTTTTGAAATAATGTATTTAGATGCAATATCATCTACTCTGTTGTAGTACCTAATGTGAAACGTGTTAATATATAAATGAATTTAATGATTTATTTATTTCCATAAAACTCATTTTCAAACAAGTAAACATGAGCAATACAGTTAGTTTCGATTATGTGAATAAAAAAATGCCGGTGAACTTTTGCCTAGCTTTAATGCACTTGCTATTGAGTAGCGATGTTTGTTTTTCGTTTCATAATGAATAGAAAAGATACCAAAAGTCAATACAATCAATTAGGTGTTGGAAGTGTGGCAAAATGTTGTTTTGATCAGCTTCTATTGTGTATGGTTAATGGTATGTCTCTATTATGTTAAAAGGTTGTTTCTTGAAAATTGAAAATTGCTTTTTTACTCTTCCATTAACGAAATTCGCTTAATAAAAACACGAGACATTTAAAAACAAGCAGCCACTATTGCGTTCATATAACTTTTTTCCTTTTCATTTCGAGAAACATTTAAATAATAATAATAATAAAACAAAGGCATTGAATCAAGAAAATATTGACTATTTTGTATCAATTTAGAGTATATAACAAATGAGCATTTGTAATAGTATTTGTAATTTATTTTTTAGCAATGAATATCGATCAACCATATAAATTGTACGTTGTCGTAGTGCTGCTTTTGTAAGTTTCTTATTTAATAATTTGATTTTCATATTAAACTGTTTTTTTTATTAAGGATTTTCGTCGAACCAGTGTATAGTATGTATTCAGAGTTTCAATTATTTGATATCCATCAGAAAGAATGAAAAGAATTTTAACTACTAAATATTTAGCAGAGGTGTTCATATGCTACGTTTTTTTCCTATATACTCATGTTATAGCAGGCCAATCATTTCTCGTACTGCTTAAATCTATGTAGAACTCTGTGAAAAGAATATATGCTTCCATTCTTGAGGTCTGCTGCATACTGTAGAATAAGAATATATGAAATAAGAGTTGATAGGAAATGGTTCTAAAAAATAATCATAACAGTACTTTTTCTGTATTTTAATAAATAATATTTCTGTGAACTGGTACATAAAATGAATGACTATCATTCGTCACAAATTGAAATCCCCAGATACATCTCTACATCGTATCCACGCTTGTGGAGAATAAAACAAATATGACCCATTCTGGTGACCAAATAGGGATTTTTCAATTTAGGGATTTTTTTTCAATATACAACATGGCTTATAAATCATAATTCAACACCATCTTCTACCGAAAATCTTTTACCACTGAAACTAAATACTTTGGCGCTAATCATAGTATAGATAAGTACGTTCTGGTTACCAGAATCGTCTTGTATTCCTTTTCTATATTTACTCATATATACGTCTGAAATTCATTTTTCTGTTTCTTTTTCTACTATAGTTATATGTTGAGGGAAGACACTACATATTGTCTGTGTGTGGTATAGGAAAAAAATGTATTCTATAGAAAAGATTTATTTCTGTTGGAATGAAAGTTCTGTTTAGCCTATAGAATGAATAAGAAGAGTGCATGTGTTTAGTTCGTTCTGTGGACCAGAAAATCATTTGTTGTGATAAATTTGTTTCAAAGTCGTCAAAGAAGAACATTATTTTCTAGAAAATAGCTCAAAACACTAGAGCAGCATAGATGGACGACTGCGTGTTGGGTGTGAATACTAGAAAAATAAACTTAAGGGGAACAAACTGATTTCGTGATTTCATTTTATTTCACTTTATTTCAGTTGATTTCAGCTGGTTTCAGCTAATTTCAACCGCTTTCATGGGAGTAGGGACGCACCCTCCAGTCGCGACTCAATCACAGAACATCAGTCCGATTGCGTACTAAGCACTACTGGATATCTAGTTAATTAACCTAGAGTGAATTCGACAATCAGTATTTTTATTTGAAAACACTAAAATTAAGTGAAAAAATGATATCAATCTACGAATTAGTGTTATGCTATCAAGCGCCTTTTGTTCTTCTAGCATAATTTTTTCTTCGATCATTGCTGCACATGAGCCAATCCACATAAACCACGACGGATTCGCACAGAAGCGGTTCAATCCAGGTCGTCATATTGCGCTCAATTAAAGATATGTTGTAAAGGAATGAGTTCTAAGAATTTTGACGCGAACCGTTTAAAAAATATTAATCACTTGATTTTTTACGAGCATTATACGAAAAGTCCTACCATTCACTATATCTAGAAAGCGGGTCCTATTGGAGTCCTATCTCAAGAACAATTCACCTAATTGAGCTGAAATGCTTCAGAGACATATATCTCGGTGAGCCCTATTTATTTACCAAAAACATTTCGTTTTTAAATATTGAATTGTTCGGATTTTATGAATTACTCAATATATGAGAAAAGAAANNNNGGAGTAGGGAAATTTTTCGAAAGATTTTCTTTTTTCATTTTTAAAGAATATTTGCCAGGAAGCTAATAGAGGATCATATGCTAATTTTAACTAAGTAGAATTTATCTTATATAATACAACTCTTCGAGCAATTCCTAAGCTAACCTGGGGACAGTGCCTATAGAAAAGAACCCATCTTTTGGTATATTTTGATAAGTCTCCTAGGGCCATTCTTTGAGATACCACGCTAATTTTTTCGCAGGGTTGTAGCGTAGTGAGAGTACTTCTAGTTTTTACACATCAGCTTCCAAGGAGATCCATTTCTTGGGAGATAGCTTTTTCTGAAAAACCCAGTTTTTGAGAGGACGGTTCTGATCAAACGCAATAATGTTGAGAGCTGAAATTTTTAGGAGCGGTACATCTTTCAGTGCTCTTTTCATAGTGAAAATTTCAAATCCATATCTAGTTCCAAAGAAAAGATTTGAATTAATCATCGAAATTTTCACAACGCCGAGCGTTGAGTAAACGTGAACTATATTGGTTATCTGGTGAAACAGTGCGTGGTATGGAAATTGAGAATTTTGTTGATCATTCAATGATAATGACACAAATATATTCAGGTCGTGGATCAAAATAGTTAATGAGTTGATTAAACTAAATGATCAAATAAAAAATTTCGTATGTTAATTCAACTATATATATATACTTGCACATGAATTATTGGATGATGATATTGTAATGTTTGAATAACCGATGTTTCATTAGAATAAATTCTCGAAATAGCTGTTTGGAAAGATACGGAATACGAATCAAAGTTACGTATTATATTTAATGCCACACTGAAAGTAAACAGCATGTTTTACATTTAAATCTTTTAATGCACTCATAGAACATGATTCTATTACTATCACTTATTTGAAAGAACGGCTGCACATAGTTTATCATAAACATGTATTGTTCGTAGTCCAACTGTAGCAAGTAAACCTAGATCAGCAAGTTCCAAACGAACGTTCTTTTGTAAAGCAAATTCACTCATTTGAATATCATCGTCAATATCTCTTGATTCAATGAACATTTAGAAATAATACGAATACTTTTTTTCATCGAAACCATTCTGTTTAGTTGCATGTTGCTCATGAACTTGTGTATCTTCAATTTAAATAGCAACATTAACAGTATCGGGTAATTTAGCACCTCAACATTGACCTTCCATAAGTGATGTACTAGTCTGAATTAAAAGAGTTTGAATTCACATTTTCTTCTCCAGCATCTGAACGTTCACTATTCACATTGTAGACAACTAATCAACTATCTAGCATTTGATTAACATATTAGTATGTCATAGCTATTTCAGCACGTCGATTTTGAATCAAATCTGTTTCATATTATAGAACTAAATAAAATATAAGCATTCCTTCAACGGAACGAAAGATAACTTGGCTCATGTAAGACAGAATGAATTTCAACTGGAAAACATTGCCATGCGAATAATTGCTAATAATTTCACAATCATCGTTTGTGCTAGACCAGGAATTTCTTTTGTAGTAACTTAACTCGTCGCCTCAAGTAAAAATGAGTCTATGAAATAAAAAAGTACAATCACACATGCTTCTGGTGTAAATATCATCGGGATTGATTCTCGTGCCACTAGTGGTCAATATTCAATTCGGTCGTAATTCATCACACAATTTCAACAATGTTTCCTAGAATTAAAAAAAAGCAGATCAACCTATCATTTAAAAGATAAAAACTACATGCCCTGACATGCAGCTGGTTCTGAATGATCTTTTATTGGATCATCATAACCAGAGGTACTCACTGGAATGAACTAAAATATATGTATAGTCAATTATTCGTTTGAGTCAAGGAATGAATATGTGAAATAAATTCATTTATGCGATAAAGTTACTGAAAATATATAAAGATTTGACCAGAGGAAAATAAATAAGTTCTTATCAAGTACGTATACATGATCATAGAGTTCTTCTAAACAAAAACAAACGTAAGAATAAAACATAGTTGATTGTATAACATACGAAATCGATCCTCTAATTTTTGTGTTTTTCTTTTTCCACCATACAATTCATATAATTTGTTTCTAAGGATTCGAAACCGAATAGAAGTACAATAATGCCTGATTTTATCTACATATATGAAATTCATGATAGAATTGAATTTATTTGAGAGGAAAAAGAAATCACCTGTTCAAATTTTCAATACCTATTGGAGCTTGTTTTATACAGCCATTTTCAACAATCGATATTGCTTCACCAATAATAACATTCAAATAAAAATCAACAGTAGACAGTGGTAGTCGAGATAGTTTATTTTTATATGTACTAATTCATATTTGATTTTTAGGATTACTTCTTTGACAACCCGTTTATGTTCTTTAGTTGCTGTTAAATGTAATTGTTGTTGTTCAAGAAGTAAGGTAGACAGAAGAACTTCATGTTGTTGTTTAAATTCATTTTTCGAATGAATATGACGTTGTAATTCAGCATCGGTTTGTTGAGAAAAAAGTCGATCTGATAATGATTGATTACGACCCGTTAAATGGTTTCTTCAACCTTTTTGTTCAGCAATTTTCGTTAATTCAAGTAGTTTCATGTTTTAATTTATCAATTATTTCAAGATTATCTTTAGCATAAATATGAGATACGGATTTATCTTTCTTACGAAGGAAAGATGGGCCTCATACGCTCTACCATCGTCATTTGCCATGAATTTACTTCATTTAGTTATTAAAATATTACCCAAAAAAATAATATCTGAAGCGTATGAAGATCGAATCGATTAACTGTAGATTCTAGATAAAAACAAACTAATGAAAAAGTATCTTCTATTCTATTAGCCTTTATATGATATCGGAAAGCAAGAAAAATTTTCACTGCCATCAATAAATCATTACAGCCTATCATTCTATCAGCTGATTTAAGTTCCTGAGTTCCATGAAGATTGAAAGAAAGGCAGTCTCTACTTGTTGACTCAGATGAGTAGTAGTGTATATTTACCGATTAAAGTGGAGTCTCTGTTATTTGTTGATTATGACAGAAAGTTTAAAAATAGTTAATAGATATTTCTTTATTGGTATCGTTTGATTATAGGAAATCCTTCATCATAATCCTATATAAAATATATCTAATGTTTCGATGATCTTAAAAGATTTGTTCATTATCGGAATAATAAAATTAATTTAAAGAGTTGTAAAAGAAAAACGAAATCCAAAACTTTTTTTGAATATATTCTCATCCTAGTTACTTACTGCAATAATAAGCAAGAAAAGCAAGAAAATAAAATGCTTTCAGGAATCAAGAATGAGGGAAGAAAATAGAACGAACGTAGAATATTTTAGGTCGTGATTCGAGTTTTTCCTGAATGGATTAGATTAAAGCAGTGATCAACTTACATTACCTGCTCTCAGAGTCAATATTGATACGATTTACCAGATGCATATATTTCCTTCCTTCGAGAATAGTAAATTCTTCGAATATCTGTACGTATATCATTAACTTATATCTAGACTATGAAAAATACGACACTACGTGCATTGTTCACTGATAAATTAAATGGACATTAGAATTTACAGAGAGGCTTCGAATAAACGAACGGTTCACCACTCTTTAGGAATAATACTCTGTACCTATAGTTTGCAAAGATATAAAACAATATCATTAATCGTTCCGTTGTTGTAATGGTATTATACTTTATTTTGCTCCTTCTCAAAACATACTATCTTCTCGTTTACATAAAAAACACACTTTTATAGGCATAAAGATGATAAACTAAGGTTAAATATCATGTATAAACAATCAATTTCAGCCTATCTAGGGAAGTAGAGTAGTATCCAATGAACTCCATCGGAAACGTTATAGTTCAGTAGTCTTAACAACATAGATATTTTGCTTTAGAAATCAGTAAAATTCTCACATAAAATATATTGTTATGTCGTATTTTTTTGCACGATTTTCAATGTTGCATCTCATCTTTGTTTTGCAAAGCATTATCAATATTGAAGTAGAAATAATGATATTGTCAAATGTTCTAAATGACACCGGTCATTTTTCTTCCACATAATACGAAGTTCACTTGAAAAGTGAAATATTTATATGATTACAAGTAACACTTGCTTGTGGGCTAGCTCAGCTCTTTCTCGTAGAGATAGTGCATTCTGATAGCTTTTGCAGAATTTTGCTCAAAGGAAATTTATGAAAAGAAAAGTGAAACGGTATCATGAACGAGATTAACACATAATTTTCAATAAAGTCAAAAAACTGTTTCCATGGAAATCTGTGCTGTAAAGAGTCGCTCTCTGACTCATCTACTTGAATTTAAACTAGAAAGTTTTCTCATCTTGATACAACGCATTGATTTCTTTTATCATCTTGCATGGGAAGCTAGGAATATATTTGATCTTTATCAAACTTTTATTATTGACTTTATAACTATTTCATGGTGGACAAACTATGAGTCATCGAACTTTAACTTTCAAGCTTGTATTCAGAGGTTGAAGGCATAATATCTTTAAGTAACTCTGATGAAATTTTTCAAATCGGTTTTCTCGTTCAGTATCTCTTATGAGATGTCACATTACAGTCTTCCCCTACAAAGAGGTACCTGAGATGTTATCATTTAGCAATAATTTCATATTTGGATCGCTTGTAAGGATAGAATCTAATTCAAACGGTATTCTTATTTATAGGTTTCAATCCGAATATTTCAAAACCCCACGCCCGACTTCGCATGAACCTTTGGTTTATTAAAAGAACCAAATTAAATATTAAAAGCTCACTCGAACTAAGCAATATATTACTGATGAAACTGTCAATGAGATTTTTAGTAATTGAATCTAAATAAAAGGACATCTAACAATCCACATCCAGCTATACACAATAGCCAATATGTTGGATAAATTTGACTGCTAAGTTCGGTAACTATCAATATACCTCATTATTTATCACCATGCACAGAGACATGGAATATAGCATTGTTGAATTCTTACGCCAAAACTTGCATGATTGTTTATTATTTATCAAACATGGTCACCCATTTCAGTAGAAGGTTGGCGACGCTTACGTTGCGTTACTAGTTATATTTACATATTTTTCAATCCAAAATTTATTAAGACACGGTAACCAGGTCGAACAGTCCGGCCTGGAAACGGCCGGTTCCGGGTAGTTCCGTTAATTTTTTGGAAGCAGTATTCCGGTTGGAAATTTTTCCGGTGATTTCCGGCAGGCATTGACCGGAAAAGTTCGGCCGTATTTTTGACCGGAATACCGCTTCCATGTTCCAGCGATTTTCCGTGTTTTCCTGCAGGATATGGTGACTTTCCCGCATATTTCCTGGAGTATCCTACTGGATCCGGTGGTCGGAATGTTTGACCTGGATTAAATGAATCAAATATTATCATGAAAAACAAAGTCATAATTCTTACATTGAGCAAGATCTCTTAATTATCATACTATCCAATTGAACATAAGTAGTTTGATTAGCATGGAGAATTGTACAAGGATAATGTCTAAATAAAAAATAAATAAACATTTTTTTACAAAACTATTATCATTACTCGTGATATGGAAAAAGAGTTAAAACAGGCAGATAGATTTCTTTTATATTTGATTGATTATTTGTTCAATTGTAAGGTTGACAAGGTCAAATATGTTCGTCAGGATTTGTTGCTGTAAATTGCTGATGTTGTTGTCTCTGTTGTATATTGTTAAATTGGTGTTGATGCTGCTGTTGTAGATTGTCGATCTGCGTTTGAGACTGTTGTTGCTGGTGTACACTTTTTTGTTGCAATTGTGCAATTTGCTGTTGCAGCTGTGCAACTTGTTGCATCAACTGTTGAGGACCAGGTGGTGGAACATTCTAAAAGGAAGCAAACAGAACGTGAAACATATGGCATACACAACGTTAAATAGGAGAGTTACACGCATTTTCTATGTAGCGAACGAGATAGAACTTTTGATTGTGTAAGACCTGGTTCAGTCTTTTTCCTCCCTGTGACGAATAAAATACAACTTTTGGGAAAGTTAACTAGAGAAGTGCTGGTTGACTGCCTTGGTTCGGCCACTACGTATATGGTAAAAAAATTATTTAACGTGAAAAAACTTAAGATCTGTTCGTAAGTTAAGTGATCAATTATGAAAATATACATACTTATACAAGGAGTCAAATCAAATATGTTGTTCAGATGAGCCGCATTTTTTAGCTCCTGTGAAAAATTACCGAATCTAACAGGGATTAATATAGATTTTCAACCATACAATTGTCAACTCCGGATTTAGCTGGCGTTCAACGAGGAATATATCGTTTTTTAAAAGGAATATCAACGTTATAGAAATCTTTGTTGAATTCATATTTAAAAATGTCACAATTCAAAGTAATTATTTTAGACTGATGACTGATAATGAGAGCAAGATGTGAAAGTTTGATTTAAAGTTTACATTTCATAGATGTCTGCTAACCAAAAGATAATCTTCTATAAACTATCATTCATACCGAATATATTTCAGTGAAATCTGTACAGGAAGTTTGCGGAAAATGGTGTGATTGGCACATGTGAATTTCTAACGACCCGGTGTATTTCCAGTGGTGCAATGCTCAATATTTAATCTCGACATATTAGGTAGATATTAGGACACTTCTTACAAGCCAATTAGTCTTAAATTAAAAAGATATGTGGTTTGAGTAAATCTTAATAGCGACTTTGTATTTTCCGCGTACTTGTCAAAGCAAAAAACAAGAACCAATCGATGTGAAGTCAATTAAACATTAGACGCCCGCTTATTGGGAGAAAAAGAAATAGGGCAATATTAAAACAAGTATTATTTTCTAGAGCTTCTTACAAAGAGTTACATCAACTTCATCGGTGAATAAGATACTTCGACTTGGTCTAAATACTACAGAAACTTGTTTTTTTTACGTAGACGAATTATTTTATGATAGAAATTTTACTGCTCGTAATTTCTTTTCGGATACACCATGGTCGACGAAACAAAAAATATATCTGAATTATCACAGATAAAAAAATGGAGCTGATACATTCCTAATTGTACCGCGACAAAAAGAAGAATAATTAATAAATTAGAGGGTAAGTAGAAAAAAAAATGAATTTAAGTATCACCATAAAAGACAGATTGCTTTGAAGTTATGTGAAGATATGTGAGCATTTTCGTTGTAAAAGTATTCTTTGTCTTGTCCTTAAAAACGATGTGCTTTCTCCGAAAAATGACTCAGAGTTCAGTTTTCATGGTTGTGTATAGTCGTGTAAGATTCTTCGGTAAGATTATATGAGCTGTAAATATAGCAGACTCAGTTTGCTCGTGTTAGATAGAACTCATCGATGATATTCTCATCAGTAAAGCATAGATATGCGATACTAAGAAAAGGCGTAGTAACAGACATTGAAAACAGACCGCTAGTGCAACATCTTTAACAACAATTAAAACCAGTTTTTACGTAGCGTATCATTTGTCTTAGGCTAGATCGATCAGAGCAGCTACAAATCAGATATATTTATCAGTAACATAAAATAATGAAAAATAGCCACGAAACAGGTAAAAAAATTTACAATTTTTCCAAACCTAACATTGCTAGGAATACATACTAAATCATAATCTTTATAACGTTTTCAATATTAATGAGACATACGTAGCCATAGATACTGCCATTCAATATCAAGAAAAAGAGCAATAGTATGTAAATAAGAAAAATTCAGTATAGTCTAAGAGATTTCCAAAAATTTCTAGTTGGTAAGCTTTTTTTTTTGTTTCAAGAAATTTGGCTGGATCACTTCATCAAAATATCAAAGATTCATAGAATCCGATGAATTGATTTAGTAATATCCAAATAGGCTCATACTTCTTTACTAGAATTTGCTGGCCGAAGTAAATTATTTGGTATCATCTATAAACAATGAAAATTGAATTGAAAATATTTACTTTAATTGTTCCCATAGCGAAAGAAAATAATATTAAATATTATTAGAAAATAAGTGATAAGAACAAGATACAGTGAAAGTATTTCTTGCGGTAATACGTATGTCCGTATATCACGTACAAATGCGTTCATATAATTTAGCGGTTCTTTGTTCATATTCGTCCACGAAAGAATAGGCATTACATACGTACACTCGCATAACGATATGTCCATGAGGTGGCGCTAACTTATGTGATGCACTTTGATACATTTAACTTACAACCTCTTAGAAGTGAAATAAATTTTCATTCAATTTAAGCTTTAAAAAAGAAAAAAGAACGAAAATTTCAGCCGATTTAATTAATATTAAATGCTACTATACGTGATAGACACTTAAATGAATAATAAAATCAGTATTCGATTCCTACAGTATCAATTATGCTATGAATATTATGAAAACTATGAAAAATACCATTAACAATTTATTATCAGTCATTATGGGATACCCTTTATATGTGTGACGTTCCTAAAAAAGGATGTGGTTCTCCACATTTTATAGGTCACAAAAGGTTTTAATTGTTATTTTAGGTCATTTGCGATGAAGATACGTCTAACTAGACAGTGAAGATAAATGAAAAACTTTCTTCCAGAATATTGGCACAGAATTCTCTTCTTTCCCAAAGCGGTAGAAACCCCACGTATTACCCATATAGATTTTTGATATTTGCTTTATTAAACTTTAATATTTTCATATAGTGATTGTCAGACAAGTAAAGTTTCTTTGATATCAGTGCAAATAAATAGGCCTTTTGTGAATCATTTGCACATTACTGAATACAGTTTAAGGACTGAAGAGTGTTGAAATGGTATTGGAAAAGTGTTATGGTATTGTCAACCATCAACCAGTATTTTTCTACAGCAACAACTTGAATTTGAATAGTATTACACTATTTCCAAGCAACTTCTCAATTAATATTTATGTTCTAACTTTATAATCCTCACAGTACCCACAAGTGTTGAGGCGAAGAATAGGGTGTGGGTGTGGGGTAGGTGCTGAGGTGCCAGGGTTCTGGGTGCCAGCACTTACCACTTTGGTAGTATTTAACTGGAAAAGATATTTCGAGTTGTGCTGGTATAATTGATTCGGTACTTTCAATAATAGATATATACGTTGAATTACAAAAAAAACAATATCAATCGAATGAACTGGATTTTCTAACTTAAATTATCGTTTAACTCTTTCTGAATTTTATTCCGGAATTTTTTAAACCTTAATTACATACATATGGATACAAACAAGGGATAAAAAATGGAAGGATCTAAATATAAGGTGTCTGTTCAGTTTTGTTTCTTCAACATTGTAATTTATCAGTTTCTGGAGGAAGGCCAAAACATTTTCGAACTTTTTGATAGCGTCTAATTCTGTTTTCCTGTTGGGGCGTTGCTCCACATTCAATAGGGTTGATAATTTGTGTTGTTCCTCCAAAATTTCCTTCTCTTGCTGGTTGACCCATATTATTAGCTTTCCAAAACCAGAGTGCAGTTGCAGCAGCTAACGTATCCGATTCAGCAACCATTTCTGGATCCTTTAGTAAATCAACACCAAGTGCATCACCAGCTCCTTTATAATTGCATGGCCATGATAATTGAAACCAACCACGTCCATAGTAAGTTTTACCGGGCTCTGCCTCAACTGGAGGACACCATGAGTCCTGATAATTATTAGCACATTGACCTGATTGTCCACAGTATTCTTCATAAGTTTGCAAGCCATCTGTTTCATGTGATACATGTGCAAAAAACATCATAACTTCATTTTGACTTTGTGTTTCAAACGGCATCATTGTTAATGCCTCTTGAAAACCTATAGCACCAGCGTAAAACGAAATACAGATAGCTGTATCATAGTCTGAATATTTTTTCATCAAGTATAAGACCATTGAATAATATGCTATCTGTTTATAAAACTATGAAGCAAACTTTCAATAGAATCTCCACAGTCTGAGAAAGTAAAACAGGATGTAACTGCAAGAGACTCTCTATCACATCTATGCGAATTCATTCCAATATTTATGACTTTTTTTAAATCAAGGTAGATGTTACGCTCTGAGATATATTGAAAGTTTAACTTTTACTCTAAGTATTTCAAAACTTGAAAACAACCATGTTTAGAGACATGGTAACACTTTCAGTACAGATAGATTCCAGCAACGACAATAAATATGATGCAGGACCTCATGATATTCAATTTCTCTTGCTTTCAGTCGCAAGGGTTCTACACTGAATTACATCGTTCATTGTAAGTTTTCTTCCTCAATTTGACCTAAAAATATTAATCTATTGAGCGTTTTCCTCCTTTGAACTATTTGAATGACTTCCATGACCCCATAATTCACTCTTTTCTCGTTGATACAAAACTTAAAGAAATAAGTTCAACAGTAAAATTGCACTTACCTTTCCAGCGTTTATCACGCGTAGCTGGATCTAAATTGTCGAAAATACAGTCGAATTGCTCACGAGTAATTGAAGTACTGTTGTTACCACCTCCAGGTTGATTTTCACAATATTCTGGTGTACTGCCACAGCTTTGTATGCGGAAAAAAAGATAAAATCAATTTTTATTATTTATATTAAAATGATTGAAGTTGCCAATGCTGATAATTCCTTACTATCCCCATTTCGAACAGCACAGACCGGGCGCACAAGGAGGCTCGCACTTCTGATTTCCGCCTTCACAGTGAAGTGGTGTATCCCCACAACTAGTAATAAAACGAAATCCGCATAATCAAATCAATTATCGAGCAAAGAAATCTCAAGAAACACTGGTGAAAATACTTACAATCCCCATTTCGAACAGCAGAAACCAGGCCCACATGGAGGTTGACACGTTTGCCCTCCGCCTTCACAGTGCAATGGTGTGTTCCCACAACTAGTAGTACAAACGAAATGACAGCAACCAAATCAGTCACCAAGTAAAGAAATTTCAAGAAACGCTCGTAATAGTACTTACAATCCCCATTTTGAACAGCAGAAACCTGGCCCACATGGCGGTTGACATAGAGAACCGTTAGTATTGTTCGTGTACCCTCCACCTTCGCAGTGCAATGGCGTATTCCCACAACTAGTAGTAGAAACAAAATGACAACAATCCAGCCAGTTAACAAGTAAAACAATCTCAAGAAACACTGGTTAAAGTACTTACAATCCCCATTTTGAACAACACATACCGGGCCCACATGGTGGCTGACAGGTTTGACCTCCACCTTCACAGTGCAGTGGTGTATTACCACAGCTATTAGTCGAAACGAAATTGTAGCAATCAAATCAATTATCGAGTAAAGAGCTCTGAAGAAACACTGGTAAAAGTACTTACAATCCCCATTTTGAACAGCAAAAACCTGGCCCACATGGTGGCTGACACCTTTGGCCTGCACCTTCACAGTGCAGTGGTGTATCACCACAGCTAATCGTTGAAACAGAAAGATAGCAGTCAAACCGGTTATTAAGTAAAAATATAAACAAACGCCCGTCAGAAAAATACTTACAAACCCCATTTCGAACAACAGAAACCGGGCCCACAGGGCGGTTGACACGTTTGACCTCCACCTTCACAGTGCAATGGTGTATCCCCACAACTAATAGTAGAAACAGAAAGATACCAGTCAAACCGGTTATCAAGTAAAGAAATCTCAAGAAACACTGGTAAGAGTACTTACAATCCCCATTTTGAACAACACATACCGGGCCCACAGGGTGGTTGACATAAGGAACCGTTAGTATTATTCGTTTGACTACCACCTTCGCAGTGCAGTGGTGTATCCCCACAACTAGTAGTAGCAGTAGAAACGAAATGAAAAAAAACCTAAACTAACACACAATTAGAAAAAGACTTACAATCCCCATGCTGAACAACAGAAGCCTGGTGCACATCCAGTTTGTTGACAATCTTGGGCTGCTCGTCATCAAATATAAATATATACAAAACACGATCTGTCCAAGTGTCTTTCAAAATTAGAAAATGTTTACCGATCAACTTATTTGTTAGTACCAAAGTAATGACAATCAAAAGAGCGATATCTTTTGTCATATTCCGTGTTGAACAAGTTTACCGTTAAAAATTTCGATTTAGATGTTCGTCGGTAGTTGAATTATGAGATTATAAAAATAATTTTTCTTATTCGACAACACTAACGAGCAAATGATTACGAGATCGATATTCAGGTGATGTATTTCTCTGTTTTTTTTTCGAGTGCAATTGAAAAATGAAAAGAAAGGTGAAAATATTGATAGTATTTATTATTTTGCTTTTTCTTACAATTCAGATACGTATAGGCACTTTTCAGAAGCATAATCTAGAATGCACTAGAATTCTTTTTTATTTTGACCCTCCTCAAATAAGGCGAAGAGCAGACGAAATTTCAGTACGATAATAAATACATATTGATGTCATATATAATCGCTCTTTGACATATCAATATTTAAATTGATGTTTGTCGTTGATCGAATATATAACGAAGATGAAACAAAATCTGACTTGCTCTCGTTTTCTATCCATTTTTTAATACATAATGTAATATAGAATAGTGCCAATTATTGATAAGCATTCATGTTCCTACTGTAGATTAACTACTCATTAGTAAAGGTAAGCAGTAACACAAGATGATGGGTCTACTCACTAGTTTTTCTACGCAATAAATCTAGCTAGTTCACGTGCAAATGACTGATTCGAGTAATAAAAGCTAATTGTGAATGAAGATTCATATCCATGTTTCAATGGAAATATGGAGAAAACATGAATGAGTCTTCATACTATCAACTTTTTAACTCATTGGAGTTGATTTATTGTTTTGTAAAATTTCATAAAACGTTGAATTGAAAATTCAACCAAAATAGCATGCGTTTACAATCGATTCAAAGCAGAATCTTTTTTTGATGAAGATGATAGAGCAACTCTACTGGCTGATTCATTTATTGATTTTCCTCAATTTGATTTCAATAAGTCATAATCGAATCTTGACGTAACCTACGCCTTTCACAAATAGATTTTAGAAGAAATCTTCTTTTAAACTGTTGGCTGACAAAATGACCTATAACCTTTAGCCTTATCGAGCGGATTCTATCACTTTTATAATAGAATTCCTTTATTTATCATCTAGTTATATTATCTAGAAACTTATTTCTGCCAATCCATTCTTTTCTTGGTCACAGCTGGACAAGAATGAAATTTCTCATTTGTAAGTAGATTGGTTTACTTGCGCAACACCGTGTCATTGATTCGATCACATGCAAATAATACCAATATCAATTGATAGCTTTGATAAAAACTGAAATGATCCTCTTGTTTTCGTCGTATAAGAAAGCTTCGAATACATATTTATTGCTCTTTATTGATATTAAACAAATATTTTCTTTTGTGCCATTGCAAAGCCATTGAATAAGTCACCTGTATGATCATAGGTATATTTATTAACTCAGCGATTTAACCCATCATGTAGCTCACACCTTCTTTGAATAAAGGACTTCATTGTTTTGGAATGTTGTTGACAAGGATATTACTGACAAACGTAATCAAAGCTTCAGAGCCTTATTCAAATAATTGATGAAAAATCTTGTTATTGAGAAAAAATAACCTTGCACTCTTATCGATATTTCTTTCAAGTATAAAGTTAAATAAAACGTCTTCGCGTAAAAAAAGAAGCATATTTTCATTCACACCGATATCGTGATGAATAATCTCTTCCTTCAAAAACATGATGAATTAGACGAGTGAATCTCAAATTTCATGTAATCGATAGTCATACCACCGGAAATTGCGTGAAAAACCAAATAGATGATTATGCGATGGTTTTCTGTTGAAATTCATTGCTGAAGTCTTATCTGTTGTAGTCAACCATGAATATTTCAAGATTATCTTTCCTCATAAATGATTGGACATCATATTATGTAAAAGTCAATCGGTAACTAATATCAGTAGATAGATATGAAATTGGAATAACCCAAGCAGACAAACTTTTTCAAAAACGCGTTTAAACACTCAATCGGGAACCGCGACTGTGGGTCATTGACGGTCATTAATGAAACGCAAGAAACGCGTTTTCTACGCAGAATTCTCATTTCCCGAACGTGAAAACGAATAAAAACTCCAATTCCGAGTGTTTAACCGCACAATTATTCGATAAATTAAAAACCAATTCGTTTAAACGCTCAAAATTGGAGTTTCTATGCGTTTTCGCGTTCGGAAAGTGAGAATTCTGCGTAAAAAACGCGTTTCTTGTGTTTCATTAATGAGCGTTAATGACCCACAGCCGAGGTAATAGATATGGAAATGTCTACTTCTCTGATCATATAGCTATACGACAACGTCACATTGAAACTGAAGAGACTGCTAAAATACTTAAAAATGTTCCACCATAAAACAAATTAATATGAATCGACTCGATTTGATTTCAGTGTAATACGAAAAACTAATCGTCTAATCAAACGTAGAGTGTGAAGTAATTAATTACTTTGACTTGTGGCTTATTCATCTGAATTTTTTGATCAGATCGAAACTCATTACATATTATAATAAAAACAGAAAAAACAAACTATCGTTTATCTCGAATATTGAAATATATTTTTCTCATGTGAGTCAAAAGAAAAAAGAGCGATTGTACAAAAAACAACACCAAGACGTTTTACGTTATAGCCACAGTTAACATATTTGATGATAATAATTTTTTATTTGGCATATTTGAACTTTGATAATTATATTTTTTATTATTTATTAATTTCGAGAGATTTGTTTTTGATAATGATTTAAAATTTTTACGTTTACCAAGTGAATAATATTGATCACTAAATCTTACTTTTTGTTGTACTATTTTATTTTTTTGTTGTTCATCATTGGTCAAATTAAATGTAACTGTGCGTTGTTGTTTTTTTTGAAACCATGGTAAAGATCGATTACGATATATGGTTGTTTGTTTTTCAATATCACTTGTTTCACTATCGATATTATCATAAAAATGTTCACTTGCATTATCGTCATGATTGTCATTATTAGTATTGTTATTGTTATTGTTATTATTGTTATTATTATTATTATTAAGATTAATTCCTCGTAAACGTAAACGTTGCCGAAATAATTCTTCTTGTAACTTAATTGTATGTTCAAGGTTATCGTGTGTTGTATACATTGTACAAGCAGCATTTAAAACACGTTCAAGAGACTCATTTTCATCAGAATATGTACTACTTGGTAAACTTTCAGCTGTATTGTATGCACTTGAACTGCTTTCATTATGCTTTATTGATGATTGATCGGTTGTCGAGAGAGAAGGCGATGATAATGAATGATGAGATTGAGGTTGAGGTATTGCAGATATATATTCAATATGATCATCTCTTTGAAGCGTATAATATTTTGGACGCTGAAAAAGAATGAATATTCAATCATCGATTTCAAATTGAATGAATTAAAAACCTTTTCTGAACTTTTGACTTTTGTGCAATATGATTTAGATTCATCGTAATGTGTTGAACAATTTGAACAGATTAGCGATGAATTGTTTTGATCGGTTTGGCATGAGAAATCTTTTAAGGTTTTCATATTTTCACTAAACTGTAAATAAGAAAAGTCAATAGAAAGAGTTTATCAAAGCAAATCATGTTTATTTTAAAAAAAGAGCTTCAAGATAAAACTATACGCTTTCTTTCGTAATACGTAATCAGATTCTAACACTTCTACTGATTTATTCATTGAAGAAGTTTAAAGAGAAAATAAAACGTGATTAAACTTTGTTTTAACGTAGTGACTTTTGTCTGGTTGCCTGGAGTTATTTTATCATATAATCTTTCATCGCACATCTTAGACAAATGATTAAAGTTACTTAAAATAAAAAATGAATTTTGTCAATGATCAATAAGTTAAACTTCTACTTAATGAAATAAGATAGCAAAAAAAAAAGATTTTCCCGTAATATTAAATTGCTTTTTAACTTTAGAAACATTATATTGAAAGTTTTCTACTTTTTATTTCAGTATTTCTCGCGATTGTTTAAATTTCTAGCAAATTTATTTTCCTAAAAATATTTACTTTTTTCTGTTGTTGATATTTGAGTATAAGATGCGCCATCTTTTTCTTATTCTGTTGTAAATCATTATATAAAACTCCGATTTGTTTAATTAATTCATGTTCCTTTTTTTCATGTCGCATTTTTAATTCATCAATAATATTCTTTAATTGTTCTATCGTTTGACATTTTTCGTGAAGAATATGTTTTGTTGTTATTATATCCATTGACGTACGAGATAATCTTGGTGAACTAAACATTTGTTTATCTAGAAAATAAGAGACAACAACGACAACATTCCATAGACATATACTATATCGACTAATAACTTGTCTCATCTAAGACTTTTTACCATGAATATTAATCGATCCCTATTTACTCACCGTCATATATCAAGAGGAACAATCTTCTTTCTCGATTGTCGACCTATGGATAAGAAAGAAGAAAAGAAAGAGGGGAGAAGAGAAGAGAGACACTCGTTTTTTTTCTCTTTCTAATTATATAACGTTGATTTAACCTGACAAACGCACACCACCATTTTTTTTCTCCATACATCATACATTTCCTGCTCAACGTTTACTTACTCGCCAAGCAGATACAATTCATAAGTCGTATATTGTTTGTGCATTTGCGCACATAATCTCATCATCTATCTAAAACCATTGCGTATATGCATACATACATACATACATACATATATATAAAGAACGAAGTTGAGACTCTGTGTACAATCAGAAATATTGACTGAATTCTAATTGTCTTATTTATTAATCAAATACGATCAAATATGATCATGTTATTATATACAGATTGTGTCTATGTGAAAAATCAATAGGTTCTATATGAGTGTACATTTATCGATGCAGTGATTTAATAAACAGATAATGAACTAGAAAAGAAAAAGAAAATTAGTTGCATTGAAGGCTAAGAAATAAAAAGCGTGAACAATTACTTTTCTAAGACGTCGCGTCTATTTCAGATGTATATAGAATATTCAATATGCGTATATAGGCTACCTGTTTAGCATAACAGAAGGTTACAGTGAATGTCCTTCACAGAATAATGCTGGTGCTGCACACACATTTAATGGATATATCGAATGATTATATAATGAATAAAGTGTGCATATCAGTAGACGCAAGTATCACAACATAAATACAAGCGGAATCTTTGTTTCGCCTATATACATACATTATGACAAAATGACGATAGAAGACCTTGATGAGTGGTGCCTAAAAAATGTCAGTAGATTATATATGTATGAATATGATAAGTTCTACTGATTATCATAAACTAAGAGAGCCATAATAAATAGATCGGTCGATGTTGTTACTGTTTATTAATACCTATGTGCCTCATGATCTTGACTCTTTCTCAATATAATAATCGATGACATGTGAGACAGTTAAGGACTTAACTGAGATTTTGACGATAAGTCAAATAAAATCAATTAGTACTTCGACCCACTACCAAGAGAATTTCTTTTTTCGCATAAAGTGAGTCCAATATTTAATACAACAACAACAACAATAACGAATTGCATCTCTATAAATGTAAAGTAGGTGTTGACACATGACAAAATAACCGATGAGAAAACTAGCTCTCTACTTTTTATTATAGAAGTCTTACTATGATAAATATGTTTATGCCAGGTTTCCTTATCGTTTAATTTATTCTTCAATTGAAAATTAACTTGTTTTATCAAGCAAGTTGTGAAAACTCATTTCACGAATCATTATTGATCGTTTTCATAGAGACAGAGAGAGAAAACAAACATCAAACAAAAAGAAATAATTATCAATCCCATTGATTTTGTTCTCTTGGTATTTTCTGTTTTCATAATTTTTTGAATCAATTGATTTTTATCAACTATGAATTTGATCGCATAAAAGAAGAATATTTTGATTGAATAAACTATCAAAATAAATACTATATATATATATATTGTATTCGTTCATCATTGTCTACATGCAATATTTAAATCTATTGTCGTCGTACAAACGTAAACGTCATGATCTAACTCGTATAGATTGACGCCTGTGCTCAATAATCCATCAAAATACGTTTTTTCTCTTCTGTTCTACTTATTTGACACTTTCACCTACCATGATCACACTATAATTAGTTTCTTTCACTATTCGAGATGAATTTGACCTGTGTCTTATCCAGTCGGGTGTAGAAAAATGTATGTATTTGACCTGAGCTTATCAAATTAGGAAGTACATAGAACATGCGGTGATCAAACGAACACTTGGCGTTAGACAGACGGTGCCCCTTGAGAGAAAGGAAGAAGAAACATTAGACGAGAAGTAAGTTCATTGTGAAAACAATCTAGAAAATGAACCTGTTCTCATGTACTGCAGTTAAAATAACGTTCGAAGTCTATCTTGATGATGATGACTGACAAGTGCACACAAAACAAGCCATAACGCCTGTTAGACTATGCTCATGCAAACATATTTTGTGAGAAAGAAACAAACAAAAGTGCCAGATAATCATTGCTGATATCGATCACCTATTAACAGCTTTTCATACGCGAAAGGTTACAACATAACAATCACCTGCATTAAACCTATCATAAATGCGGCTGTCAAAAGGATCTAGTTTTACTTGTTTTCATATGAGCATTTATGATCTACCTGTTATTATTTTAATTTTGATGAATGATAAAAACTAGATATTTTTCTCGTTTTATCATATCTGTTATATAATAAAAATTGATGTCGAAACAATGCATATATGTATATATTTTATCTGATGATGTTCATTGTGAAGATCATTTACGTCTTATCTACGTAATTCTAGTATCTTCAACATTTGTTTTGGTGAATTATGAAAAATAAAAAGTGATTTGCTAGATATGTTTGATCTTGTCTACGATTACAAAATGAAATTCTGATTTTAATGTCACATTTAAGTTAAAATTTCGAAAGTATAACTTGCAGTGTCTTGTGTGATCACGTAAAGAGATTACAATTAAAATGTTAGTCTTACTTTAACATGAATATAATATTCTATTGCACGTTTAATGACTGTAAAATTTCAAGTAAATTTATACACATAAAATATCAAAAGAAAATTGTGATGAAAAAATTCTTTTATCTTTTTGTAATTATTGTTGAACTCTTTTTTTTTTATTGAATTTTCAATTTGATTGACAAATTCTTTTCTTTTATAGCTTTATATTGTTCAAGTACAAGGGGATATAGATTACAAAAAGGTCTACCATCATCATAAAAGAAAACATTGTTAACGACAAGCTGTTCGACTGTAACTTATGAAAGAATACTTTTACGCTGTAGGATTGTTTTGTTTTCTTACAGCTTGAATAAATAGTTATTTCGTTTTTTTTTGTGTGTCAAGCTTCAAGTTAATAGTTAAAAATAACCAATAGAATTTGTTTTCCTCAGTGTAGTTAAATATTTCAATTGTTCTTTTTGTTGGTTTTAAAATTATTTTAATGGCTAACGCCTTGTGTTAGAAAGCACCTTCAATTCAAACAAAAAATGATTGAATTTTTTAGTTGTTCGTCAATTTTTCGTTCTTCTACTTGAATTTCTTTATAAATCATTTTTACCATGTCAAAATTTCATTTAATTCATATTCTTTCAGATGTATTTATATTGAATTTTATTGCAAATATTTCACTTAAAACATGTTTTGAAAAAATTCTTCTATGAACTCACTCACTGTTATCTCGGAAGAAAAGAAAAGCAAAAGAACAAATGTTATAGCAATAAACGTATTACACTGAAAGAGAAGTAGAAGTTTTGTTGTTCATTGCACATTTCGATACTTTTATCTATCATTATAGTCTGATTCAGGATACTGCTGTTCACAAGCACAGCATAAACAGTTAACGCTTCTAACATCAGTTGGAGCACAGATACAAGTAGTATTACCACACTAAAACGAAAAACATAAATTGAAATAAGAGAAGAAAATAAGTATTTCATTTACCGAACAGCATTGTCCATTGCAACAGGCTTCACACGTAATAATGTCAGCAAAATCGATTGACTTTTAGAAAAAAATGAATAATACAATTGTTTCGTTTTTATAAATTTTTGTGGCACATACTCCTCGTTTCGGACAACAAGCATCAAGACATGATTCGATGGATACTGTCCCACAACAGTCGCATGCTTGAGCACATGTTGCACAACATTCAAGACAACTTGAACATTGACAACAGCTGATTTTACATTGATGACAGCCGTTTAGTATGCCACGAGACTTTAAAAATTCATATTAGAAAAAAAAGGGAAAGTATAAGTAAATAGAATAATGTAAAAGATATTTTTCTTTACCTTTAAAATTTCTCGGATAACTATAATGATAAAAAAAATTAGAATAAGACTAGCAAGTATAATAACAAAGATGTAAGGGGCTGCTAAAGTAAGTTGATCTTTACTAGAGATGCCGCCAGGAAGAAAAGTGGAAGGCTATAAAAGTAAAATCAACAGGCATTTGTTTTTATTTTGCCTTAAAATAAAAAATACCTGTACATCAGTTGACATTTAGCAATTAAGGTATTTAACTGTTTTCAAGTAATTCTCCATTCCTTTATTTTTCTCTATGTTACGGCCTCTATTCAAATAAATACTTTGTTATCATAGTAATAAGTCTTGTTGCTAAGGTTATTGTTGATACTAATGGCGCTATGAATTGTATTATGTTCTTTAATTGATTTTTTCACAAAGTACGCTCATCTACTTGAAAAATCATGGCCGATGATGAAGAAGAAGTGGGTGAAGAAGAAAATACGAATAATTTTGGCGTAAGAACCTTGATTTGGATGTGTTTATATAGAGAAAACGTTTCACTATTTTGCGTTCAATTAGTCTTATGAAGGTGATCGTAATGAAAAGCGTGAACGTCATGGCTTTGGTAAAGCAACATTATCTAATGGTGATATGTATGAAGGGCAATATCAACATGGGAAACGATACGGAACTGGAACTTATCGATTTACAAATGGAGCACGCTATATAGGCTAGTCTTGAGAACTAATTCGGTTTGTATTAATATACTTTGTTTTTTTTCTAATCAAAGGTGAGTATATAAAAAATAAACGGCATGGTCAGGGAATATTTTATTATCCTGACGGATCAAAGTATGAAGGTGAATGGAATGACAATGTACGAGATGGCCATGGAATTTATACCTATCCAAATAATGATACCTATGAAGGTGAATGGAGAAATCATCAAAGAGAAGGAACAGGAACTTATACATATGCAGCGACAAGTATGTCATAAAAGTCATAACCTATTGTGTTGTTGCTCTAAAAAAAAACATGGATTACTATAGAAGCACAATATACTGGTACTTGGAATAACGGTAAACGACAAGGTTCAGGAGAAGTGCAATTTAGTAATTACAGCTATGTTGGCAAATTTCATGAGAACTACGTATGTTATCTTTAAAAGTAACAGTAAAATTGAATATGCCGGAGTATCCAGTTGAATATGAGGTGAATAATTGTGTATGTAGTTTAAAATGTATAGGCATCTTGATTAACATTTATCGTAGACTATTCTTTTGCTTTTATCAAATTGGGATTCCCAAGAAACGAAGTAACTCTTTCTCAATGTGGAAAACTATTGCTCAAAAACTATTTACTCTAGATGTATAAAGTCCATGGTCATATGAATGCTCATGAGCGTGGGCTGTACACTCTAAAAGTTAAATTGGTAACATTATTATTGATATCACGTATATGCGATGTAATGAATAAACTAATGAACACGAGAGGATTTAATCTCACGCTCATGAGCGTGAATAAATGAAACAGTTTCTACATAAAAATTGTTTCGCCGTATGTCTACGTGGAACGGTTCTCTTATAGTAATCTTTCAGATGAAAAAAGCTATGTTAAGTAGAAAATAATATCTCTTTGTGGTAAAGCAATTTACATCTCCATCTGACTTATGAAAAAAAACACAACTACACGGTATGTTGTATCATCTGTGATAGAAGATAAAGTCAACAAAAATTTCGATATGAATCACGATAATTGATAAGTCAATCGAGCTCTTACCATAAGTACTTTTCCTTCATGTGTCAAGACGATGATCTGGAAAATATTATTAAAGTAACAGCCAAGAAGTTTAGACTTAAACTTTTACAGATGTTGTTTGTAGTAGTAGGAGTAAGATCGATTGAATAAAATAATTTCTCTCAGATCACCAATACCAACAACATCATGTTTCTCATTTCAGTCCCACGGGGACTATGCTTACAGTATTCTTAGTTGATGATAGCACAGCTGTGTTTTCACTGTTAAAAATATTTTTGTATGTTTCTAGCCCAAGGGCAAAGGCAAATTTGTCTTCAAGAATGGATATCAACAAAATGGTGAATATCATGTGACAACGACGGTAAATGAATTTTTGAATTTATTAATAAGAACATAATTATATATATATAAGAACAATATTTAGATGCCTGAAGAAGATTCAGATGCTCAACCTCAGGTGCAATACAAATGGCTGGCTCGTGATGTTACTCCAATTGAACAAACAAAACCGTATGATTTAGATGATGAACAAGCTGAAACGGATGGAACACAAGGTAATGTTGACTTTGATTTATTATGAACCTTTTTTGTTTTGTTTTATTAATTTTTTTGTAATGAAGAATTAATTGATAAGTTTAAAAGAAAACAATTAAATAATCAAAAAGGTTTATTTCTAAGCTAAATTAGTTTGCTCTTGTTTCTTTCGTTTACATGAGATTTTAAATGTATTCTTATTCTTATTCTTATTATTTATAGACAACGAGATTCTAAATAGAATGAATATCGACTCAGGTAAAAACAAAAAAAGGATTCTATTCCACTAGATAATTATTTTAATCTTATAAACTAGATAATAATAGTCCTGAATTTCAATTAAATACGGAAATCGGCGATACAGTTGATGGCAATGAAGATAATGATGAAAATCGACAAGAGAATGATGGTAAATTCATACATGCAGATATAATGATTTCATCCTTGAATATTTTTGTTTTTCGTTTATTTAGAAATACCAGGTGAAGAAATATATGATGAAGAACCATAGACTGTACTTTTTTTGTCAATAAAGGAACGATGATATGTCCTTTCAGTATTACAACAAGCAATGATTGCAATTTTTAGATTTAAAAAAAAGAGCGAGAGAGAAGAAAAAATCTTTTCACTAAAAAGAAAACAAATAATTCATGAAAAACGACAAAACAAACATAAAACTAACTACTACGTACATGAAACAATAAGTAGAGAAAAAGAATGCTCTTTTTTCTTTGTTAGTACGAGGGTAATATTAGAAAATAAAGTGGGAGTTTAACATTGAAGAATGTGTACTTTATAAAATTCGTGCATGGATGTTAGTGAAAAACAAACAAACGTAGGTGAGATCTTTTCAATAAAAGAATCATTTCTTATTTATGACTTTTGGATTTTTTGGATTTTTCATTGCTATTCTTGCTTTTGACTTGAGTCTTGGCTTTGCTTTTCACATTTTTTGAATTTCCTGATTCTTCTTCTTCTTCTTCTTCCTCTTCATCATCATCATCATCATCAGATTCCTCGTCATCATCATCATCATCATCAGTTTCATCATCATCATCGTCATCAGAATCGTCATCATCAGAATCGTCATCATCAGAATCATCATCATCCGAATCATTGCGTTTTTTCTTCTTACTACTACTGATTTTTTCATTGTCGCTATCTTCATCATCATCGTCCGAATCGTCGTCATCATCAGAATCGCTTTCTGTATCTGAAACTTCATTTTTTCCTTTTGGTCGATTCTTTTTAGCGTCATTACGATAATCTTCAAGATTTTCGAAGATTTCAGCATATTCTTCTAATTCTTCTTCAGTGTTTCCTATTCAGTATAAAATTCAAATAGTTAAACAAATCAAAATCAATAAAAAATCAATAGAATAAATCTAGTATTCTTACCTCCAGCACATTCTTCGCTACACTCTTCACGGCGTGATTTACCACAATTCATCCTCCTCATACATTCATTATATGACAAAAAGATTGAAGCACGCTCACGTGGGATGAAGACCACTAAAATTCATAAGTTGAACATTGATGGGCATAGAGATGATAAGTTTTTGTGTGATTAATAGTGTGTATGTGTATGTATGCGTGTTTTCAGAAAGATCGTATGAAGCTAACATTCAACAGAAAACAAACAAAACAAAAAAAAAAGAAAGCATATAAAAATAAGCGATAGAATATATATATCATAGATAAGAAACACGAATCAAGAAGATCTATATAGTCTAATAATAAATAGAAACCATTAGATGAAAGATAGGTGAAGTAGAAACAAAAGGGTAATAAATCATACAAGATGTCTATGTGTATATAAAACTTCAATTTTTCTTTATTGGTTTGGATTTTTTATTCTTATCATCAGGTGCATCTTCTTCTTCACTACTTGGATCACTTTCATTGTCGGTTGTTGTTGAATCTGTTGAGCTATCATCACTATCCGATGAAGATGAAGATGAGGATGAGGAAGATGAGGATGAGGAGGAGGATTTTTTATTTATTTTTTTTGGTGATTTCTTTTTAAAATCTGATCGATATTCTTCAATATGCTCGAATATTTCGTGATATTCTTCCATTTCTTCTTCAGTATTACCTGTAAGAAAAAAATATTTTAAAGACCAATTCCACTTACGATTATATTTGACTTACCATCAGCACATTCTTCACTGCATTCTTCTTTGCGTAGTTTACCACAGTTCATTCGTCGCATACATTCATTGTACGAGAGGAAAATCGAAGCTCTTTCACGTGGAATGAACACTACTGAAATTGAGGGTTGACAAAAGAAAACAAAAAAAAGACACACCCACACTATTTCGCCTTTTTATTACAATTATTTTCGTTAAAATAATAATAGGGAGCAAACTGTGCTTTATACGACCTTTTCTCTGTGCTAAGTGCAGTGTTTTGAGAAAGTTATTTTCTTAGTTAAAAGCAAATTTACTTCATTGGAGTTTACCTTTTTTATCATCATCATCATCGTCGTCGTCGTCGTCATCATCATCATCCGAATCTGTCTCGGTGTCCGTTGAGCTTGATTCTTCTTCCTTTTCTTCTTTCGATTTTTTGCTTGCATCAACTGTTCTTGTTGTCAAACCAATAGACAAAAGAACAATTAAACAAGTGATGAGTAACCAATTAAGATGCATTATGATTGCCAAACTTTAATCTTTATCAAGTAAACAAAAAACAAATTTCAGCTGAAGCCGTTTCATTTTATCAAGACTATGTTTCAATGTGCTAATCCAATCTTTCATGATAATTATCTTCTAATTTCTTATGAGTTTTATTTTCTTCGAAAGAAAGACTTTTGTCTTACGGTTACGTACGAAGTTTCACAGGTTTTTCTAAGCAAAATATAAAATATATGGGTACTTTAGAGGCAGATCTATTTTTGATGTCATATCAAGAAAAAATCGGTTTCAATCGATAGTTGCCGTTTTTGTATCATCGATAAGATATGTTTGAAAATTCTAGCGTCTTATTTATAGATAATGCTTTCTTGTGTAGCTCTTCTTGTTATTCACGATTCATATACAAAATTTTATCTGTTTTCGAAAAAATTTACTATGGTTTTACTCAACGATCTAGCATAGAAATTTCAGTCTCTTCTACACGTCTATAAATGAAATTGCGATCGAAAATGTAAAAATGAATTTTCTTATGTATGCTTGTATTCTGGCATTTCTAATAAAAATATTTCTCGTTTTAATGGTATGTTTTATGAAATTTATCTCCTTCTGTTTACATCATCTTTTTGTGTTAACATTAAAAAATGTCGAAGATCTGGTTTAGTAATTTGATGCTGTCATGCTACTTGGAACCGAACAAGAGCTGCGCAAGAAAAAAACCGAACGATTCAAGAAAATAGTCTCTTCAAAAACGTCTAGTAAATAATGTGAAAAAGCAAATTTTTAATTGAAATTGATTCGCTATCGATATAGATCGCAATAATTAATTCTACCAAAGAAGAATTAGAACATTATGAGCGACATCATTGGTGAAAATATCAAGCCATCCTGTTGCTGTTACATTAATCGCGGTTGGCCGAGATTTTCCTAGTCTAATATCAAAAAGGGTAAAATAGGGCTCTATTTATATATCAATATACGTTATATTCAATCCAAGAGGATGCTTCAAAGCTCCTATCTACTAGCACGATAAAAGTCATTCCCTCGAGGAAAATTCATAAAAAGCTAATCAGAAATCAGAATATAATTATTATCACAAAGTTTATACTATATAATAGATTCATCACCAGTACATAAATATTAGGAAATTGTCAGATTTGATTGCTTAGTTTCTTGGAATCTTATTCTGAAGTAAAACACACATGTGATCTATTTTTCTATGATCTCAAGTTTTTAACTCGAAACTTAAACGATGATTTGAATAAATAATAACTTTCTCTCTGAAATATTTATCAATGTCCTGTAAGAACTGTTTCTTTAAAACAAAAATCCAAAAAATGAATGACTTTTAGTAAGCAGAACGCTTTTTTAGCATTCGTTTTAGATAGGGTCATCACGGCTGACTGTCTTCATTGTTTGACGTGTACGAAGAGAATACTTTGTGCGACCAAAGCTGATATTATCTATGAAATAACCTTGAGCAAATCACTAACAGCTGTTTGTCTCAGATAACCACTGTTATCGTATGCCGACTATGTTGTGACCTATATCGGCTCTTGTGGTTAGTTCGTGTGATCATCAATAATAGCATTCACTTCATTGATTATTACTGCTAATTTTCAAATTTTAACATCGATATGTTCTACTATACGGAAAACATTTAAAAAAATATGTGCTGATTTTCTAATTTTGGCGACTACGTTAAGTTCTTGAAAGTAGCGATGGATAAATGATACTTTATAAAAATTCAAAATATGATAGCAATTAGATCAATGTTCATAATGTAAAGGGTAACTAAATTTTTTGTTATTTTTTCTTACAAGAATAATGTTAGAACAACATAAACATAGAAAGAAAATAATACGTGAATGAAATCGAGAGAGAATAAAAAGAAAAAAAAGCCAATGATTCATATCTATATTATATATATATATATATATCTATGTCGTAGAAAAAAAAATAAGAAAAAAATTACTAACCTGAACAGGAGAGGAAAATTGATGTTGTCTTGTTTTTATTCTTTTCTCTCTCTCTCTCTCTTGCGTTTAAAAAATCGCTTATGAGGATAATCTAGAAAAAAGTCTTCAGTGAAAAACTAAACAAAAAAATTCATATCTATATCAATGTAGTTTCAACGTTTTGATTAATTCGATGGAATCTGTAGGTAGTCATATCTAACTAGTTTTTGTTCTTACGCTTCATCAATTCCAAACCATAATAAAATAGCGTAATCGTTACAATTCACGACTACGAAAAGTACCAAGAATTAAAATGAAGAATAACAACTTGTCGCTACTTCGACAGTTCGATATAGAAGCAGTAAATAGGAAAAAAAACAGTGGGAAACCGAGTACTCCAATAAACATATTGGATAAGAAGACAACGACTATAATAATTATGATAATACTGTGGTTTTTCTTCAAGATATAGAAAGAAAGAAAGAAAGAAAGGAAGAAAGAAAGAAAGAAGAGATAAAAAAATCCCAACGAGAAACATTGCTATGTACTTCTACATTGGCGATAGATGCATCTCAATGATCTTGTATGATATTTTCCCGGTGATAATTTATGGCATTTTTCTTGTCTGATTTTGCATCATCGTCCGAAAAAAGAACGGGAAAAAAATGTATAGCTTCTATTTTCCTTTGTCTTAGTTTATTACATAATTCTTGTTGTATCTTATTATTCTTCGTTTTACTCCTGGTTTATGAACCATGTCCTTAAAAAGAAAAATATCATAAGATATGAAACTTTCCATTTTTGAAATGCATGCGATCATCAAGAATAATTCGTTTTACACGTCAGCCACAATCATTCATATAGTTTTCAATACAGATATCTTTATTTTTGTTTGACAGGTACTTCCCAACAACACTACTGTTTGCCTTCTTTATCAGTTTGCTGCATGATTACGAAGACGCCAGTTTTGTATACAGAAACTCATAAGCTTTCTCATCTAGTTGCTGCTACAACTAATGCTGTTGTCAATATGTCCTGTTATTGTACAGCGTTGGTTCTAGCTGTTCGGCAGCCGCACACACACGTCCATGAGAGAAAAGAAGGAAACATGAAAAAAAAGGATTTTCTTTCTTGTAACTGTAATCACCACTACGACATCTCCTATATAAAGCAAGAGAAAAATATGCAATATCGATCGGGCATATATTCACATGAGCAATAAAACATCCATATGGCGATTACTGTACGATGCTAGTTTGATTGTGATACTATTCGTACGTAGTATTGCTAGCAGCAATACAAATAAATGTTATAAATATATCATTTTCAATTGAAATATTATTATGACAAAGTATATATAAATCAGTCAAATGTATTTGTAATAACTTGATGGAAATAAAAGCGATTATTTTATTGAAGTCTTATCTAATATTAAATGTCTTTGTTTTTCTGAAATTATTTACTTTACAAGGCTATCAGACGCACACAAACACAGATATAAAAAAGTTCAGACCAAAAAAAATGTGGTGAATCATGGTAAGAGAAACAAAAAACAGATGCACAAACATTAGTAAAATAAGAACAATTAATAATCTTTTTTTGTTGTTGTTGCTGTTGTTTCGTGCTTTTTATTTTGCTCTTAAAGTATCACTGTTGAATATTAGAATTGATTTGTTTAGCATCATTAAATTGTTGAAAAAATCGTTTAGCTTGATCAACTGTTTTAAATCGTACACATAATGTTTCGCGTTTAGGTTGACCATCAGAATAATCTAAAGCTGACCATATATAAGCATTTTCTTTACTTTGATGATCTTTTAGTTCCATTTGTGGCATTATTTTATGATTTGCACAAACTTTAAAAACTTGATCACGACGCATCAGTACTCGACATTGATTTGTTGTTTTATGTTGTAGGATTTTCATTTCACCTATTCCACGTTCTTTCATTTCATTTGACGAAGAATCGAAACGATAAAGTTTTGCACGTTCACAAAATAAAACGTGCTCATCTTCTTCGCCTGTTCTAACTTCAACCGGCGATAAATGTACAATAGGTTTGAATGATAAGGTTGGTTCATAAGAATCAACTTCATCTTCATCATTATTCGTTAAATCGTGACCGAATAGACGGAAACCTTGTCCAGGAAAGACTATAGTATCAGACAAGAAAAAAACAAAGATGAAATGATAATAAAGATTAATAAATATATGAAATACCTCTTGGTTTATCATCATTTGTTAAATTAAAATTTGATGCCTGTTGAGCTATATCAGAAAAACTCAGTTTTGGCATAGTACCAAACATCAATAATGGAGCACTGTCAGTTGTTATTAATGGAGATGGTATTGATTGTGAAAAATCAGTTGATGGTATTTTGGCTTTATCAAAATTAGGAAAAGGAAATCCACTATTCAATGGTTTGATCGATGCTAAACTACCAAATATTAAATCGATATTAATGGGTGGTACGCTTTTGTTGATTGATTGAATTGAACTGGAATTAATAGCAGAAAAAGTGGACGGTTTATTATCATCGTGTACTGTTGTAGTTTTATCATTATTAGTTTTTAGCACTTGGTCTTCAGTCATTATTTTATCTGAATGTAAAAAGAATTCATATTAATACATCTATTTCAATAATGCGAATGCAAAAATCCTTACAAAGTTCCTGTTTAACTTGGTCTATAATAGTTTGCGCCATTTGCGAAGCATAACTATCTAGTGAAAATGGTTCACGAGTAGAAGAAGAAAAATTTCTTGTCTTCTTTTGATTTGTTCGAGCCGCTGTTGGTTCATCTACTCCAATAGAAGTTTGTTGGTGCTCGGAATAAGATTGTGGTGGTGATGGAGGAGGAGGAACACGGTTACTTGGTAGACAACGTTTAGCTTTTATTATCGTTCGTTGGTCTTTTGGTAAAGAAGATATATTAAAAGAAGAAGAAGAAGAAGAATAGGTATCAACTCCAGTCGGAATCCAAGTAGGCACCATTGATATAAGCGACGAAGGAGATGAATCTAAATAGTTTTTAGATATGAGAAACAAAAATTAAATCAAAATAAAAACCTACTTGGAAAGAAGCCTGAAGGAAAATTAGACATATTGTCAAAAGCTAATGTTGTAGCACCATCATATGAATTTAATCGATTTCCATGAAATGCTAGAAAAATACACTTATTTTGTTATTCTGTTCTTTTTGAAAATAATTATCTTCTTTTATCAGCATTAAAAAAAGACGACACTGAGACTTACATTCATTTGGTAGAATCCATGATGAATCTTCTCTACAACCACGGCAACCTTTACATGGCTGTTTATTTTCGTATAAGTAAAACGTTAATGGTAATTGTAGAATTTTTGCTCGTTCGATTTGTTCCGCAGTTGGCTTTAATTCACCGATTGTAATTATATCTAAATATAAATTTTTATATTGCAAAAGAGTGAGCTATTGATGTTTGAATTTTATACCATCATCATTTAATGAAATATCTTTTATTGATGGTAGATCATCTGTGTCATTAAGATTTATTAGTTTTGCTTGATGAAATATTTTTGAGAAATTCACTGCTTGTTCATTGGTTTTAAATTTTATACATAATGTTTCATGCTTAAATTGACCGTCGGAAAAATCCATAGCTGACCAAATCAACGTATTTGCTGTTTCTCGATGTGGTTGTAATTCCATTTGTGATGTGATCTTATGATTTGCACAAACTTTAAAAACTTGATCACGACGCATTAATATTCGGCATTGCTTTGTTGTTTTATGTTGTAGGATTTTCATTTCACCTATTCCACGTTCTTTCATTTCATTCGACGAAAAATCGAAACGATAAAGTTTTGCACGTTCACAAAATAAAACGTGCTCATCTTCTTCGCCTGTTCTAACTCTAACCGGCGATAAATGTACAATAGGCTTGAATGATACACTTGGCCCATATGGATCATTTGTGTCTTCAGCTTCATCATATAAAGTAGTGATACCATTCGAACTAATTGGACCAAAGACAAATGGAGCTAGAAAGTGAGAAATAAATTTGAATTTTGAATTTATTTGTCTATGTTACCGTTGAGTGACAGTGGTTCAGGTTCTATTGTAGAAAATGAAAATGGTACTGGTTTAGTTGGTATATCAGGCGTAGTTGAAAAGAATGGCTTGTGTAAAGGTGGAAAAACTTGCATTGCTGGCGGAAAAAAACATAAAGAATTGGACGGTGGTATTGATGGTTGTACAAACATTTGAAGCGGAGGTAAAAACTGAGATTGTTGCTGTTGTTGAAGAGCGATTACTCGATTAGCTAGTATCTCTACATCGTTCTACAAATTTGAGCTTGACAATGAATGAAATAGAAGTGACGAGAAAAACAATTACAAACCTTAATGTCCACTAATTGAAATGAAATATGCCGAGAATATTGTGCTAGATTTTGTATTACATTAGTTTGAAGATTCAAACTATTGATGAGTTGCTCATTTAGATATTCGTCAAAAGTTATTTCTGGCAATTGAGCAGACATCTTAGAGACAAAAAACAATAAGAATGTTTTTTAATCAATAAAATAATTGAAAAAAGCTTCTTTATTTTTAAAGGAATCAAATCGAAAAGTTAAATAACGAGAAAAAAAAGAACAGAACAGCCATTTTTTCTTTCAAGCACGAGTCTTTACTCTAGCTTCCCATTACTCATGATTTTTTACCATTGCAAATCTATAGATGGCATACGCATCCGAATCGATCGAATATCAAATGAGAGATACTAAAGTGGATCTTAATTATATATCGACTTTCGATTTATGGTATCATTGAAGAATTACTATTAAAAGTACAAGCGTTGATGACTCATTTTCTGATTGATCAACAATGTTTGACGATCTTTCTTTTATCGACAGAAACAAGTTTATTAATAACTGATCGAAAAAAACCTTATACTCACTTTCAAGTTGCCTCTAGACGGACGGATACTAATTAATAGTTTCCTATAGATTGATGAATTTCAACAAATCGCATAGGACATTTTTTTTTGTAATGAATTAGTGCCATGGAATAACATCCTAGTGGTTAATGTATCAAATCAATATGTTGCTATAATTTGTAACAAACAATATGATACTTAGAAAGATTTTTATAATGCAATCAGTGTCGCGTCCAATATGATACTTGAGATGATTTAGCTTCTTGAAAGACTCTATCAGACTTCTTGATTATGTCACTGCAAACCAATGTTTGTTTACTCTCGAAAAATAATTGCACACTATCCTAGAATGTATCGTTCGGTTCATGAGTAAAATAAATTAATATGAAGTGCTGCCGTCTTCGATCTCATATCGAATTCAATGAATTAAGCATACCAATTTTGAAAATAGTATGCATTGATCAGATAATTTCATCATATCCATATTATAGAAGCGAATAGAGTTAATGAAAGGAATATGTCAATATTTAGTTGAACGAAAAGTCTGATCAAATCAATCACTGCTTACAAAAACTAACATCATTCGTACGCGATCATATTATAATGCATGGTAAAGAAAAAAATAAAGCACTGTATTGTATTGTATACTATCAAGTGGGTGAATAATATACATAGCACCTTTTGAATTCACGAATCATTGTCGAATATGACATTGGACGAATGTTTTGTCCATGAATGTAAATGATAAATAACAGAGCTTTCAAATTAATACTTATAAAATGTCTAGGACTATTACTCACTCAGACACTTACGCGCCAAGTTCGCAAGTTGTTTACGATATGCAACTTGTGAAGGATATTCATATATACAAAGAACGTATTCATGTCATTTATACAATCAATTATAAATGAATAACCATTTTATATTGATGAATGTGTCTCATAGAAAGTTTTCGATATAATCACTTGCATTATCACGTACAAAAGTTACTGTATTCGCCTTAATAGTTTGTCACTAATTATCTGTCAATGAATACCGATTGTTGTGATATTAAAATCGTTAGTTTCGAAATCGAATCGTTCGTAAAATTGACATGGTTGGCTATCTATTCATCCAACAGTTTCTATATTTTTTTTCCGAGCGTGATACTCACGAATCTTTTTCTAGTAAATGCTTTATAATTTGTTTTGCTGTACTTTTACTTCGTAAATATTTTCTCTCTGTTTTTAAATAGTTCTAAAAGTTTTTTTTTAATAAAAAAGAAATTCATGATAAATTTTTTGTTTATGTTTCGTGATGTAATAACTTGTTCTTGATCTAATAATCTATTTTAAAATAGATTTTATTTCATTAATTTATTAACAATGCCTTTGAGAATGATGTGTTAGTAAGCGCACACGTACGTTAGCGACACTTCTCATGCATTAGTAATTTTTACTACGCACTTTAGATCCATGAAAAGCTAAATTACATGAATCTGTAAGTATTCGTTTTTTCAGAAATTGTCTTACACATTACACAGATTTCAAATGAGAATCCGAATTGAGAACTATTCTTGTCTTTTAAATATCGTCGTAATTTTGTCTATTGTCATCAACTTCCATTCGTTTTAATTCGATAGTCTTGGTGGTCTATGTTAATGACCCAGGTGAATCAATCCGATACCGTATCCCATCGGATTCTATGGGGGCCCTACCATCCGCCGAAATCCCGTTGGATTCCTGGTTGAGGAATCAATGTCGGATTCGACATTCGTATTTCCAATGATATCCGATTGTCGGAACCAATGAAATCCGAAGCATTCCGGTTCCGATTGACGGTTACTGTCGGATTTTATTAGTTTCCGATATTAGGATTCGATATCGATTCCGGAACCAGGAATCCGACGATGATCCGATAGTTTCCTTGCGCCTTCCGAAGAGCTCTGTCGGATTCCAATAGGAACCGATCGGAACTCATCGAATCCTAGGCTAGGATTAATTCTCCTGGGGAGATATACGTATTTGAACTTTTTGTATTTCTCAAAGTATTCAGATGATAAGAAAGATCTGACATATGAACTATATTCAGAGTTACCTTTGTCATAAATAGCTTTATTTCGTGTAGACTTTCTTTTTCTTCCATTATCTATTAAAATATATTAGATATTCGCTATTTTCTATGATTAAAGTTCTGCAAGACACAGTGCCGACCTGAAAAATATTTCGGAGGACGATGTACATAGAACTATAACCTATCAATAATCTATGATAGAAATTTCCATTGACATATCTAGCAAGAACTATTCACTGTTGATATTGATTAGATAAATAAATAGAATTGGATCGGTCATACATTATGGGTTTTATTAAGACGATGACGTTTCATAAGACTTGAGTGTTAAGGACTTTGTCAAAATATGATTAAATACAATGAACTACGTTGGAGTTACTAATAATCAAATGAAATCTCATGTGATAACAGTTCTAATCAATTGAAATATGATCATCTTATCTCTATTATAGTAAAGACATTTGGTGGTAATACTCGATTTTCTTGATTGAGAATATTGTTGAAATGGTTCTCGATTCGAAAAAACGACGTTCGACATCCCGAAAAATCGTTATTTTCCATAATTAGTTATTGACATAATGAGATCTATTTAAAGAGAATGCCTTTTGATCAGATTTCAACGTGCATTAACGTAGAATAGTCATTTCGAACGAAGAATAACACGAATATTTTTGGTTCTACTCTAGATGATTTATTTTTGTTCGCTATGTTAGATAATGTGATATGGAATACGATGTGCACCAGGCCTCGACATTGGGCTATTTTTTGATGGCCGACCCGACCCGGCCCGGCCCGACTTATTTGACAAGTGCAAAGAAACTTCTTGTTATTCAAATTTATTTGATAAAACATAAGGTTAGTTTAGACGTCAAACCGCTAAAAAATTACTAGACTTCAAGCGCTAAAAAATTATGAAAATGTATTGATGATAAGTGTTTAAGTAAAATTAATATCTAAATATCATGTGACATCTTTTGATGTTTCTAGAAAAATTAAAGTTCAACTTGTTGTCGGGCAGCCCGACTCAAATATTTGCCCGGCCTGACGGAAAGAATTACTTGGGCCAGACCAGACCGGTCTGGGCGGCCCGTTTCGAAGCCTGATGTACACTACAATTGAAGATAACTCATTAAATTTTGAAAAACGTTCTTACAGAATCGAGTAGAACATACACATTACGTCAAAAAAAAAGGTTGCAAACATATTAAGGCGTGTATGTTAGTTAGTGGAGCTATATAATACACGTTCTCTTAAATAAAACAAAATACAATAAACATTTATTTTCAATTAAACTCTTGACATTGTTTTATAAATAGCTTAAGTATTGAGTGATCTGTTATTCATAAAATTTTATCGTAATATACTGTAGATCATTGATCAGTAATATGATATACGTAGCTCCTTCGTGAAAGAAAGAAAGAAAGAAACTTTTTATTATATAATAATGATCATTTAGAATACAATAACGATATATAACTTACTAACCCATGTCACGAATACCGCTTCAATTTTTGCGGTAAACCGCGGTAATTTTAGAAAAGCGGTAAATTTGTATGAAATGGGAGCCGGTAACCGGAGCGGTAATACCGCGGTAATACCGCTAGTTTTTCCGGTACCCTTTTTTACCGTCATCATATAGGAAAAAAAGATGCCTAAAATCGCCCGATCAATGAATTTTAGCAACAATTTTTTATAAACGCTCAGCGAACCGGTTAATCGAAAAATACCGGCGGTAAACGGCGGTAAATTTGTGTTGATGGGAGCCGGTAACCGGAGCGGTAAAATCGCGGTAAACTGTCAATTTTACTCCGGTTTTTCCAACATGGGAAGATTCGTTAAACCAAAGCAACTGAGAGAAGTATTTGAAATATTATTTAAAACAACTGTAAAAGAAGTTGAAATACCATTAGATATAGCAGATCATTCGCTTGGTATTGCTTTTCTCGCCTTTGAACAATCAGAAATAAAAAGCAAATTACTTGATTTACAAAAACAACATCATTATATTTTCCTACGGTATGTTAACATTAAATTTTGTTTTAATTTGGCAAAAGAAGACTATTTTATTTTGTTATAGAAGTGAATTGTGGAATGGTCCACAAATCATCAAGCCTTATCCATTTTTAAACAGTTATACAGAGGAAGAAGAAGAAAATCTTGAGTAGGTCAATACGAACACTTTTTAAGCAGGAATATAAACGAAAAAATTTTCTTCCAGGATTCTCATGGCGATGAACGATTCCGTTCATCATTTGGCATAACAAATTGGAAACATTTATGTCACCAACGAACAACAATTAAATGAACAACTTAAACAAAAACTCGACGACCCAGGTCGAGCATTACGGCTACCAGAAACGATCGTATACGGCCGTAAATGTTAACGTATACTGCCGTTTCTCACCGTAAATGGCCGTAACTTGACATTTTGGCATGCACCGTATTACGGCCGTAATTAATCGTGTCGTAAACAGTTACTAACAACCGTAATGTGGTCGGATATTTCCGTATCCGATCGTTTATGGCACGATACAAAAACGACCGTAATACGGTGCATACCAAACGGCCGTGTACGACACAAGTTGATCGATCTGGGGATTTAAAGGCTGAAAATATACAAAAAGGCTCAATCAAAGATTTTTTATTATATATTATATATATATCATTGTTTAGATCCTTTTAGAAATTGAACGTCTTGAAAATGAAGCAAAACAGAAAGAAGTTGAAGCACACTCCAGGTCGATCAAAGCGGGCCACCGTAAACGGCCGTTTTTGCGCCGTATTCCATCGTAAAACGGCCGTTTTAAGCCGAATTAAGGCGTTTTAACAGGGGCAGTATTACGACCAGACACGGACACCGTATATCAGCCGTAAAACCTCGTAAAGCCGGCGTAATCTTATTGTATTCTATAGAACATACGGTCGTATTACTGCCCCTGTTATATGGGGAAAATACGGCACGTAAAACGGGCCGTATTTGTATCGTATACGACCGTTTACTTATGGTTTTCTTCGACCGGGGATGATGCTCGAGAAAAAATAAAAATGCTTCGCCAATCATTGAAACAACCACTTTCAAATGATTGTAAGTACTGACGATAAAACATTTTAAAAGTATATCTTTCATTTTTTTTCTTAGGAAAAACTCGAAAAATTTCTTATTATTATTATTACTGTTAGTCATCAACTTGTCTGATCATCGTTCACTTTGTTATTATTGAACTTCTATTTTGTTTTTGTTTTTGTTCTCTCTCCCTAGTGTTAACTTGAGCAATTAAATCGAACATGAAATTCATTTCTTGCTTGTTTTGGCTATATAAACATTTATTCGTTTTCAACAATAAACTTAAAACATGTGACTTAAAACAGTAACTTTGAGTAATCGAATCTATTATCAAAAACTTTTGATGAAACAAAAAAAATCTTTTTCGTTTTGTTTTGTCTCCTATTGATAGCATTTCGATTCTATTTAATTATAATTAAATTCAATTAACTATAAAGCATTTCAGCAGCGAGTTCATTTAAATGAGATTAATTTGAATTATCAAGAGGATCATCAGCTTCAGGGTCAACAATTATCGTCAAGTAGCTTGACGATAATTGAAAGACACAAGAATTAAAATTCTATTTCATATTTTTATTTTCATACTAAACTACATTTATCTTCTATATAATCTTCATCAACTTCACCATAAAATTCATTATCATCAAGTTTTTTGAACTACAATATCAATAAGATTATCACAAAAAAAAAATAACATAGAGTAAAGATAAAAGAATAATTTACGAGACTTATGATCAACTCTTTGAATTCACTTTTCATTTACTAGAATTAACAGCAGATGATAATCAATGAGCCTTCTTATTTATACATGAAGTTCTCCTCGAGACCAGAACAATAATAACAACAGAGACAAAAATTTTAAAAAAATTATATTTCAACTTATTTTATGGATCAATTATACAATAGGAACAGCAGAGTATTAATTAACGTTCGAGATGATTAAATGCTGAACGTTAAAATTTTTCCATTTAAATATAAATTATTCCAATGAGTTTTGTACAAGGGGGAAAAAGCGGCTCCTGGTGGCTCCTGATGGATTCTAGAATCCATCAGGAGCCGTAGATTCCACCAGGATCCATAGAATCCACCAGAATCCACCCGGATCCATTTTGATTAGTGAATTTATATCAATATTTTAAACAATTTTCAGCTGCTAAAGAAAACAACGAGACTCATATATGTCGGATCTATATGACTTTGATCGAGTTTTGAAAAACGTTACGAAAGTGACCATGCATTTTGTTTACAGATCTAAATGGTCTATCTGTCGTTTCTTGAATCTAAATGCTTAGAAAAAAACTTACAGATTTTATTGTACACAGAAAGAGAAGAGCTGAAGGATTCATTGTTCATATTATTCTATGACTGAGAATGTGTTACAATAGTCCTGAAAAAGATATTTAGCCTTTTTGTAATATAGACAATATTGTTGGAAAAATAATATTATTTTGTTTCTACCGATGACTTTGTCTGTGTATTGATTAATTCTTCATGTTAAATTGCAAAGTTCTAACAAGTACATAAATATGACTGGGTTTACAACGATCGGTTCAAATATATGAACTGACAGCTATGAACAAGTTTTGTTTCAAATATAGTAGGGAGTGCTAGCTATTGCAAAAAGTGAAAAAATACATGGATTATTGCTACTTACTACATAGTTAATAAATTTATCACTCTATCCCATATTCTTATGAAAAAAGATTCAAATTTCATGTTTTCATGTGATTTACAAGTTATATTTTTAACCTTTCCCTTGACAGCTAAAAGAGTTGTTGGATAACCTTTTACAGGATGTTAATGATTACGAAACTTTATGTTGCGAAGACGAATATCATGCTAAGAAGCTACAATAGAAAACCTTAAAAAGCAGCTTTGTCTAACTGGATAAGCCATCATTTTCGACTAAAAAAAAGCAAGCGACAGCGATAAGGAGTAGATACTGATCTTCACATATCTTCAAATATCCACTAAGACCATAGGAATCCATTGGAATTCAGCAGGATCCAGTAGAATCCAGTAGAATCCAGTAGGATCCACAGAATCCGCCAGAATCCACTAGGATCCACAGAATCCGCCAGAATCTACTAGGATCCATAGAATCCGCCAGAATCCATGAGGAGCCGCGAGAATCCAAGGAGCCAACGGCCGCTTTTTCCCCCTTGGTTTTGTATCTTATAATAATAGACAAAAAATAAATCGAAAACCTGCACACAGAATGAATTCATCACATCCGACATTACAGTTAAGGGTGCCACTTTATCTTTATTTTACTGACTAAAGTAAAGTATCTCTTACTTTGCAAAAGAAGTTAGATGAAGTAATAATAAAGCATTATCACACATTATACACATTCTAATATGTCAAAAGTTGCGTCGAAATATGAACCTTTAGCTCCGAATAATCTGAACCTATTTTTAATATCGTGAGAGTATGTGATGCCGAATTCGAATATAAATGAAGCTTCAACTGCATAAAGTTACTTCGAAAATAAATAAAAATTCAACCAACACTTCCATGTGAGAGTGTGGGTGTGTCTTCCTTATATACCACCACACCCATGCCCACCTCAAGAAACATCAACAATATTTTTATTAATCCTTGTAGATGTTCGCAATCATAGGACGAAATATCGATTAACATAATGATAAATATAAAAAAAGAAACATAATTTTATTTAGATTTATTATGTTTTACAATTTAAATTAAAAAAGAAATTTTATAATTTTAAATATTAAATTTATTACGTTCGCTGCAAAGAAGAAAACTCAATTCATAGCTCATATTTGAAAAAAAAAATATTCAGAACACTTCAAAACATCCATAAAATAATATCAGCTTATTCTCGATGGCATTGTGCTAACAATTTAGTTAACATCTAAATGTATCTGTTCTAAAAATATGTAAGATTTTGTGTAGCAAATATTGCAAGTCATAATATGCCACCAAAGTGTCTTCTCATTAATTGAATTAAAAATCGAAATTTCAAAGTATTCAATTCGATGTCGATTATATTCAAACGTTTTACATAGTTACAAAACTAGTCAGATTATGAACGTAGAATAAAGCAAAAATTTAAGATATTTTAATTTTCTTTATGTTTTTGAATAAAAAGTAATCTATAAGAAACAATTGTCAGAATGAAAGAGTAGTCGATATCTTCTATTACTTGTTTGATACAAGATCAATGTTGTAATGTTTCATGTGCGCTAAGAAGTTAAATTACACATTACTTAACTACAAAATTAGAATTTTACTATGAAATCTTAATACACTTCGAAAATATTGAGAAATTAATTTTAGATTTGACCAATATCATATCTGCCGTCTTTCTATACTATTGAATTTATCTTTCAACGACAAAATAACTAAAAATGTTTTTCATGCATTTCTCTCCTATAATTACCATGATGTCGACATTTTATCTTAGTAACAAGAATCTTGAAATAGTACCCTTAACGAATTATTTTTGGATAAAAATGAAATTTTGGCCTAAAAACTGCACATTATTAAAACATTAGATGAACCGATGTCTATTAGAAGTGCTTAATTTTTAGATGATATCAAATTAGAAAAAGTTCAAAGTGGAAATTGGAATCGAAGAAGTCGAGTTGTAGAATGAAAAAAAACGACTACACACGTGTCTATAGTCATTCGTCCTGTAGATGTCACCAGTAATCTAGTATGATTAAACTTGAAATTCGTATTAATTATAACGTGTTGAAAACTGCATAAACTAATACTAATAACTAGAGTTAAGTTCCGATTTAATTTGAAACTTTGAATAGAGGCTTGTAGGAGTCATTCATGGAAGCCGTATAGCAGTTTCTAGAAACTAATATCGACTCAAAAACCTGAGTAAACAACATTACGCATTGATGACTATTTTATATAGCATATCTATAATTTTATTTATTAATGATCATAACATAAGTTTTAGAAAAACAAATAGCTTGCATCAGATTTTTTGTTTGCGTTGTAGATTTTGCTGACAGTTAATTAACATTTTTTTTTGTTAAAACAATGGTTATAACTACAATTGATATCGAAAGAGATATACGGCGTCGTTACAATCGACGAATACTTTTTTGTATTCGAATTAAGTAAGTTTTTTAATAAAACACTTTATTGTCATAGGATTGTGAGGCTTCATTTATTGTAATTTAGTAGAATAAAAGTTAGTTTAATAACTTGCTATTAATTTAGTCACGACATGTACTGAGTGACATGTCATTTCGAAAAATAAATGATAAATAAAAACAATATTTTCGCTCGAAAAACTATCAGTAGTAGCGACGTAACGAGAAATGTAAGATATCTCTCAGTTTATGTTTGCACACTGAGTAGTCTTGATAAGTGGTCAGCTGATTCAGATATGTGAACAGAATATAATCAAAAATAAAGAAATAATTGTATTACAGTATACAGTAACTTCAGGGTAAACAAGGTAGGGCTTCATATCACAATGTTGCAAGTGAGCCCTTCTGTTAACACCACTATCAAATAGAATCTAATATTGAAACAATTTCCGAACCGGTTGAAAGCGAGATGTATGTGATAGTTTGCTTATGGTTCATCTAATAAAAATATTCTATTATAGACATAAGAAAGTTTTCATCAAAAAGTTCAGAAATAAAAAAATCCGTTTGCATTATTTTATGCCACTCACGCTGTTTTTTTCCATAGAGGAGCTGCTTTACTTATTGGTTGCTGGGATTTGGTGATCCACTCGGTTGCTTTATGTGCTATTATATTAATGTTTGGGCGAGCACCTACACCAAGTACTCAAGTGATGCCAATAAATAATGAGCTATATGATCGAGAACAAGCACCATTTATTGATAATTATCAAGAATCGTCAGTGAATTTTATATCAAAAAATGCATTATTAAATCATGGTCTTGAAAATCGTAACAAAAGTCAACCAATAATTGAAATAAATGCAAGAAATTTTTATTCACATTGGGATTTAATGACTATTCATTGGATACAATCACTTAGCAAACGTATGTTAAATTATTATTGTTTTTAATCATAACATTTTTTTAATAAGGAAAGATTTCAGTTTCTAATGATAACTCAAACAACTATAGTAATTATGCCTGCTAATGATATTTGATTTTTCGTTAGAGAAATTAATTCGGATTCTCTAAATTTGAAAGCTATAGATGAACTTGTAAAGATTATGATGTCGGTTGTCATTAATTGATTATGAACATAGTATGAATTTGAACAGAGACTGTGATTTTGTTTAGAGAATGTTATGTAGAACACGATCAATAAGAAGTGTGCGAGTATATTGTTTAGGAATTCGTAGACCTTGATAAACATTACCAAAAAGAAAAACATGTCCATATGCTTAATAATAGCAGCTGCAATGTGTTCTATATTTTCCAGTGATAATGATTACAATAAAGATTGTTTTTCTGTATTTTAGAAGACAAATATATTGTATTTGTTGTGATTTTTTCGGCTACAATAATCATATTAGCACATCTTTGTGGTGTAGTAGCCGTAAGTTTACCTATCGAAATTTGTATTGTTGTTGATTTTTAAAAATTTTTCTAGAATAAACCATCATATATTGTTCCATATTTTCTCATAAAAGTGTTCAACGTTATAATTGCAATAGTAACAATGCTAGGTTTTTATGCTTATTTACCTGACATTAGAGTTTGGCTTCGAATGCAACCACATTTTCCGTATAAAAATTATCTACTTGAATTCGACTCACAAACACTTCAACTTATTGTGTTTACTTTTCTTTTATTCCTTATTCTATTCAAAGTAAGATAATAAAAAGCATTTTTACCACTGTATTCTTTACTATAATTTTCTTTCGTTTTCAAGCTTTATATTGCGGCTATTATTTGGTATTGTTACGGTTATGTAACAGCATTAAAAATGGCACGAACACTCGGAACAATTACAGCTCATAGTGAGACATCACAACCAATCCTTGGAGACGTAAAAATCTTTTTTCCTTAGGAAGATTATTTTTTATTGTTTTCTTCTTTTATATTTAAAGATGTATTCACCACCAAAATATGAAGAAGCAATAAAGTCAAATTCGGACCAGGAAGATTATGCACCTCCTCCATATACACCATTACTGTCATCCTAAAATTTATATTTTTATTCTTAAAGATCTGAATTATTATTTTTTTCTCTCTCTCTCTTTCCGGTTGACTTATTCATTGTATCTACTTTCGAACACAAATGCACATAGAAACAAAACGAATGAACCAAATAGCATACACATGTTTTTTGGTACTAATCGTGCATGTTTTTGTTTTCAATTTTTTCCTTTCAACATAATAACAGGATAGATTTGTATCGGGTGACAACTAGAGCGTGATTTTGTATATAGACGTGTGATTTATGTTTCGAAATGTAATAAATATTATATAATTCGGATTAAAAATTTATTCTAAGTCATTATGCAATCAAACGTTTGCATTATATTGTGATAAATGTCATCAAATGAATTATGAATATGAACAAAGTTTTAATATTATTGAATAGTCGACGTCTTTGCATAATCAATCTGGAACATTCGGATAGGAAAAGAAAATTGTTTTCTATAAAGATTTGTAACGATAAAAATTTAACATGTATTTCGCTGATAAATTCGATTTACGTGGACCGATTTAAGTAATGCTACTACATTCTAAGCACCCCATATCACACCAAATTTTTAACTCACTTAATTACTCATATGGCCGATGACTTGTGAGATATTTTGCGGGGAAAATGTTATTTTTCTATGATTCATCTAAAGCAAAGGGAGTGTTCTGTCTATATGGAAAAAAAGAGAAAAAGAATATAAATAATCTGATTTATACAGTGTTTTACAATCTATATCAAAATGTATTATTTTATTTGAATTTAAATATTTCCTTGTTTTCATCATCCAACACCCACTATTTTATAAACACTTGTATGCTCTCGTGTAGAGGGACACTTCTTTCGAAAGTATCTCGCGTTGAAATCAGTCAAAAGTACTTTTTACAATTTACCGAGCAATTCTGAGTGGATTGTGTATTATTTGACTACTAATTTCCGATTCAAATCTAAAGAAAAACGATTGAAGTCACTGTCACAATTGAATCATGCACATATTAAACTCTACCTCGTGCAATTCCAGTAATATACAATAAAATGTTAAGAAACGTTCGTCATACAATTCAGTTATAAAGAGTAATAAAATGACCTATTTAGAAATAGTTTTGACCTACTTTCACTTTTTCCAGTCAATCGTACAAAAAAGTTGCAATTCATTCATATAAATGGCTTTGTGAAGAATAAAGTGTTTATATTTGTGATGAATTTTTCTGTTTATCAAATTCTGTTTCATATTATACTGATAAGATGTTCATATTTATTAGCAACTACGGTTAGTTTCCTTCATTTCGTAAAAGGTATCTACTGTTTTGAAAATGCAATAAAAATGGATTGATAAAAAAATGTGTGAAAAAATATATGAAATAAAAATACGATGAATATTTCAAGCTACTGCAATAACATTTATATGCTCTTTTCCGGCATCGATTATAGTAAGTGTGGATGACGTAGGAATACTTGGAATAGGATTCGGCCTCAGAGATGTCAAAGTTGTTTTTGGTCGTTGACAACTAGGCGAAGAATTTTTATCTAATTGCTGTTCTTGTATTCGCTGGGGCAATGCAGATCTTTGACATTGACGAAAATATGGATGAGTTTGAGAAGGTTTCGTTTCTAAAAAGAAACATATGAAATAATATTCACGAAAAAAGAAAAAAAAATATCTTATTAGTTTTAAATTAAATCACACAGGCAAAATAAGTTGGTTAATACGAAATTTCTTTTCATAAACTTGCCTCGATTTTTGAATAGAAATTCCGTGACGTTTATTTTTGAAACTCTGTGATACTTGTTTCCTAGATGTAAATATATAAAATCGAACAAATCTATCCTTAGAATTTCGAAAATTCAATTATCAATTTCGTATGCAAAATAAAAGCAACGTCAATCAAAATAAAAGCGATTATAGTGCATTCGTGTACCCTTCTTGAGATGTTAATCGTGCAACATGTCGATAGATAGCCAGTGTATAGTCATCTAATTTTCGAAAAAAATAATTTCAGCATTTATTTTTTCTAATGCATAATACTCGAAAAAGAATAAAAATAAAAAAGTGGGTGCATTCAAAGACAAAATTATTTTTGAGCAACTTCCTGTGGATTTAATATAATCAAAGAAGAAAAATTCATGTGTTTATCTCGGTATGATAATCGAGTTTTTCGATTATGAGCAAGTAATCTTTGCTTTATTAATCGATCGATTTGTTGAGAACGAACCGGTATTCGTGGTAAACGGTTTATACTAGATAATTCTATGAGATCTCTTTGGAAAATGTTAAAAATAAATTTAAATTTAAATTCATCTATTTACCTTTTGGTGATGGTACACGATCATTGAGTTTTGGTGGATTTAATTGTTGATTTGAAAGAATATTAGCTGAAATCCGATTTGACTTTACTTTTGATTGTTTACGTCGTGCGCCATTTGTTGATCGATTATTTGAATGAAAACGATATTGATTATTATCTACTCTATCTAATATGGAATCGGTTGATGATGCTATATCATTATAATCTCCAGACGGTTGATTTATTCCGCCATTTTTTGAAGATGATCTATCATGATTAGCATCAAGAGCACTGATTGAATGAAGTTGATTTGAATCATTATCAGCTGTAGCATCCTTTGATGCACGTACTTGTGGTGGTGCAGACACAGGTGTAGTTATCGTTGCATTATTATTATTATTATTATGTGTTCCATTCGTATTTGAATTATTATTATGCGTTCGATTTGTTTTACAGGTTTTACCTTCAATACGAAGATCAATGCCAATATAGATTGGAACTGGTACAGGCAGTCCTTTATGGATCAATTCAAAACGACCTGTATCATTTACTCGATTATATTTTCGATCAATTATTACTAAATATAGGATATGCATTTAATCGTTCAATTATATTCATTAGTTTCTGCTTACGTTTACAAGTATCTTCAAGAACACCATCACACATTTCGGTTGTTACTGCTGTGCAACGAGCCATAGTTGGACTACAATTTATTTCAATAAGCCAAGGTTTAAGATCTTCACCAAGCATAAAATCGGCACCAAATAATTCAAATGAATTCTATTGAATCGAAAAACAAAAAAGAACTACGAGTCTAGTTATGAACTATAATTTATATATTAAAACTGTTTTGCCCTCCTGGAGTTTGTATATACTGTACTCTGCGCTAGTAACTACGCGAGCATACTCTCAAAAGTACGCAAACACTCGTGAACATATTTGAATTGCTTCTTTGAAAGGAAGATTATAGCTGAAATAATATATCGATTTAGAAAAATATTCAATCTGAGATCGAACTTAACATTAAGTTAGTCGTTGGTTTACATTACCTTTCTTGGTTCTATTGTATCTTGTGCAACAAGCATAGAACATATAATCGAATCTTTCATTGCAGGATAAATAAATGAATCCCATTTGTCGGCTAATTTATTAGGTTTGAGATATTTTTCAATGAATTCAGCATTAGTCCACATATTTTCCACTAATGAAAGTAAAATAAAAAGAGTAAATTAGAGAAATTATACTCGAACATTTTCTATACCCGGTAAATCGGCATGTCGATTTGAATTATTTTTATAATGTTTTTGTATGGAATAATTACACAAATGTACACTTTGTTGTGTTGTTGATAAACTAAAATGTTCAGTACAAAAACGTAAATAACAATCTTTAAACATCCATATGGTTAATGGATTCCAATCAGTCACTAAAAACCATTGGCGTATATCAAATTTTGTATTATGAATAAGTAATGGACGTTCAATATATTTCTGTACAACAAATTTTCTATCATTTACTAACGATGATGTAGTTAATTTTAATATATCATCAAGACGATCGTAAACAACAATTCCTAAAGAAAAAAACGAGATTATTTACAGCTAAATAAAATTTTAAATAGAAATATATTTCCCTACAGACGATGTGTTGCTGGTGAATCCTAGGAAATTTGATAATTCAATAAATAGAATAATGGCAAACAAAGAGGAATTTCAATTTTAACAACTTGATATCTTTAATCAACACTTGCTATTTATTAGAAGTTCTATACATATAAATGTAGAGTAAAAGTAAACTCCACTATGGAACTACTATCAACGTTCATATTTTGTGAAACAAGATCTGAAAGGAGTGTTAAAGTATATAGGGTAGAAATTTGGACCCATCCCCCGCCACGCAGACCGTTACAGAGAAATTAATTAATTAATTATTAAATTTCTCTGTAACAGTATGTGATGGTCTCTAGCGACTCGATACACCATAATACAGACTGTGACAGAGAAGCTCCACAGATCATCACTGGCCACGACCGAAAGGCTCCATATATGATTACAGACAGCGGCAGAAAAGCTGCAAAGACTTAAACGCTGTGGTAGACGGGTTCCAGTAAAGGAGTTTCATTGTGTTTCACATTTTAATCCCATAGGGATTGCGCTAACAGCTTTTTGTTTTCTTGAATTAATCAGAAACCCAACTATCTGATAATACTTCAGTACGATGGAACCGTTTCAGATCACTCTTTCTTTTTAAATTCTAATTCTGTTGCTCATGTAACATCTTAATAACCTATGCAAAACTTTGATGGCGCATGATTTTTTTGTATGTTTCTCTCACTATTGCTAGTTCGTTTCTGGAATTTCAACTTGTCACACATCAAGCAACCTTAAATGAATGATAATATTTCAAACTGGAGAATCATTGATGGAACCTATCAGGCGTATGAAATCCAGTGTTTTTATTTTATTCGCTTGCGATCTAGAGAATACCACTTCAGGATATATTTGTACTGCAATCTGATAATTATTCTGTGTTTCTGTCTCATAACTCTCACACTATGTTCTCATTTATCATCGTGACTAAGATTTAAATTAGTTCAGTACATCTGTAGCCAAATTTAATATGACTCTAATGAACCTTAGCAAAACAACTGCTGAATGAATGAATAATCCGATGACTATGAGTATTAATGAAATTAAAGGTTGTTCTGTAGTTTACAGATTTCTCTGCTAATGTTTTGTTTCAGAATATATTCCACTGGTTGCTTGAGAAAATCGAAAAATTTTAAAAACAAACCTCGTCCTCTTGATTTAGCACCTGGTTTGAGTATCCATATGTTTCTTGTACCGTCAATATGATATTGTGGCCAATTTTGTTCAACATTTTTCAAACATTGATCAATTTTATTCAAATACTTTTCCATTCCTTCGATTTCCATAAACGAACTTTGAAAAAGAAAAGAAAAAAATTATTTTTCAAATTAAAATAAACAAAACAATTCTTCCTTGTTCTTACTGTGAAGCAGCATAGAATTGTTCAATGAACTGTGCCCATTGTTCGTCGGTTGTATCATTTTGTAAATTTAGACTTATATCAATATCTTCATGATCACATGCTAGTGCATATTGTTCGACTTTTTTTAAAGCAAATTCAAGATATGATGAGGGAACTTTTTTTGTTGTTGGAATTTTTCCTAGAACAGGCTTAGGAGATAATGTAGTTGAAGGTAATATATTCATTCCTAATAATAGTGAATCTTCATCGGGATTTAATGATGGATTAGAACGATCATCGGAACTCATAGCTAAAATTGAATTCATATCAGGTTCCATGATTCCTCTACATCGATTTTGAACAACTTTAAGAAAACTAATGCATGATGTTAAACGATAATCATCTAGGAAGAATATATTGGCATGGATGTTTAAGTATTTTACAAATTAAATTAAAACTACTTACCAATAAATGCAATTTTATCATCTTCATGCGTTATTTTATAGCATCTTGGATAAAATTCATCAGCACAACCCGAATAAAACCATGGCAAACTTTTCAGACTACTACAAAGACCAACCTGAATAGAATAAAAATTTGAATTCATAGTTTTCAATAGTCGAACATTGATAATAACCTTTGTTGTAAAACAGCCATTTCTTGAATAATGATTAACCATTTGATCTTTATTTAAACTACTTGTATCATATGAAGCTTGCACACTCCATATGAAATCTGGTGGAGCCGTTTTAACAAGACGTGATAAAAGTCCATAATAACCATCATTTTCTTCCCATGGTTGAATTTTATCTTCATCATCATCCATGGGACTTTCATCTAAATTTTAAGATGACCAAGAAAAAAAACAAGAACAAGACAATATTGAATATAGAATTGAAACTTATTTAACAGACCGAGATCGTCATCACCCAATTCATCATCATTTGTATCGTCATCATCGTCATCATCACTTTTATTGTTTTTTTTATCAGATTTTTTATTTCCGTGGCCACCTGGTAATGATGGACCTCGATCGAATTTTTCAATCCAACCACGACTATAATAAATAATAGGATAATATTGAAGAAATTATTTCAATTACATCAAATAACCGTCGTAAAGCTTCTCTTAAAGCTGGATATGGACCAATTATTGTAAATATTTTATGTTCCTAAATAAATATTCAATTATAGGAGTACTATTTTATTTTCTTGCATACTTTCATAGCGCGTTCGGCTTCATCCCGTGCAAGTTTCAGTCTTTCTATATTTATTGAATCATTTATTATAGGACGCTTAGGTGATATATCGGGTTGTCGAACAACTTTAGCTGGCGATTTAGGGCGAACTATTGGTGAAATTCTTCGAAAAGGTCGTATTGAAATAGGTACATGCTGTGATAGTGGTGGCAGTGGTGGTGCTTGGGCAGGCGGCGCTAGCACTGTGGCTGTCGACGCTACTGAGATTTCTGCTCCTCGTTGAGCTTCTGCTACTGATACTTCTGAAGATCCGGATCGTCCTTGTACATGGCGATTCACTCGTGTTTGTATACGTGCTGATGGCAGTCCTGTTCTTCTCGGTAAAGCTGCACCATAGACACGAACAAGTCGTGCTAGACGTTCTTTAGTTCGATTTTCTTCTGAAACCACAAGTAGACGAAAAATAAATCAATAATAATAATAATAATACTATTAAACTTACCAATTGTTGTAGGTGCACTTGATATGTCATTATCTTCAGCAGATGACGTTTCATCACTGATGAGTTTATTTTCTGTAGTTGCTTTGTTACTTTCATTTTGAGGTTTAACTCGTTTCTCACGGCAATACCATTTACCATAGTTATTAGCAGCTAATTCTTTCTGTAAAAATAAAGCAAAACAGAAAAAAATTCGACTTTTAACTTTCTACGATTAACACTAACAAACTCTTGAAGTCGTTTGGTATGCTGTAGTTGACGTTCATAAAAATCCGATATAAGATTTTGAGCTATTTCACTACTTTTTTGATTAAGTTTCGGTTTGAATGTAAACAAATGTGGATCAAGCGTCGCCGACAGTTCACCACGGCCAGTCGTCACAGTTGCCATTATAAAATTATTTTGAATGCATCAACAAAAAAAACTCCGATACGTATTTTTTGTTTGTTTAGAAAATAAACTTCGTGCCGTGGAGTACTTTTCTTCTGCCTTATTCTTTTCTTCGATTTTTTTTAGATTAATTATGTTTGTAATATATGCATTTGCAACTATATGGGTAAGATGTCAGTTGCATTTTTTTTCTTCTTCTCAAACAATGCAAGCGAGAAAAAAAGAAAGATAAAAGGTTTCATTTGAAGTTGAGTTTCATAGCAACGACCCTCTCCAAAATAATAGTAATTTGTTGTTTCATCTATCATTTTTTTAATACAATATGTTTGACATTCTACTAGAGTAGTGAAACTGATATTAATTGTTTTTTTGTTTTCACTAAATACATGATATATTTTCAAAGTTACATAATTCCTAGACAAAGCTCAAGAGAAACTCTTTAATATCAATAGTGACATTTTCTTGCATCTTATTTAATAATGAGTATTTTAACAGAATGTTTGTGTTGAGGACGATCTTTTGTGAGAATTCGTAAATAACTATTTTGTTTTTAACTAGTTAATAGTATCAATATCGCAATTGCTCTTATTTTTTATTGAATTATCCGGATTAAATTAGGAAATCAAACGGAACTCTAATAATAATGTTAGATATTTAATTATTTTATTTATCAGTTAATTCTATTTTCGTATTGTATCTTCAAGACTATTAACAGCCTATATTGATTGTTAGAATAGTAATTTATTACTTACTATCATACTGTAACAAGTCAAGATTTGAATCTATAACATTGAAATAATTTTATTGTGACTTTTGCTCTTGACTTTCATTGTTGATCGTGAAAATCGTGCACGCTGCCAAATGAAAGGTAGCGTACATGAATATGATTCAAACTAACAAAAATTTCTATACAATAATTAATTATTTTTCCATTATAATTTTCGAACTATCGGGATTAATTTCAAGTGAATACAGTAATTTGATAGAATATCGATACATTTAATGGAAAGAAATACACATCATATTTATTTTTCTTCAATCAAAAAAAGCTTGAAAAAGTACCAGTCACATCAAGTTGTAAAGAATTACCGAAATGCTGTGACTTGATGAGAGAATATGATTGTATTATTTCTATTTTGAAATACGTTCTTAACATAGTGTTACTTCGTCCTCCAGAAATTTCATAAGAAACTACTCGTTGTATGATAACAAGACTTAATCTATGACTTTGTGCTTGCCATTTTTTTTGAAAAAAATAGAGCAACTATTTTAACAAAGAAAGTATGACTGCGAATATTGATAGAATATACTAATCAGATATGAGTAGTTGACGTATTCATAAGCGAGGCGTAGAACTTTCCCCAATGATTACCAGTTGTCTTGAGTTCATCTTATTGAAGTTATGAAATAGTATAATCGAAGAGGGTGCGGTTTTCGGCTATGTTGTGTGATTAGAATAATTGAATTGGAATATAAGTTTGATTATTTTCAAAATGGCTACTCAAGTTAGAGAGAGAAAGAAAGAATCATTTTATATCAGCAGGTTACAAAAAGCACTAGTTTCTATAATATAAATGGCCGAAAAATGAAAACAAATCTATCTAGATGTAAGAAATTGATCAATTAAATGAATCTTATCGACTGTGTTGGACCATTCAAGCGACAAGAGGTTGTACTCGAACGCTTTTAGAATATGAAACGCCGAGTATAAAAATGCTGGCAAATCAAAACAAAAACGAAATGATTATAGTTCTGTAGATTTTGAATTGTGATATCATGAAAATGATTCTTTCGCAAACATTCATTGAAAGTCAGCCTTTTACATGGGAGCAAGACTCAAAATGATGATCTTGTAGTTCTCTATTGATAATATTACTGTCACTTAAAAATAAAATCTTATGAAAAAAATCATAGAAAGCAACGATATGAAGAAATGAAAATTATGCTTGTAGGTAACATTGGCTGTTTAGAATCATGAGATGATTTTTTTTCAGAATGTTTTCAATTTTCAGCAAACTAGAGCATTTTAAATCACCTTGAAATTGCATTACACTAAATGCAGAGTAAATAAATGTGTGAGTCGTTTTCTTAAACAGGCGCATAGTTTCCTATATGTTTTTGATGAGATTTGACGAAATGTAGATTTCTATGATTTATTTTTCTGAGTCTTGTTTAGCGGAGCTCTAGAAAATTATTGCCAATGATTATTAATTAATTTTAAATGTCTTACTTTTATAATAGGATCTACTTTTCAAGGTCTATTAAACATAATGATCGTTTAACTATTCTCCCAATTTAACTTCAATTTAGTAAGATGTTTGCTTTACAAAATTACTCATGTTTATGACATATTTCCTAGTAAAACCTCTAAAAGGTAGTGACAATACGCAAATCATGAATCATTTTGCAGTCAATACTAAAAATACTGCTTACTTTTCGAAAAAAAAAGGAACAGCAGAATCGAAAAGTTCTTTCGCCGATTTCATTCATGTTGTTTGCCTGTCAAGGGAGATTTTTTAATTGTTTTTGTTTTCTTTACATCCTCTGTAGACATTTTTTCGTGTTTTTTTCGAAACAAAATCATTTTCATTATTCATTTTCTCAACGGTCGTTTTCATTTTGTTATAGACTAAATAATTTTAAAGCACGATGAACGCACTGACACGTTGCGAAGGAGCCTACATTGGGCATGCTATTGCATCTCAATATGATCCATCGATACACATGTCATTAAATGTTAGTGATAGTCTTCTTGCTGGTCAAAAATTTGATGGACCAGATATTTTATCAAGGCATTTATATTTATATCATACACAAAAATTTGAAATCGGTGAAACAACGAAATATATCTACCAAGAAGCATTGGCATATAATGGTACACAAACATGCCCTACTCGTGAAAGTTTTCTCTTTGAACAATCACTTATTGATAAGATGGTTCAGAAAGCTCATAACAAATGTGATGGTCTTACTGCTGGTTGTGGTCCAGCACATCGTTCATATCCACTCGCTTTCTGTCATTTTATCTCAGATGATGATTTATTTGAATACAGTACATTAGAAGCACAGTTAACACATTATAGCCCACTGGCTGGTCAGGTAGCTGGTATCGTAAATGTTATTTGTCGTTCACTTCTAAAAAATAAAAGTTGGGACGACGCTGTAGATTTGGCCTTTGCAACGCCTCGTCTTCATAAGGATGTACAGCAAATATATGGTCGTCACCATCGTTGGGCTTATCCTGCTGTAGAAACACACGCAGCTTATGCGCCAACAGTACTGAATAATGCATTGCATCATGTTGCTACATCGAAGAATGCACCTCAAGCGATGGCAAAAGCTGATGGCAAAGAGAAGTTTTATTCTCTACCAATTGTTGGTGTATTAGCTGGTGCCCGTTGGGGTACACCAACAGAAGTATTTAAAGATAATATTGATAATTCAAAATTAAAACGTCTTCGTGACGCAGCTGCTAAGTTAAGCTCTTTTTGGAAAGAAAATAATGGACATGTGTATGCTTAAAAATCCAAATCCATATAAATATTAATTGAATCAACGTATACGGTGGTTTGTAAATGACGATACGATCACATGTTGAAATATTCTCATTTTCACCAATAAAAATAAGTTCTCTCGCGTATTTTATCATGGACATTCATTTAATATCTTTACACCCATAAAGAATATCTGATAGTCATTCTATTTTGGAATAGTATCATTTATTTCATGAAATCCATAGACAGCATTATTAATGACGAGGCATGTATGCCAAAACCAAAATGAAACGTTGACTAAGATTTTCTTTCAATTAGTTCCACTAAAATGACAGTCCCAATGGCGTGTTCCAGTTGCAAAATAAAGCAACCGAACTTGATAGCATAATCTTTTTTTCCTTAACCATATTGAAGTTGAAGATAACTCAAAAAATGATCAAAACGTACTACTCGAAAGACTTGAGTTTAAACGTCGTTTGTTAATAAAAACTAAATTACAATCAGGTACGTTAGTAAACTCTGCAGCTTCCTATTCGTTAGAATGTAATTTCAATTGAAACTCAAAACTTTAACGTCATCTGACACATGTGTCGATCGTTCCATAGATAGTTTCATTTTCATGACGCCAGATCTTGGCTGTTTTCTGTATTGACTGTGTAGGCAGAAGTAGTGTTTAGTAATGCAGTGAGTATGTTTTGCCACGTAAAACTTACCTTCAAGCGTAATCAAACTCAAGTAGCAATCGATTGTGCACAATCCATAACGTAAAAACTGCACATGATTTCTTTTTTTTTGCATTCTAAGAATTATTCTTTTTTGGAAAATATGAGAGGGTTGTTTTCATAAATACAACCCTGACAATTTTTAGTCATTCTAACAGGCGATGTTATCTTTGGGATATAAATTGAATATTTTTCTTTTACTGTTTTGCCTACACAGCAATATAAATTTATCATATCCGGATCTAACAATAATTAGAATAGTCTACACATGAAAAACTCTCATGATACGAAAAGCGAGTTACTATCAAGGAGTGATATTTCATAAACGCTTACCAATTTAGCTTTGTTCTCCATTGAAAGCAATATGTACCGTTCTATAGAAGCTGTTAAGTATAGTATCTGGATAATTTTATTTCAATATTGACGAGCTGACTTGCAGAAGTCTTTTTCGAAACAACTCGCATGATAAAATCCTATCCTTATATGTCATTTTTCATGGAATTCAAAAGGTATGCTTGCCAGACATTTCGAAAGATTATCTGGGCAAAACCATTCAAAACTGATTGTATTGAACATCTTCTCGCCCTTGAACATTTCGAAGGGATGAGAACTACCTAAAGTCAACGTATCTAGTGCAGCATTAACAACGCCGATTCGAGTTAATTAAAATATGTATCGTGCCATTCATAGATTTCATTTGTTTATAAATGACGCGTCATAAAGTTCGAAAGCTTCACCATACATAATTATGAAATCAACTGAAAGACTAATTAATAAATATTCTGATATATCCTGACGTGTATGAATCTCTTTATGTCTGATGAAATTCAGAAGTCTAAAGTTTAACCAATTATGTAATAATGTGCAAGCATTCGTTGTTTTTTCCGTATCAATCATAATATAAATATTGAATGACTGAATTCATAAGCTCAAGCTCAATCGAATGAAACGACATACTATTATGGACCGATAGCGATTTATTAGAAGTTGATATTTTTTAAAGATATGAATAAATTCACAGATCATACATTACACACACAAAAGAACGTGATAAAAATCAAACACTGTTCGAATCAAAACAAGATGAGAAAATGATTCCGTCAATTATAAACTGTCTTTTACTAATACGCTTGGCAAATATTTTTCTGTTATTTGTAACATTGCTTGAGGTAACCAATGTATACCTCCAGCTGGTGTATATTCAAATGGTTGTTCGACAGCGAAAAGTTTTGCGAAACGATACCACCAACGAAGTGGTGCTAGTACTTGATGAGCTAAACTATGACTAACAACACTTGCATAGCATGAAGCAGCCATGTCATTTACAATTAATGTTCCTAATGAAAAGAAATGATGCAAACTAGTCGAACTTTAGAAGAAGGAGAAGAAGAAAACTTTACCTTGACTAGTCATTGGTGTAAAATATCCAACTTTATATTCTTCACTAACATTTCGAACGCTGACTGATTGAAGTTTACCTTGCGAATGAATAAAAACCATATCATGTGTTTTAATTTGGTTTGCAGGAACAAAATGATTGTTATGATTGACAGCAATAAAATGGTTTCCTGTTAAACTTACACGATGGCCAGTTTCAGTTTCAATCGAATAGAATAAAGCTAAGCATAATCAACAATAGGGAAAAAGACATGCGAGAATTGTAAAATTAAACCTGGTCGACTCGGTTGACTATCAAGTATCATAATAACTTCATCTTCTTCGACTTGTTTTTGTGAATTCATTACCAATACACGATCGCCTGGTCGAAGTTCGCGTAAAAGTTTTTTTTCCCCATTAGCCATTGATACAAAATCATCACCCGAAAAACATTTTGGATTACCTAATAATGAGAAAACCGTTGAGTTCAGTGATTTCGAGCTCGGGAAATCTATGTAGAGTGTACTATTCAACGAGTAGTACAAATTCGAGATTTATAAAAAAAAATGAAAGTTACATTCTAAATCAGAATATCGAGCTATTTTTCCAGTAGCCTGACAGAATTTTTGGACGCAAGAGAAGCTACTCAATTCTAAATGCTGCATTTAAGTTTCATGATTTTTTTTTTGAAGACATCGACCTATATCCAGACTTTTAATTGTAAATTGATTCTAATTGAAATCGAGAATAAATACTTACGATTAAGTGGGCATTCATCCGGTTCAGGAGAACCTGGATTGACACAACACCATTGTGCTAAGTTTTGCAATTCAGTAAAACCACCTTCGGCTATCTAAAAAGAAATATTGAGTTTTCATTTCAAAAGAATCAGATATGATTACCGATCCACCAATACAGTTCCGAGTTTTTGTTTTAAAACATTCCATATATCTTTCAGCTAAATTGCAAAACAATTTCAAATTTCCTTTAGCTGCTTGAATGATAGCTTGAACATCAAGTTGTGCACATTCCGCTAATTGTATTGGATCGTCTTCGAGTGAACATGGTACTTGAGCCAATGATAATTGTATAATGATACTAATCAATACACAGATGAACACATATATTTGACTTGACATCTTTGCTTCGTCTATTCAATAAAACAAAATGATTTCATCAAAGAATATATATATCGATTATTTTCATTGTTCTTAATTTTATCCTCCTCTTCTCCGTCAATAAATCATATAATAAATACAATTTTGCTTGATAGTCATTATTAAATCTATCCAAATGTATATATTTGACTAGGATTGTTAAAAAGAGATCAATGAAACACTAATTCAATATTATCCCTCCTCTTCTCTATTAATTATTTCTTAATAAAAACGGTTTTTCAATAATTCAGTAGATCAATCATTTTTCTTGAATTGCAAAATTACAAGGATATTAGTTTTGATATTTTATTATTTCGAATCTATATTATTCTTATATGTCTTTAGAAATAAGTCATTAAATCTACTGTCTTAAACAAGATATCATAAGCTGTAAGTCATTTGTTAAATTTTTGTTGCAGTTAATACTATATTGATACAATTATCTATATGCTACTTACACAAATATGGCGGCAACTATTGATTCTTCTATTTTCATTTTATTTATTTCAATTAAGAGAAAGTTGTAAAATATAATTCATTAAAATTATATAAAAACAAAAATAAAGAAAGTTTAATGACTGATCTAGAACAAACGTTTCCCTGAGTACATGGCAATGTATCAATTCAATGATCGCGTTTTCCTTTTCACAGAAAACCAAAAAGAAAATTTTCTTTTTAATGCGATTCAAAAAGAAGAAGAAGATAAGTCATCGATCATATTACATAGATATAGGTAGATATTGTAAACTTGGTGATTGTGTTAGGAATTGTTGACCTTGCATATTAGGTATATAGGATGATTGATTTGAATCGACTGAAATTACTAATGGAGCGCTTCCATTATAAACAACTGGTTGTTGTTGAATGCCGGTAGAAGGTACTGAAATAACTTGTGCTGTTGGTTGTTGAAGTTGAGGTAACGGTTGATAAACAAGAGTAGACGGAGCTATGTTTGCTCGTAATTGTTCATTTATTAAGTCAGAAAGACCAAATTGTGGAGAAATATTTGTTGAATCCGGGTTATCTCCTTTTAATACATCTCGAAAAGCGCCAACGAATTCAGGAAAATCAATAAAACCATCATGATTTCGATCAATGCTAACGAATATATTTTCGAGAGATCGATCAACATTTTCATTATTTGCTTCTACAAGGACATCGCGTAATAATTGACGAAAGACAACACGATCAATTTTACTTCTACCACCACGTGTTAAATTCGAATATTCTCTATGAAGGAGTGCTACATCGGTTGGATGCAGTCCAGCAATGTTAGCAACAGCTGCAAAATCTGTATCTCGAAAACCACCTGATACAGGTGGATATGGATGCTGCCCATATGCAGCACGTTGAAGAAGAGGACTTGGTTGCGATACATTCATTATAGGAGGATTACCGTAAGGGGGTGGTGGTGATGGTGATGGACCAGTAGAGTAAGGTGATGGTAAAGAACTCATACTATTAGGTCGTGCCATGGGAGGCATTCGATTCTGGAAGGTTTGAATTGTTTGATAAGCGTCAATAAGTTTTCTTTGCTCTTTTTTACTAAGAGGTGGAGAATTTCTAATGACATTATTATACGGATTCATTGGTGGAGACGTACCATATGGTACTGCTGGATTATATGATGGTCCATATTGTGGAACAGAGATTTTAGGTGTTTTTTGACTTGAAGTAATTCCTCCCATTGATTTATCAGTTTTGACTTTACCGTGATTAATAATCAGCTTCTATTGAGGATGACCCTAGTCGAACATAGTAGGTACGGTTGTATAAGGAAAAAAATGAATGTTACAGTTGACTGAACTTTCTATATATATATGTATACGTATAGAGAGTAATAAGTCTGCCTTGGTTTCATTTATCAAGGTTCACTACAGTATGTACGTGTAAACCCGCATAAGAAAAGGGCTACGACCTTGAGCCATCTTGATAGATAAGAATCACATATGAACAAAAGAGAAATTATCCTTGTGGACGCACGTCCTGTTCGTTTATCGTATATTTTTAATTTTCAAAACAATTATTTTAATCTTTTTTTCTTTTTTATTCGAACTTTGTTCTTACACGAATCAAATAGCCAGCAAAAAAGTTTTTGTGAAGAACAAAAGGAGGAAGAAACGAAGGGTTTTAGAGGCGTGTGTGCGTATTTGTGCTCGTTTATAAACAAGATCAACAAAACGCGAAAGAAAAAAAGAATACTGTGTTTAGTAAATATCCAAAAAACCGGTGAATATCAAACAACAATAGCAAACAAGATCTTTGTTTAACAACATAAAAACAAAAGAAAAACTAACGTCAAAAGTATCTGAGATGATGATGCTAGATAAATAAAAAATAATACAAAAGATTTTCTTTTTTTTTTAAATAATACCTCTGCATCACACAGATATATGAGATAGAAAAAATAACAACAACGAACAAAACACACACACGCGTATTTTAGGAAATGGGAAAAACAAACTGTACAGTATCTTAGCTCCTTCTCTTTTCTTGTTAGCGATTGTAGCTGGCTGGAGGTACAGAATCGGACGAAAAATGATCGTAAGCCGTTGGTGCCTGATATGCAAATGCATTTGGTGGACCACTAGTCGAATCGGTTCCATAGTTATATTGATTTGTAGGTCCTTGAGAAGCTTGTGCTTGATTATAATTCCAACCTGGATAGGAATATTGTGCGGAATTAGAGCTAGCAGCAGCGGTATTCATTGAATTACCAGATTGTGATCGTCCTTGACCATAGGAATTCGCTTGCGGATGAGGACCAACTTGCCAAGTTGCATTTGAAGCGGATGCTGATGAAGGAGCATAGGAACTGTACGAACGGGGATCGGCTTAAATGAAATAGAAGTAAAATAAGATTTCATTGAATAAAAACAAAAAAATGTTTTACCATAATTTGGATTTTGCCATTGAGCTGGACTTATTGGTGACCATGCTTGATTACTTGTTTGTAATTGTTGTCGATTTGATTGAGTACGATTTTGACCTTGTTGATTTGTCTGTTGACTAAATGATGAACGAAGAAAAATACAATAGGAAACTATAAATGAAATAGTTTACTTATAATATGGATAATGTTGTTGCTGAGTAGCAAGTGCAACTTGTTGATATTGTAATTGTTGTTGTGAACGTTGCTCTAGAAAAAAAAATATGATTTTTATTGAAATAAAAGAAAAGCAAAAGCAAAAGGAAATGTTTCATTTACGTTGTTGATATGGAAACAGATTTTGATTTATATTGGGCATATTATAATGTGCTAATGGTTGCTGCATCATTGTTGTATTCTGTTGATTGCTTTCCAAACTTTTTGGATTTGCACGTTTACAATCAATTGATTTACCAGCTAGTGTATGTCGAGGCTGTTTAAGCACTTCTTCAGCACTTTGTTCATTTTCGAAAAGTATAAAACAGAATGGTCGACGTTTTTGTTTCACTTTATCGATTGGTGCCTCAATTTGGGCGATCTAACAATTGAACACAAAAAAATTCCACTTTACATTTTGAATAACTCAATCGTATCAAAACAAACCAGTCCGAATTGAGAAAAATATTCACGTAATTCAGTATCCGATATTTCTGTATCTAAACCGCCAACAAAGACTTTACGAGCTAATGCTTGATCACGACGATGTGCAGATTTTGTATCAACACGTTTGCCTTGAATGATATGCACATCTTGCGTATAAACCTTTGTTTTCAATTTAAAAAAAATAGATTAAATTTAAACATAATTGAATTTATTACTTTATTCGGTGTATCAGGATCTTCGAAAAGAACAAAGCCAAAACCTTTTGAACGACCCGATTTATCATATTTAACAGTGGCACTTTCAACAGCGCCAAATTTTGAAAAATATTCGCGGAGATGTTCTGAAAAGCAAAACAGGAATAATCATCATTTAAAGAAGTCAATAAAATCAAACACGTTTCTTACCCATCTTTGTATCTGGACTAAGACCGCCAACGAAAACTTTTCTTTTACTAAACAATTTTCATTTAATTTTTCCAGGAAAAAACAAAAAGAAAAGAAAAAAATTCGACTTACTTGACCGAATCATTCGTTGCATTATCAACACCATTATTGTTTTGTCTACGTTGTTGCATTGATGAACCATTGTACGTCACGTATTTCTGTTGTGGTAACATTGGTCTCATGAAATTATTGGTATTGTTTAAATATTTTGCTGGTGGACCTGTATAAACTGTACCCGTAACAGACGATGCCATGGGTACTTGTTGTTTCATAGCAAACATCTGCATTGGATTTTCAAATGCTTGTGCCATATTATCCAAATTTTGACGTATCGGTTGAAAACCTGCATTATTGCTGTTTGTTGAGGACGAAACACCTTGATCAGACGACATTTAATCACAATAACCACAGACAAACAGACAAGAAAAAAAGATGGGAAAAAAACACAAGATTTGTAAACACACGAAACACACGAAAAAAAAGAAAAAGCAACTATATAAGTTCTAAAAAAAAACAAATAACAAAAAGTTAAAGAAAAAAATCGATCAAGTTAGGTAAATAAATAATTAAAACTATAACCAATCCTCTACGATTACACACTTATGCACTTTAAAGTACCGACTTCTGGTTCAGACGGTTACTTAGTTTAGGTAATTATTGGAATTTTTATATGGTGATACATATGAACTATATAGAAACTAATCTGTGAATGATGAAGTGTAATGATTCAGTTTATCATCATAACCGAATAAAATAATTGAGAGTATATCTGTTCGTCCAGAGGCCGCAATCGAAGGGTGTGCGACCCCCTAAGAAAATAGCTCGTATGCAAATATTTGTTATGGCTATGATTTGATTCAATATAAATGAAGTTAATTCACTGGAAGGAGGTAGAATGAACTCAGTAATGTATTTTGCTAACTGAATATCTGTATTAATCATACATCACGCTTTTTTTTAGTACAAAAGATATTATGTAAAACGATCTCCATAAGAATTCTCATGGCTTAACTTTATTGATACTTCAAGTGTATTTTAGTTTATCATTTTGAGAACTTCTGTCAATATTAAACATAGACTTTGTTAGACTTCAACTTGAACTGATTGCACATGTAATCAATGCCGATCCGGCAAATATTTGATTCCAAGAAATCGGTGAGACGATCGTACATTTATTTTATGTACGAATTGTTTTGTCTGACTGAAATGAAAATTTTATTGCAATAATTGGTCATCATCATCATTTACGACAGTACTTATTCCGTTAGTAAATCATAACGGTTGTCTTAATTACGTCTTACTATCAATTGTTTGAACTATCACAGTTTATTGACTGAGAATATATGAATTCACAATAGCTAATTATTCAAGAGTAGACAGTAATTTTAAGGCTAAAGAATACTCTTTGTTTTAGTTCAATATTAGAAAATTAAATAGTTTTGCTATCATTGCCTTATGATTGTCTTCAAATATGAATTATTAATAGATTTCTATCAAAATAGACGAAAATTTGTATTTGTAATATAAATTTCATCAAGTTATTGGCCAATCGGAATCATCAATATGTTATTCAGCTATTGAATACTAATATTAATGTAACACCTGTTTAATTTTAAATTTAAAAAATTGATTGATTAAAAGATAGAACTAAAGTTGAGTAGTAATTTTACAGCCATATTCCGAAAAATGAAACTTTCCATAAACAGCTTCTCCACATAAGAAACAAAAATCATTTCCACATTTTTCACATTTAAGCAAATTATTTGCTCCAACTTTGATATGAGTTTGACGACAATTTTCTCTCGGACACATTTGTATTCGTTTTATAACTGCATGAATAATTTGTTTTCCATTTTCATCATGAAATATTTGTTCAAGTTTCTCGTTCATCTCCGATGGAAGACTTGCTTGTTGTTTTTCAGGCTTAACATTGCATGGATGTGGCCCATAAGCACGTCCATACCATCCGCATAACCAACAAAAATGTATTTGACAATGTCGACAATTCATATGTTGACAACCACCATTCTTTTCAATACGAACTTGACATGACGGGCAAGGTTTTGTGCACTGTTCAATTATTTGAATATTGTCTAGTTCTAGTAGAATTTTACTTAATTCAATTCTATTTAATTTCAATTTATCTTTATCGGCATTTGGATTTTGTTGAATATCTTGAATCATTGCATCTTTTGGACATTGTACTTGTGGATGCCAACTTTGTTGACATCGACGACAAAATATAAATTGACAGTGAACGCATTCAGCAAATGATCGATGATTGCCCGATGTACTTTCTGGTGGTACACATATAATGGAATGATGACAACGTGGACACCATACCATATCAGTAGTTTGTTCCAATAAATGCTTTTGATATTTTAATAATAATTTATCATCAGAAAATATTCGACGAAGTTCCGTTAAAAATAACGGCGAATCACATTCATAACAATTTATTGCTTTATTTTCTTGAATACGCGATAAAAGCTGAATAGCATATGAATTTAAACATGAAAGACAAGCATAATGATGACATTTTTCAAATTTTAAACAACTTCTTCCAGATTTTTCATCTAAGCTAGAAATGTCAAATACCTATAATAAACAGAAACCGAATGAGTGCTTCTTACCAAATTGGACAAATATGAATTGTTCGTTCGAATTCCGATTGATTTTGTACTCGATTATATTCAACTAATTGATCATAGATTTGTTTCGAACCAATTTTATCATAATTCGTTCGAAAACGTTTATCATCTGTTGAAGAATTAATATCGAATAGAATAAATTGATTGTTTAAATTAAAAAAGTAATCTTTCAACAATTCAATCCATGTATAAACAATAACATCACCTGATATCCACATTTTATCCATTTTATTTGCCAATGACGATAGTTGATCACATGTTAAATAATCACATTCAATACAATACAATGGTGGATCGATTTTTGGATAAGTATTTTTATAGGTAATGTGAAGAGTTATAGGTGGCAAATGAGAAACTTCAGTGGATGCATTGGATTTATTATGAATGAGAAGAATTTTCTCTGGTAATGAATCAAAACGAACAATGAGATTAAATGTCGATTGATGATCTACATTATCAACTGACACGAAATCTTCATTAAATATAGATCTCAATACTAATATTTCTTCTTCATGTTCAGCAGGTATCAACTCTTTATCTATATATTCCATTGTTTCTACGATGTTACGTATCCAGGTGGCTACCATATATATATATATTTCTATGATTACACTAGAATTTCGCAATAACATACTATGATTCATCATCAACATATATTTTCTAGAGAATCCATAAACAGCGACGTATAAAAAAACAAAAAAAGAAAGCATGTAATAGATACGTTCACACAAACAAGCAAAACGATGTTTATATCGGTGCCAAGATAACACAATAGTAAAGGAAACAGAAAAAAAGATTAAAACTAAGTCATAAAAACTGACTGGAAATGTATTTAATTTATCAGTTATAATTCATCATCATGTACATGGGTCGATTTTTCACTATCGCTTTCCCCATCTTCATCGCCGTTTGGTTTTTTAGCTTTTTCTTCTACAAAAATAAAATAAGATGAACTTTGTTTTGATAGAAAAATACTACATACCAGCTTCGCGTTTCTTTCGGTCTTCTTCTTCTTTCTTTCGTTCGACTTCATCTTGTTCATCTTTCATTTTTTTCTCAGCAACTTTTGTTTTACCCCATGTTTCGTTACCGAAATCTTCAGCGCGTTTAACGCTGTCTGTGATAATAATATTATCAAAAATTGTGCCAGATTTAACTTGCCATAAATCAAAACCAATTATTCCTAAATCTTTATATAAATAAAGATCTTTATCTTCAACATAATCGGGATTATCAATTTCTGGATGAACCCATGGGCCTTTATAAGCTGAGTTATCGATTTGACGAGCTTTCCATACTCCTTTAAATTCTGGATTATCAATCATTGGTGGTTCCCATGTACCATCTATTTCATCATCCCAATCTTCGGGTTTTTTAGCTTCAGGATCTGGAATATGTTCTGGTTTTTCCCAATCTAATAACAAACATGATTATCTAATTTTCTTGACAAAATCTGTATTATATATACCTTCTGGTTTTGTGTCAGTTGGGTCATCGATTTTTTCTTCATCGACCCAGTCGGATGGTTTTTTAGCATTTGGATCCGGAATTCGTCTTGGTACAGTGAAATCCCAATCTTCTTCAAGTTTTCCACTTTCAACTTTTTCACCATCAACACGAACTTCATAGGTATTATCAGAATTGAGAATCAATGTATAGAGATGCGTAAATTCATCATCTTTGCATTTGATATCTTTTTTCGTTAATAAATTTTTGCCTTTGTATGTGAAAATTACATGAACTTTCTTTTTGTCATAACCGCAAATATCAGGACCTAATAATGAAAACAAAAAATGTCAATACAGGAGCTTAAAAATAAATGAGCTTTTAATTTACCGAACATAATATGATACGGTGAATCACCAGTAATCTCGTTTTGGTTGGTATCTGATGGATAGACTTTAACATAGCCGCCACCACAATCAATTTTTTGTTCGTGTTTTACAGTGAATTGAATAACAAGTGTTTTTCCTTCATTTGAAAATTCATCAAATTTAGAAGAGATCGCATAAAAACGAGCATCTTCTGAGGTTTGAAGACCTATAGAGAAGAAATTATATTTTTGGCAATAGTCAATTAAGAATTACATACCAAGATCCTTTTTGGCATCACCATAGAATTTACCATGAGATAATTTAAAATCACCTAAATCTGATTTAGCTGCTGATTTAACCCATCGACTTTTGTAACTTTCATCTTTAAAACAATAAATTTAATTAGAACAAACAAAGAAGAAGATTAATAGAATCTTTACCTTCAAATTTTTCAACAAAATAATCTGTTGAATAAACAGTAGCAACGATAGCGAGTATAAGTAATGAGTAACTTAAGCGATTCATGGTGCTAGGAAAAGAATACGAATGAACAGATACTTCTTTTGTATGTCTTACTTTTATTTTATAGCAGATAGACGAATCAAGAGGCACACAACGGTGCATGGGGTGTGTTCGAACGATTGGATGATATCAAGCTAGACAAACCTATCACAATTCAACGTGTGGAGCAGTAGTATGCCAATGAATGTTGCAATGAAAACTTCTAATGAAATAATAAAATAAAACATTCAAATTCATTAATTAATTCAAATTAGAATCCAAACTTTAAAATAATTTTATATGACGACATCTATATTAGATGGTGTGCTGAAACTCTATTTTTATTTTTCACATTTTACAGTATGCAGGAAAAGACGACACGTACGGACGAAGAAACTTGTGTATTGAAGCATTTTTATGATGAAGATTTGTATAATGATCTTGATGAAAAGGAAGTCGATAATACTACACTTCGTTATACACTTTTGTAAGTGTATTCATGTAAAAGACATACTCTTGATATATTTCAATATTAAAAAAAGAAAAAGTAGATCCATATTCAAGATAATTCTTGGCATGATGATATTTTTCGGACACATCCAGAGATAATCATTTATAACTTCACTGTAGATATCGAATAATCTTTTGAGTACAAACGATAAAAATCAAAATAAGGATATTCATTGATCTATCAGATCAACATCAAAGTAATAACAAAATCTTAAGACGTTTTTCTTGTACAATCAATGGATGATGTTTCACTTGATTTCGAATAGAAATTGCAAATATATACTGATGTTTAAGATCTAGAAAAATCGTGCCTGGTATGTTTTGTTCAATAGTATGAAAAAAAAATAATCGAAGCAGTGTTTTATTGTCTTTAAGCTCAGATAATTACGTTGAAATATAGAAACTGTTATTTATAATAATATTGTTAAATAGAATGATGTTATTGTTGAGAAAATTCTTCTGTCATCTTGAATGCAAAGCAATTTACGAATGTGAAAGAAAATTTTCTTCGTTGAAGAATGACATTTTTTTAATGACTTTAGGCAATGTCGTAGACAACTTCTTATGTGGGTAAAAGTATTGACTGAGACTGATTATGCTTGTAAGTTATTTTATTTTTAATGAAGGAAAAACAAATAGTTTTACTTATTTGTGTTGCATAGATGCTAGAGTTGAATTAAGAGATGATTTCGATAAATTAAAAGTTGAAACTGATAATTTAAAAATTGCAACTGTTTTATTAAATGCTAATTTTCAAGAATTACTTGACAATTGCAAGTAAGAATCTCATTATCTTTTGTAAATACATATAAATCTTATATACAGATGTTTAATTGATCAAACTACTGAAATTCTTATCGACCGAAACAATTATTATTCCGAATGGGAATCTAATAGAAATATTCTTACTCCACGGTAAGAAGAATGCAAAAAGCTACGTTTTATTATATGTTGTAATAGTGTTCCATCTATGGTTTCATCTAACTCTCTTTTAAAAGTCCAGTGATGCTAGGCCAAAAAAGCAATACGGGCAACTATCTGATCAATTCTCTATTTAATGAAGTGTTCGAAATAGCCTTGTTGTTTATTGCCAACCATTTAAGCAAAGCATTCACATACTCGTTTACAGATTGAGGGAGCAGTTTTGGGATAATTTCGATTTTTACTTGCTTCAGCTGAACAACAAATATTAGAAGTCGACGGATTATATAAGCTGGTTAATTCTTTCAGCAGAATCATGACTTATTTAATGGATGGAATGTTTTTGAGACTATATTTAATAGAGGTATATCATATAGAAAATTGCACGTCGATATTATGTCGCGCCTCTGAGCTATTTAAAAAGTCAGAAACATGAAACAGCTGTAATTCATAAAGTATAGTAAGCCTGAAAGAGTTAATTTGTTGTAAATTTATTTGTTTAGTTGGTTTTTGCTTATTATTTTAGACCTGATTGGGATAAATGCTTTCGTATGGTACCAAACTGGAAAATGTTGTCAATTGACAAAACAAGTGAACAATTAGTTGATATATTAATTAATGAAATTGTTCATGGAAATACGACACAGAATAATAATGAATATTTTTCTATGATGACTAGAGATAAAAATGTAGCTAATTAAGTTCCATTTAAAGTTTAGGACTCTTGGATATTTTTAGGAATTACATGAAAAAAATATGTTTTTTAAACAGCTATGCATGAATCCATGTATTGAGGAGAAATTTATTAAAAATCGGCATATGCGTCGAAGAATAACAGGTTTGCTTATTAAAGATATTTGGTCAAGTAAATTATTCAATGAAAATCATGTATGTATCAAAAATAATTTACATAAAAATGTTGATTTCAAAAAGAAAGATTTACATTTAGAGTGAAAATAAAGCAAATATCAAACTAACTGATTATGTATTTGATTATTTAACAAAAAAATTTTGTAGTAAAGAAATGGCTATTGAAATTGGTTATAATATAAAAGATGCATGCAATCGATATCGAAATAGTTATGAAATAAATCTATTTTGGCAAATATTAACTGGTCAAATCGAAGAAAATGTTTATCATTATGAAATGAAAGAATTTGCTCGTATTCTTCAACATTTAATTAAATTATCTCCTAATTTTTCATCACAATCTGTATGTAAATATTGACTTCTAGAAAAAATAATTCCATACTTTTCTGCCTGAGAACAAGCTCGAAGTATTTGTCTATCTATTGAAAATTTAGTTAAAGCATTAAAATATAATTTTAAAAGTCTTCATGTGACATTTTCATTTGGTAAACAATATGAATTTTGTTTTGATAAAATTAACGACATGCCAATCTTGTGTCACGACTTTATTAGATCGATTGCAGCTGATACTTCTAATTATAATAAAAAAAAAACTATTTAGAACGTTTATTTCTTTTTTTTGAATTATTTGATCGATTTCAGTTAATATCGACAATTCGTTGGTTGGATTTAGCAAGTGCTCTTCATGAGCTCTATCCGCATTGGACAAATGAGCGTATATCACTTTTAATAACGTCCGCTGAAAGAGACTTGAAGAAATCAACGATAGACAACAATGAATTGCAATTTTTATTATTATTTACAGTTGATGATGAAGGTCATCTTGGAGAATTTTTAATCAATATACGACAACAATTAAAGTTAGATAAAATTGAATATATTGAAAAAATAACTGATCTACTTATTGGATATCCGTAAGTTTAGTTTCGAATGAGAAAGAGAAATTTCAATGCTATTTTGTATGTTTTGAAAGATTAATATCAATGAATCATTTTAAACAAGCTGTACAATTTGTTGATCCACATATATCAGAAAAGGAACTCCAACGATATGTCAATTGGGTATTTGAACTAGATAATATATCGGCCATGTTAAATAGTGAAGGTATATCAGCGCAAACAAATAAAACTATTGAATCAATCAAAAAAATACAAAGTCGTGATTTTGAAGAGATTATTCTACGTTTAGAACGTTGTTCTTGTTTTATGCATTAATTAAATAAAATTAATACTTTCACTGCTGAACTTAAAAAAAGATAATAAAATACAAAACTCGGCATATTTATTGCTACTATTCTTGCATAAAAAGTTCGCTCCTATTTTCTAATTTATTTATATACTGACTCTTTGATTTATTATTGTTGAACGAATGATCTTGATCTATGACTAATTTAGATTATTAATTCAAGTCAAATAAACTAGTAATCTGTTGAAATTATTCTCTCGTTGGAATTTATCCGATTGATTATGTCTCTTTTTTTATAGATTGATCTTCGTGCGCAAGATTCTACTAACAATTGATCTAATTCAAGGCCAAAAAGTACCTTTAAACTACTAGGACTACTGAGTGATAGTAATTTGAACTGTCCAAATCCAAACAATAAATCCTATATGAAACCTTTTGGAATATTTTCACGTATTATCAGTGCCTTTGAAAATTGCTGTATAATTGTGAAGTGTCATAGAATTCTTACGGTTTCTTAAAATCTCATGAAACATATTGAAAATTTTTTAAGGCACTTCTTAAAATTGTGCTGCTTAAATCGAAGTTTTTATTAACCCTAGATTTGCAAACTGCAAAGCAAAATTACATAATCGTAGTCATCTATATTTAGTTTAGTCTACTTTACTCAAGTTTGAAATTCAATCTCACAGTCGTACTCTGTTCTTTAATCATCATTCATTATTGATGAGAAACACAAACATGCGATTTCACTATGCTCGAAATGGATTTTATCGTTTTCTATTATAATAAGTTATATAAAATCAACGTTGAATGAAATTCGCATATGTAAAATTCTCAGATTTTATTCGATGTTTATCCTTGCTCGCTTAGATGACATAGTGGAAAATATTGAATGATCTGTAACTAATACTGAACCACTTCTGAACGAAAAAAATGAGTGTTGATTTCAATAGAACTCGATAGTAATTATAATTCACTGTTAAAAAGAAAGATATTTTCTAATAGATGAAAATGAGATTTATGCTCGTATTAGTTATTCATGACGGATTATATCACTGTGTAAGAAAAGATACCATTATATATACATTTTAAATGGGCAACTATACTCCTGAAAACAATGCAAGTTTCATGATGAAATTCACTAATACTCTGGAAATAAATCATATGGACGACAAAAAGAAACTATCTAATTTACAAGAATATACGATTGCTTGTACAGTTGACATAACTATAAATTTATAATTCTGATGTTAACACTTTCTTTGTCAAAAAAAAATCGAGTACTAATGTTTGTATTTCGAGTTTTTCTCTTATGGTAATATTGACAAAAATTCTTATTTATTTAATATATGAGACTTTTATGAATAGAAGAAAATTCAAAATTACTTTTCGCTTTCGACCATTATGAATTCTATGATTAAAGTACCTACTTTCGCGTTAAACAACGAAATTTGGTATCAATTGCATCTATCGGAACAGATCTAGCTGAAATCTGCTATAAATCAGTATGTTTATATCTCACTATTTCATATATTGAACGAACAGATCGTATTTCATGTAACTTCTTTTTATAATTGCCATCATCATAGTATAACTCACAGATGAATACTCAACATTCGTAGTATATTTCTTAACACCAACGTTTAGCTATTCGATAGATGTTCGTTATTATTTTCTATTATTACAAATTCAGAATTTATCATTTTTTCTTCAAACGATTAAAAGCGTCGAGCTTCTAAACAGTTCAATTTTTTCCCGATCTATGATTGAATTGTTTTTCTTAGATCAAAATAATTCATAGGGTAGGCTACATAAACACAAAATCTTAAAAATAAATTAAGTAAACAAATTTTCAGTGATGGGAACGAAAAACTACACAATAAACATTCTTAAAAAAATACAATGGCATTTATCCTTTATTTCTGTTTCTGTCGTCACTAACAAACTTTGACTTTTTTTAACTTCTTACAGTTTAACCGGAGTGCACGGTATTATCGTTGCGCAAATTCAATCATATTCTCTTTCTGTTTCTGTTATTTTTATTAAATTTTTATCAAGGGTATCACTTTGACCTAAAAAGGGAGTTACTCTGTTTGCATTACTTCATATATATATATTTACCAAAAAAGCAATAACTAGTTCTATTTCATCAAGTATTATCTCAATAGATTTAATACCATTCATAGAATTAGCTACTCCGTCTATCCTTATTTTCTTTATTATCCGCTATTTTTCGATTATATAAAATTCGATTTCTTTTTATTAGATGAAGATAGTCACGTAAATGATCTGTTTCAAATGAAATTTTACTTTTCTTTTTGTTTAATACATCGAACTAATTCAAGTCATTCGTTATTATATTATGAAAAAAAGACATCGATGGATAAATAAGGACACAAATCGATTTAGATTGCAAAAGAATATTTTTGTTGGGCTTCTAAAAAAATTTGAATTTGTCATGCATCAGTAGAAAGTAGTAAGACGTGAATTGAATATTGATGCATGAAAATAATAACACTAAAGTATAAAGAATAAAACCGAACGTCATTACTGCATATGAAGGGGTTCATGTATTTGCTTTTTTGTTTCGTCAAAAGTAAATTAAAAAAAACGAATAAAACTAACAACGATGCTTCTGTTTTAGTGACAATCTAGATTACAATATGGCGCATTCAGGTTCAAACAAAAACCAAGTTTTTATTTACTGATTAGTAGGCTTAATCCATGATAGTATATCAAACAAAAACAAAAATGCCGAAAAATATGAAATCTGTACTTTTTTTTTATTATTTCTTACTTGTGTTATTTTCTCGATAATTAATATTTCTGATGTGCTCATTAAAATAGATATTTGACTTATTGAAAAAAATGAATATGAACGATTTCATGTAAGAAAATATATTGAAACTAAAAGAATATTAGTCTGATTTACAGTAGAACGGAAATGACTGCCGAGAAAAGGCTGAAAAATCATCAAGATACTTTATTTTCAGAAATACAAAAGAAAGATATTTGATTGAAATATCTTCACAGTATTTGCTGAGATGCATTGATTTAAAAAGTAAAAACACTTCATTTAAGTGATACATAGAGACATGATTCTATTTGTCTTCACCTAATCATTTTATATGTTTACATTTTGTCTTCTGCTTCTACGAAAACTGTAAACTGAATGCAAAAAAAAATCACCCATTGAGTTTTTTGTGTTAATATTTACCTTTACTACGAGGTTAATCATTTTCATATCGAGTATCATTATTAAAAGTATATTATGATTATCAGACATCATATGTTTTAATATTACATTTTAACACGTGAGAACTATCTCGAGCAAACAAAAACCGTGAGTAAAGAGCTTTCTCTACAATATTTTATTCCATGATTACTAGAATTGCTACTCACGAGTATCAATCAATAAGTTTAAGTGAGTAAGATAGCTATCGGAAATCAAATTTATATATTCGCTTGTACAGAAAGTAACTGATTTTCACTGCTTTGGATTTTATCGTCCTCTTTGGATTATTTTGTGGTTTCATCAAGAAAAACAATTCGCATGATTATCTCATTAGCACTTTTGCTCGAGAAGCCATTACAAGTCCATTACTTTTTCCTTTTTATTACTGCTAGTCAATCAAACACAAATAGCGCTCGAACCAATAGTTGACCCTTTTAACCAATACAAATAAAGTACGAATGAAATTATGAAGAAAATACGTGCCTGACAGAAACAATATTGTCACTATGAGACCAAACACAGCGTTGAAAGAATGAAAAAAAGTGCCATCATATAAATCTCTCTCCAAATTTTAACAACCAACGCAGTAGACCAAAGAGAACAGCAAAACAAAGTCGGTTTTCCCAATTTCATCGATTCTTATTATAACACTTCAACTCTTCAAGAACACTTCTAATGCAACTATTCATGTATTCTGCATTTCTTCTTGGTTTTGTCTTAAACCTACAATTTTCACCTGCTATCAGTACCACAACAACTGCGACAGTCACTGCAACACCACCGGCGAATAGTACAATGCTATCTTCAACAACGGCGCCGCCACCAATCAATGGGACGATGGGATCTTCAACCACTGTCATACCATCAATCAATGGTACAATGGGGTCTACAAGCACTGGTACTCCACCAATGAATGCTACTATGGCAATTACTAGTACTTTCACACCACCAGTCAATGGTACAATGCCATTGTCAACCACGGTCACACCACCGATGAATGGTACAATGCCGTTGTCAACCACTGTCACACCACCAATGAATGGTACAATGGGGTCTTCAAGCACTGTTACACCACCTATGAATGGTACAATGCCGGTGTCAACGACTGTCACGCCACCAATCAATGGTACAATGCCGCAGTCAACCACTGTCACACCACCAATCAATGGTACAATGGGGTCTTCAAGCACTGGTACTCCACCAATGAATGGCACAATGGGGCCATCAAGCACTGGTACTTCATCAATCAATGGCACGATTGCGCCTTCAACTACTGTGATGCCAATTGTCAATGCGACAACATTATCTGGAACTACTGCTACAGCACCGGTGAACGGTACGATGCCCCTATCATCTGCTGTTACGCAGCCAGCTAATAGCACAATAGTAGTTTCGTCGGCTTCTGTTACAACAACTGTACGAAAGACAAGTGGAAGTGTTCGCAATACCTTTAGCTCATTTTCAAAAATGTGTTTGATCTATGTCGTATTAGTGTTTCTTGCCTGGAAAGAAGTCAATTAGGTAAATAAGTTCTTTTCGGAGCTCTCATAAGCTATCAACATTTGTGCATCCATGAACGTTTCATCTTCTTTTGAAATTTTTCTCCAAGAATTAAAAGGATTTCATTTGCCAGCGCGTTTTATTTTAATTTCATTGGCGTGATATTATCACTGAGTATGAAGGACTGCTGAGAGGAAGATTTTCAGGAAAGAACTACGCTTATAAATGGTGTGAGATATAAATATTCTAAGATGGCACATCTGATTCATTTAAAAAGTCGATTTATCGGTACACTTTTGTGATGCCCTCAGGTATATCGATAAAAATATGTCAGTTCAATACAATTGGAGTCATGGATGTTGTCAACTGAAAGAAAATAGCTATATTTGTTTTTTTCTTGGAAAAAGCATTGAAATTCGTCTACGTTTATCATGGGTTTTGATTCTTAGATAAAATAGTCTCAACGAGTCGAAATAATTGCCTTGTTGCGGCTAAAGCTATACTTTTCTAAACACAAAAACCAAGTACGAACGACGACAAAGTCACAGCATATAAATATATGGTGGTTTTTGGATAAAAACAGTGCACGTTTGTTTGAACCATGATTAATTATTTTTCGATCACAAAATTGCTTGATTATCCTAAGCGAATGATTTGTTGCTTTTGGTGTCGTTGAATACACTTTTTTTGGTAGTTACTAGTATTGTTTACTGAAGTTTAAAAGTCTATACCTATGTAATCTATAGATAATTTGAAGGCATATTTATGCAACTAGCTCTTAACGTGGAAATACAGGCGGTTGCAAAATTACAGACACCCCTGCACGTCATATGAAAAAAATAGCTTTCTGTTTTACATGCAAATTTATTTGTTGAATCGATATGTCCATTCAATAGATGGATACATGTGATGCTTAGAGGGATCACCAGTGTTTAATTTAAAATTCAATAACGAAAAGCAAAGCCTTTACGATTGATAACTGGTCGAAGTCTGATCGGCATGGATTGAAATAATTTTCGTATCAAATCTTCTAAGATTTCCGTTGATTTAATTTCGAGTGCGTTTCTTAACTGCGTCATGTTATTGATGCTATATTTCAATAATTTTTGATCGACTATAGACCAAATGTTTTCCATTATATTAAGATGAGGATTTTGAGCTGCAGCCATGAAATAAGTTTAACATGTTTTTTATTGAAATATTTTAATGCTTTAGCCGAAACATGAGGACGAGCATTATCTTGTTGATGCCAAATTTTGTTCGATTGTTGAACTGGAAATTTTCCAAATACTACCGTCAAATTGTTCTCGAGTATATGAATATATTTAGCAGAGTTTAGCTGCCCATCGAATAAAACTACAAGTCCTAGATCATGGTATATAACATAAGACTAAATTCCAAGACATCCACCTCGATCCACTCGCTCGTAACGCTTTAAATCATTTCGAAATCTTCTTATATAGATTTTGGTGCGATTTAAGATTTCGAAGTTACTTTCATTCGAAAAAATAATATTGGACCAGTCGATTTCGTGTCACTTCAAATGTTTACAACATCAAAAAAGTCGATTACGTCTTTGTTCATAAATTGTTTGAGGTTTTCTTTTTGCAACATATGAAGTCAAATCAAATTCACGAAGAATACGACTTACAGTTCGACCACTAATAGTAATATTTAAATTTGCTTGAGCATGTCGGGCGAGATCAGTCAAAGAAAAAGTATCATTCCGGAGTTGCTGAAGTTTGATGACGCGTTTTTGACGTTTCATTAATTTAGAATGACGTTCAGCTCCTGGTTTTGTAGCCAACTTGCAAATTTGGTTAAACTTGCCAGTAGCTTGGCGAACCCAATGTTGAGAAATATTTAATCTTCGCGAAATTTCATGCTGGGAGATACGAGTATCACGTAAAAGAATATTGCTTTTTTTAACGATATCAAAAGCCTTTCTTCCCATTGTCTTTCTTACAAAATATCGTATACTTCATAGACAAAATATCGTATACTTCATAGACAAAATACATAATACATAGACTAACTTCGTGCAATGTTGAAGGAAAACAAGCCAAGGGGGCGGGGTCTATACTTATGACACAGCATCGTTTTCTTTCTATCAGTTTCTGCACGTGTACACGTCAGAATAAAAACACTGATAATACCTCAAAGCATCACATGTATCCATCTATTGAATGCGCATATCGATTCAATAAATAGACGTGCACGTAAAATAGAAAGCTATTTTTTCATATGAATTGCAGGGATGTCTATAATTTTGTCAGACCCTGTATACATCAATGGTAGTCAAAAGATTGAAATGGATTTAAATAGATAAAATCTGATTGTAGTAGTGTCATTATAATACATATTTGACTTGTTTTATTCTCATGGGTCAACGTATTGCAGATATTAAATATAAAAGATCTCATGAGCCCAATGTTTTCTCTAGTTGAAATTTGTAAAAACATGCCCATAAAAATGTCTCCATTTCAAAGAGAATACAGAAAGTTCCATTTTTTTCTGGTGATATACCATATTCTACGAGCGATAAGTCAATTGAGAATATGAGCTTTGTTATTCAACGTTGCAAAAAAAATTAATTACAAATCTCATAAGCATTATGACTAGGAGGTAAATTTGAAATGCTATTCTAGATGGATATTTGTGCAGGGTATCAGCGTCATCTGACAGATACATCTATTCCTAATGTTTTTTTCAGATGAAAATAAAATGGAAATCAATTGAAAGTAAGTCATTCGACCAGTAATTTATTCTGACGCGATTTTTTGAGAGAACAACATTCATGTATACAAAGAGTCAAAGTATTTTTTCAACCTCCACAAGAACTTGCATTGAAGTTGCCGTTGACGAATATTTGCAGAAATTTTCCGCGAAGGTTTCTAACTGAATACAAAATCAATTCTAAAAGGTTTCATGCGAATTCACTGTGTTAAATTCAAAAATGTAACTATCAATGTTTATATTAATGAATTCAACCATGCCGCCCTCTCCTGTTTCTATTTATTTTCATTATCAAGTAAATTTGTTTATGGTAGTTGCTGTATAGGTTTCCTGCAACAACAAAGTGTAAAAACACTCAAACCCTCGGCGTCGTAGGGAATTTATTTGTTTCATTAGTGAAATGATCTGTGTTGACTCAACAATAAGTATGAGATTTGAAAGTATTAAACAAATTGCTTTCGGGAATCGACTTCCGATTGATCAACATCTACCTAATGTAATAGATGATCGAAAACAAAAGACTAGTCTTTCATGAAAAGGGATAACTACGAAATCTGTTTACTCGTAAAACTAGCAACCATTTCATACGCAAGCTAGTATTTTTGAAACTTAAAAACAGAGGAAGATTTTATCGATTTTTGTGATACTTGGTGGAATATGTCAAAGTTCCACAGCACTCCTTGATTCCGTATGGCAGCATTTTCTCAGTGTATATTAACTACCCATGTTGTTGCAGTTGTTGAGGGCGGCCTACAAGATGTGTGCTTATCATTTTAGATAATTTCTTTGAGAAATATATGGTCTTTGCCTGATTTCTTGTAAGTTCTCTGCTGCGATATTCTAGGTCCACAATAATTAAAATTAGACCAGCACGGAAACCCATTCTTTATTTTTATTATTCAACCTATATAATGCGTCAACATTTGTGACCATTCTACTTTGTTTTTGAAGCTTAATTCATTATACTTTCTAGCACAATGGTTTCTTAAAAATTACAAAGAAGAAGAAAAGAATAAATGCTCCGCAAGTTAAAAAGGAAATGTTTGCTATAAAAGGAGAAAAAATTTTAAAATAAATAGTGGTTCTTGAAAACATGATGCAACTAGCAAGTGTACCGATACTGAAGATTGTTTGGTAAAAATGAGTATTTTTCTCCTGTAAGAACCCCTGAGATCGTATGAAATTTTTATCGAAAGTCGCTCCTCTATACTACATCTAACTACGCATACAATCGGATAGACCAATCGCGACAATAAAAACACCCAGTCTCAGTTAGTCGTGGGCAAATTTTATTTATTTTAATTTTTTGACCGAGACTAACTGAGACTCGGTTTTCTATTGTCGTGATCGGTCTATCCGATTGTATGCGTAGTTAGATGTAGTATAGAGGAGTGACTTTCGATAGAAATTTCATACGATCTCAGGGGCTCTTGCACGAGAACAATTTTTAACCTTTGCCAAAGAATCTTCAGCGTCGGTACGTCCCTAAATTTAAATATCTCTCTACTTTTTATCATCTATGATTCCGTCATCTTCATCATATTATTCGTTTTCTCTGCTTAAGATCGCTCTGAATTTCACTACTTTCATATTTACGAACGCGATGAAAGCATTAATTATTTTTTCGAAATGTTTCTTCGCGTGTATGATAATAACTTTATTGAGAAGCCTGATTATGTTTTGACATTTTCTATGTATGAATTTACTAAAATAAAGAAATATTTTCACGTACTTAAGTACTTGATACTTATGTATCACATATTCAATGAGTTATTTTTTCCTTCGTATCGATTTTGCCCTTTCTCGTTTGCTGTCATCCTCATAGTTCCATTGATATTTGACACATCCGTCTCTCACAGAAATATTTAAAAACTTTTGGCAACAACTAAGTGATATTAAAGAAAAGCTGAACATATACAGAACTAAATAAGTAAGTTCCTTGGTTGAAATAAATCACTTACAAAATCTATCTGATTTCACATCTTGCGAAATATTAGTTTTGTCTTCGATTAATAGAAAAACCAATCGCATGATTTGAGGATCAGTAAATGAAAAACAGTAATTTTATGCAGAGTACAATAACATTAATCGAGAAAGACGGGAACCTATGCTCGAATTTATAGAATGACTTTTGTTTCTTCAAAAGAAATTAAAGAGAACCAGTAATAAGAAGAATTCCTATGTTTTACTATTAATGCAGGTAAAAACATGACGTATGAAGTGTCAAAAAGGAGATTCATAGGCGCTCAAGTTCTTTTTCTGCACGAACATAGCTAAGGAGAAAGTCGGAAATATAAAATCCACTCGGTTTTGCAGATTGTGCTGATGTTTCTAGTTCAATTGATTAATATTTGTAATGATGAATAAAGACGTCACTTTTTTTTAATTTGGTAAACGGAATGCCTTTTATTCATTCAAATTTATTAGAAATGAGAAAGAAAAGAATAAACTTTACTATGAAAGTGATAGCTGAATCATTCATCGATTTGATGTATAGAAAAGAGTGCATGAAACTTATCCCCTTCTAGAAAACGTGGTCGAGCCATAAAAACATAAAAATATATTGCTATATATCATTTTTGAGGATTTTAAATATTTCGTCAGGTTGTCTTCTACGCATTTACTGAACTGTGTTTATACGGAAAGAAGAGTTCTATTAAAAATATGAATGGACCTACATTACATTTTCTCTCTCTCTCTCTCTCTCTAAGTACTTTATGGAATTATTTTTGTTGTACTTCTTTACGTAAACAGTGAACTGTATGAGTGACGTTGTCAGCGAATTTGCTTTTTTTACATATAATTTTTCTAAGAGGTTCAAGATCTGTACGTGAGACGTAGGTTTTTTAGTTATAATTAGTCAAAAAGTGACGACGATTTCAGTAATGGCGTAACGTTGCAAGTAGTATTTTGAAAAACAAAATAAAATGCCTGCAAACTATCAAGCGCATAGTTGCATATGATTATTATTCGAAAAAATGCCAATGCGATCAATATATAAATCAAGTTAAATGAGATAATATTCTGAAACCTATAAACTCGTTTTGAAATCTAGTAAGAGCAGCTAACTACTGACCACAGTGGCGTAGCCAGGAATTTTTGAACCATAGGCCATTTCCCAGCAAAATATTTTTGAGTATTGGGCAATAAGGGGCAATCATCAATCTATTGGGCGACACTTTTTAAAATTTATTGTGTTCAAAAAACGTTATGTTTATCGAGGTGAAATTTGTTACTTTTGACTAAGAAGATTTCTGTCACTTTTCTGGCAGTGTTTCAAAAATGAAAACCTTCAGCTTTTAAGTATTTAAAAATTTTATTTAAAAAAGAAGTGTAAATATGCAAAGCTATAATTGTAGGAAATAACGATAGACACTAGGTCTGATCCTAATAAGTAGAGAACTGTTCATCGGACCATATACTTAGCAACACCTACAACCTTTTTTTATACTGATTAGTATGAAAATTTTTCAAACTGTCGTGCCTTTTCCTGAAAATCTAGCTTGTAAGAATATTTATTTCCTATATCAACCACTTTTTATTGATGTCAAAGGTGATTAACGTTGGAAGAGAAGGATAGAACTAGTATATATCGTCAAAATTCCTCATTAAATTCTTGGTGTATTTCAGTGACCCACGGTCATCTCAAATTATGCTGTCATAAGAAACTAGAGAACTCTTCAAGATTGTATTTTTCATAGGTTTCTTGTATTAACCATAGTATTTCCAGGGTAGATTTCCCACAAATTTCAAAAACAATGAACGATTACGAAAGCGGATTGCACGTGGCACTACTGATCGATGTCTATATCTAACGAATAATTAATAAAGTACAAAAAAAGGCAACGTAGAATTTATAGTGCTATATAGTTTTCTGTTCACTAAAAGACGTTAAGTGTAAAAAAAATGCATCGACATCGACAGTAAAAAAATGCTCTATAATAAATATTATTCCATTATTGCATTGATTTCAAGATGGATATGACTAATCGAGGAGTTGGTTTTCTTGATATCAGGTAAAAAAAATATGAGTAATGACTTATGCTGAAATATCACTCGACCTTCTTAAACTATGTCGTTAAATAAAAGGTCCTACCAGGTGCAACTTTGCTCCTCATTTATGCATTCAATTGTTTTTTTCTTTAAATTCTCATCTAGTTCCTTTAAGTATTTAATTCTTAAGTTACGCGAGTCATCTCATTACTTATTTCAGCAGTGTTACTTTTAGATAATTTCAGTTATTTACATTCTAAATAATCTTATATATTCAGGAAAATACATGAGAATCCACCAGCATTTTACATCAACGATGCTGAGTAGAACAATGAGTCTTGACCGAAAAATATAACAGCAATGTAATCATTATGTTTATTACTTTAATGAAACAAATCCCAATCGATCCTTTTAAATGGATTAATTAAATGGCGATAAGCAGCTATTTATTAATAAAACGTCAGTGTGATCTTCAAAAATGCACTCGTGTCAGAGCTTTTGGCATTGGGCAAATGTCATCATCTGAAAAATTCGTTGGACAATTGCCCAATGCCCCCCCCCTCCCTGTCTACGCCACTGACTGACCAGTATACATCTTCTTTCCCTTGTTGAAAACTAGTTCCGTGAGTTAGAAACTATTTCGCACTTAAATTAGTCGTAAATAAGTCTCATAAAAAGTACAAAAACAAAGGAAAACTTTCTTTAATTAACTTTCAGTTTGCATAATAACATTCTGCAACGGTTTATGCTGATTTTTTTTCAATAAAAGAACTGATGATTGATGATGTTAATCAGAGAAAAAACAATTCGGTGCGCAAAAGTGCCCTTCTCAATACCAATAGAGACAGAATTGAAAGAACTATAAAAAAAGACGAGATTCCCTAAATTCGAATTGCAATTAGATCGAATTTCATATTTAGTAATGAAGAGAACGATAACAATAAATTCGATATTATTGTTTTTGTTTCGCTACACCTAAATTATTCCAATTCAATAGTTTTACTCAATGGCAATAAAATTACATATGTATTTGACCTTGTTTCTTCTTGGTTCTATTCCAAATCTTCCAGGAGCACCTACATCACAAGTAATTCCTTTCGTTAACTTAATATTCTTGCAGTTCGAACTATCATTAATTTAGTCTTCTGGTATCGTGGAAAATCGATCAACACATAATCCTGAACGAAATCGTTCGTAGATACATCAAGAGTATATTTGAACAGATTGCGAATTCGCTTTGTTTTCAGCTGAATTCAAAGGAGATGATATTGTTCCTCCACCATTTACTAACTCTTTGGCTGAAGTGAGCTCTGATTTTTCTTCATTGAAATCAAATCAAATATTAGCATTTTAACATTCTAGAGAAGCACAGGATCAAGACCCGCACATCAACGATGGTCTGGTGGTGTAGTACCCTATGAGATAGCTGGGAATATCAGTTTGTATACTATGTTGACTACTTGAATAATGATGCATACTTTCTAGGTGCAAATAATTCTATCTTTATTGTTAATATGATGAGAGCAATAGAAAATCTTACACAAGTTAATAACACTCAGTGTATATCATTTCGTCCGAAAACCGTATCTGACCCCTACTTTATTACAGTCTTCAATGGACGTGGTTGTTACGCTCCAGTACGTGAAAGTTGTTTGTTATAAAAAATGACTTATTTTCTTGAGTAGATTGGATTTTGGGGCGCCTATGTTGGTGTACGTCCTGTTTCATTTTTACATGGAACCTATGCAACCTGTATGGTATCGGGCATTATCCAACATGAGTTGATGCATGTACTAGGTGAGATTCATGCACATAAATTAAAAATGAATCATTTTTATCTTTATCGAAAAACAAAAGGCTTCTATCATGAACAATCACGACCTGATCGAGATTTGTATGTTTCAATTCAATGGAGGAATATTGATCCTAGTATGTGTTTGTTCATATTACTCACCAGAGTATAACTCCATCCCCCCCCCNCCCCCCCCCCCCCCCCCCCCCCCCCCCCCGGCGGGGGGGGGGGGTTACACGTTTTATTTGTTAAACATAGCTATGGCATACAACTTTGATAAATATAATGATACATATATTGATACTTTGTCCACATCATATGATTATGGATCAGTGATGCACTATGAACGTAATGCATTCGCTTTAAATGCTAGTGGAGTAACTATCATCCCAATACAAAATGCAAGTGCATATATTGGGCAACGCATTCAATTGAGTCCTATTGATATTCTGACAATTCAGCGTTATTATGGTTGTGTTCCAACACCATCTACTCTGAATACAGCTACAAATAGAATGCCAGTGGAAGTAATTACGATCTCAATGGTGACAAATACTGGTGTCCGAAACACGTTTCTGTTATCTTTCAACATATATAGTTTCTGTTTGAAATCAATGATTTTTTACATGACAAATATAAATAAAATACGACTTTACGAATAAGAAATTATCTAAACTAAAACTTAAACGGGCGTGGGTGGGGTGTGAGTTACTGACTGAGATGGATACCAAGTCAGATGGAGCCATTTAATCGAGTCATTATTAAACTAGTTAGTTAAGATAAAATTCTATATCTAGAGTGGATCAGATTTGGTTCAATAGTTTTCAATACAAATATGTATCACAGGAATCATTCGTATTCAGACTATAGGAAATAAACACTCTTGCTGAAGAATTTTAATTACCTAACTATAGTTTTCATATATTCAATAAAAAGTGAGGGTACATAGTATGAACTGTTAAAATTATCTTACGACATACCTATTGCATTTTCTGTTTGCCTTTTTTTTCTAAAGATGAATGATGAATGCTAAATTTTTTGGTAAAGAAATGTTGTGATGCATTTTGTACTGAAGCGTCATTACTATTGATGTAAACTAATATTAATGTTAGAATAAACTCGACAGTGATAGTCTAATCAATATTCTACAAACGATAGTATCAATAAATCTAGTCTTTTCACTATTTACAATCGATAAGATGTGAACCAAGAAATTATTTTTAATTTAATTATTTCTAAAATCAGACGTTTAAAAAACCGAGCACCAATCATTTTTTGTGCTGATAACATTTTCTTAGTTGACAATCATGAAATACTTAATTTGAAAAAATGCATGACTTAGTCTTAGTTAGTGTTTATTGAATTCATTACACAAAATAATTTTAACCGATACATTATCAAATAAAACGACATGTAAATATCTTCTTATGCAATGTCTAATAAATCCAGATCGCTAGGTAGTGTCTTTCTCAAATTATTTATCTTACATTTATGCCTTTGACTACTGTCGATTTAATCTTATACTGCTGCAGAGACTATTCTAATTTCGAACACTTTCTAGCCATCAAATTATTAATAGTTTTAATTGAAAACTGCACGTCTATATCATTTTCATAAATGTTTGTTATAGGCTCATCACTGCCAGTCAACCTATTCAATGTTTTTATCTAAAAATTCAAGTAGAATATATTCTGATAAGTTGATATCATGATTACGATTTCATTTGACAAATTTCTCGTTTTATGTGAACAGCATGCTATTGATTATTTGTTTTTTTTTACAATATGTGCTGATTAATAACGATCACTGAAATATCATGCAATTTTAGAACAACTATTTCATTGATTTTCATTAGCCGATGAACTTTGAAATATGAATTCCCAAATGACTCATTATCAAGATAAATAAAAGTGAATTAATCATGCACTAATAATTGGATGAATCATAAATGAATTGGAAGGAAATCCAAAACGGCTTTAAAAACTATTCCTATATTGCCAATGTTTGCATTGCGAAATGCAAGAACTATTGTATTTAATTTTTCTTTGAAATTTGGACTAACGACAGGATACCTCATGGGAAATTAATTAGGACAATTGTTACTGTCTACTAATTGTATGCACTTCTAAGTGTCCGACTACTTATCAGCTCATTCTATTTTTTGAAGTAAAGTATACGTCTCATGTCGATTCTATTACGAGTATAGAAATTTAATGAGAGCTAAATAATTTATTTCGATACGAACAACAAAAAAAAGCATATAAAATAAATGAATAATTTGTGTCTATTATAGGATTAGATACAATAACGAATATGAGAAAGCATTCCGACGAAAAGATCATCGTTGTTATTAGTCTTGTTCGTTTTGCATTGTCTTCAAGACTTGGGATGCTTGTTTCGGATCAACACTGTATTGATCAAGTTGACGGATATAATAATTTTGTTGTTTCACCCATTGAACAAATGTTTTATTAACGTCTTCTATTGGTCCTAATTGACCACCATATTCAGCTGGTAATAATGACGGATCGATATATTGATGTAATGCTTTATTTGTTGATTCGTCTGATGTTTTCGGATGAAGAAAAAGTTTCTCATTTATTTTTCGTGAAAGAAACATTCGAAATAAATGTAAAATTGGATCAAATATACATGGATAATTATAAAAATGTATTTGATTTAATTTTACTGGATACATTTTTTCCCAACAGTCAACATAACGTTGAGTACGATCAGGTGTGAATTGACTTATGTGATGTAATTTCATGTCTGATAAATCGAATAAAATAATAAGACCATGTGTTTGAACTTTTTCTTGCCTATTAAGAACATCTGTAACCGCAAAAGCATATTTTGTGACATCATCTAATGAATATTTAGTTGGATCATGGCATGCCATACGCATAATAGCTATGTGTTCTTTACCGTTGGTTTCTTTTGGTAATTGAAGATAATATGCAGTTTCAGCTATTTCACACATTACTGTATTTTTTAGAAGATCTCGATCTGTAAACCTAAGCAAAATTTAAAAAGAATTTCTTTTAAATTGATGCAAATGACCAAACCATTGTGGATTTTCTGTACGATGTTTCCAAAAACGTGCCAGCCATTCCTTGGCATTGTCCAAATTGAAATTTGTAATACGTAAAAACTGTAACAAAAATTCATCCGTCTCAAGTGAACTAAGAATTGGTTGCTGATCTCGTACCCATTGACGAAAACTATTCAATTGATTTTCTGAATCCGTCATAGTGTTAATATATATATATATATATATGCTACGTCACTATGTCTTCGTCTTAACAAAAAATGTTGAATGAATTCTTCTTTTGTAAAAAAAAGTGTTAAGCTTCAGATGATGTGCCTGATGAGAAAACATTTGTCGCCTTAACATACTAACAGACGCATTTAAACATGCAAGGATGACAAGTACCCCATAGGCAGAAAAGGATTCAGCCTCTCAGATAAGATCTATGCTATGACGAATGGATAAAAAGACAAGAAAAAATGGTGAACCCGAGAAGAACGTCTAGTATGAGTTCTTGCATCAACAAAAAAAGGAGTCAATCGAATATGTCAGGCTATCAGGCTGTTGTTAGGTGTTATTGAAGTTGAATTGAATCGCTTAATATAAGATGAATAGTGCCCAATATAATTTAAACAGAGACTTAGTTATAAATATAATAAGTAAGTAAAATCTTGAACGAGATAGCTGAGCAATCAAGTTGGAAACTTAAACTCAAGGAAATGTGAACAGGCAACGCAAAATATGATACAGGATGTATGCTTTGATAGAAATGAAAAGAATTGCTGCACTTACAGCCACCTATATCAACTGATTTTCTACTCGACATTAGCTATATATTCATTGTTATTTTTTTGGTTGCGTGTTATATGTGCTGTCTCTGCGTGCGCTCACGGTTATCATTCACGTGCTCATTTTTCTTATTTGCCTTAAAATTATCAGAAAAAAAAGATTAAATAAAATTATTATCAATGGAGTTAAATTGTTAGACGAAGAGAATTACAATTTTGTTTCTTAACATTATTCTTAATATACGATACGTATCGAAACCGCACAAGTCATGCATACTTTTATTTAATGTTTTATATATATATATATGTTAGCGTTCAAACTGAGATCACGTCCAATCTCAGATTGGCCTAGGCGAATTTCGAATCCGAGATTGGACGCGTCCAATGTTGGATTGAGCGGAAATTTAACATTAAAACGTGAATTACTCTATATCTGAATAGGGGTAGCCCATACCCTGACACCCTCACCCTCGCCCTCACCCTCACGCTCACTCACGCCCTCATCCTCTAGATTGAAAAGTGTCCATAACTCATCGAGCCTTTAATTTATTCGTTTATTGATGATTACGTTACCTAATATGAGGATACTTCATCGAAGTCCCTAAGGAGAAAATCGAATCCTACACCGATATACAGAGTAATTCACGTTTTAATGTTAAATTTCCGCCCAATTCAGCATTGGACGCGTCCAATCTCGGATTCGAAATTCGCCTAGGCCAATCTGAGATTGCACGTGATCTCAGTTTGGACGCTAACATATATGTCGTAGGATAGATTAAAATCCAGTACAGTTTTAAATCGAACTAGGACAGATTAAAATTTTAATTTTTCCTAGTTCAGATTAAAATTTTAAAGTGAACTAGTTGACTTCGAAATGCATTTTAATCTCAACTAGTTGACTTTAAAATTTTGATCTGAACTAGGAAAAATCAAAATATTTTAAACTGAACTAGAACAGTTTCAAATATTTTGATCTGAACCAGGACAGATTAAAATATTTTGATTTGAACTAGTTCAGATTGAAATATACACATTTGGATGGATAATAGGTGAAAGTGAAGGCGAGCGCGAGGACGCGGGTAATAGTTCCATCTTCACTCATCATCATTCACCATAGACCCTTGTCGTCACCCCAACGCGTATCTTCAACCAGCCAGCCACGGATAATTTGACTAAACATTTTAATGTGTCCTAGTTCAGATCAAAATTTTAAAGTCAACTAGTTGAGATTAAAATGCATTTCGAAGTCAACTAGTTCACTTTAAAATTTTAATCTGAACTAGGAAAAATTAAAATTTTAATCTGTCCTAGTTCGATTTAAAACTGTACTGGATTTTAATCTATCCTACGACATATATATATATATATATCTCAAGCTAGATGACTTAGAATAATCTGACCTTCGTCATAGTTTACTCCACAAATCGCTAGTATATGAATTTCAAAAATTCCAGAGCAGCAGTTGGTCTATTTAGCTTCTGTTAATGATACAATCACAGCATGCCTTTTTCTATTCTTTCATGATTGTCTTATCCAACAGTTTACTCGTATAAATTATTACGCACGAGTTCTATGCTGTAAATATCTTAGCAATTGATAATTCAAAAGGACTAAATTACTCTCTACCTAATAAGTAGTCTTCATCACAACTGTCATTCTAGTATCGGCTTGAAATTTCATTCTGTTTTTCTTTCACAGAAATTTTAAACACAGATGGCATAAGAGACGTCTGTTTACCGGATAATGCAGTCAGGTATCTGTTTAAACTTATGAATAGCAAGAGTAACACGATAAATTATCTGAAATATTCTTGTTGAATGAATATTTTATGTTAGAAAATCGTGTTCATTTTCTCTTAGATATGCAAGAATCACAGGGAGACAGTTATGGCCAGTGCCATTGGCACACTGGCAACTAGCTATATAAAAATGTATTACAAGAGTCTAAATTTATAGATAACATTCTTGTAGTACACTGAAATACAATCCAAACATGATTTAAAATATCGACTAGATCAAAGTCGAGAATAAATTCATATTCAGACGCATAACCTTCTTACTTCATGAAATGAGGATATCGTGCTCTCTCACATCAAAGAATACCACTACACATTCAAATCTAGCTCTATCAACAATCATATTAGATAGACCCTCTATGAGATGATTGCATGTAAGTCGACAAAAGCTGGATAGGAAACTGAAATTTCTTTGGAATTAAAAACCTTGCTATTATATGACCTAGCTCTGAAAAAGTAACGAACAGTTTGGTTACGTGCTGGCGTAATCATTATCAATTTTAGTTTATCTCTACGAGGCTTACTCAGTTGTCATATTTTGCTATACGGAAAAAGTAATCTTGAAATCAACCAAGAATTAAAACCTAGACACCAGAACGAAGATATAATTGCGATTTAAAAACATTCAAAGTAACTTTTTAACAATTATCTTAACAAATAATTAAAGAATTTTATGAAGAAACTTCATCACCGAGTGCCTCTGCATAAACTAGATGTTCAATTTTATGAACAATAAAATCGTTCCCTTATGAGACTAATAATTGTCTAGTTCTGTGTAGTTTTCTATACTCCTGACATATCAAACATGTCAAATATGAAAATAGCAATAATCAGTGTTTATGCTATCCAGTAGGTTTTTCAAGTAATTCAATTTCTGTCACGTCTCAAACGGCATCATTAGTAAGAATGGCGCAGGTTAAAAACTGAATTCCTACACTAAAAATATGTCCCCGTCCTTTTCTTTGCATATCATCAGCGTTAACGTGTACTAAGTCATAGAGTCTCTCGATAATCTACACGATCTGATTTATATCGGAGAAAGATATTTTTTTCCGAATAATTATAGGTGTTCAAACAAGCGGTTATTTTTGTCTCTCTGTGACAATTCGTGCTTACTTATATTGTCTTGTATATAATATGTGAAACTTATGTCTGATAAGAAAAATTCCAACGGTGTGAACCTGAAGCTTTCGTATGTACTTTCTATCAGCTCCTTTGATTAGTAAGAGGGTACAATGCTGTATTGCCTTTTATTTATATATTGATCTGTTACACAACAGATTCGAGGGTTCAATATAAGAAACCTAGTATGTTCAATGGCTTCGAGAAAGAAAAGAACAAGTGAGTTTTTAACCGTAAAACTTTGAGCAAATATTCACAGCTTGTTTTATCGATTGACAAGACAACATCATTTTTTACAAGAAAGATCAATGCTCGGAAAAAAAAAATTTGATGCATGCTACAAGAAGAACAAATAAAAAACACAATTGCAGTCGTTTAATCTGAGCTTTTATCAAAATAAGATCTTAAGATGACAAACGTTACTAATATTTCACCTTTTCTATTTACCACCATATCCTAGACCATAATTACCACCCGGTTTATCTGTTCATGTAATTTAATGATAATGTAGATGCTTATATATGAAGAGACTAATTTAAAAAGTGCTGATAAAATGAATTGTATTTTGAGAAAATCATAAACATGATATAATCACATTTTTGAAGTATTTACGTTCATCGCCCATAACGAATATAAATATTCACCAGTCTAAAATTTCTACTGAAGATACATGAAACGGTAGCTATATAAGTGACGGTCGGTTAAATCATTTTCCTTCGGATCTTGAAATAAAAATTCATAACAACTATTCTTCAAGAATATTCTATTCTATGAATTACGAAAGTGGTACAGTGTGTGTGTGTGTGCTCCTTCCGTGTGTATTTATTTGGGAATTCACTAACAATTTGAAGATTTTTATCATTTGTCACAGACATATCGTTGTCTTATGATGCAAGTCTCATTAACATATTGTTTAGTGTTTCGTTACAGATTAGTCGCTGTTTACCCATTTTCTTTAAATTTATAAATATCGTTGCTAATATAATAGTTCTATCATAATGATTTCTTTCATCAAATTCTTGTATGCGATTCTTTCTATTGGCATCTAATCTTCTTTTTGTACTTTGAGCTCTTCTATCTCCATTACTGTCCATGATCCTATTTAGTTTAATGACCATATCAAATATAGGTCAAGTACACGGGCGCATTCAGATGACCACTGAAAACCATACTAGTCATGCCGGTACCCAAGTAACATCTAACATGAATGCACAAAAACAGTCAACGAATGAGAACAAATTGTCAACAATAGAAAAATGCTTTTTATTTAAGTGTTTTTCGTCGTTGTTTTCACACGTCCATTAACTATACAAAAATTTCATTCAACAGCTATTTCAGAACTGAATAATCAGATCAACATTTCAAAATACTATTGAATTTTGTTTTTCAATCTGTTTTTGCTTCTCTTTTATGTTGCTTGTTAGCTCGAAGACGTTGTGTCGATGAACATAATTTCTTGAATTAAAATACAGGCTAGCACAATGTATTTTAAGCTATAAGGCTTCAAGATTGTTTCTAAAATTGGCTAAAGTGAATATTGATTTAATAAAATCAGCTCAGCATAGATTTGATTATTACATTTGAATATATACACTGTGAACTCATTTTTTGCAGGATACGAAAACAAGAAAATTATGTATATCACTGAATTCAATAGTGATCATCTAATAGATTGTAATAGCAGTGCGTAGGTCCCCCATTGCAGTTCAATGAGCGCAGTAGATGCTCTAAAAATAAATGATGGCTAAGCCATCGTTAAAAAGAGCTTTTTCATAGCTATTTCGTATATGACAGCTGATAAGCTTTCTCGTTATGTTTTCATGAATCAAGTAAATTGAGTGGTTGTTGGCAACTTACATACACTAATTGTCGCCTACGGCAGCTAGATCGAAAAATATACCACAATTGTACTAGAATCTATTACTCATAAAGACTTTCTAACACGAAGTATGAGTTGCTAATTTCATTAATCTCCCGTAGTCTTACATACAAGCATTATTTATAAAAAAAACATTCTTCTTCATAAGCCAATTTTGTGATCTAGAATAAATGAAAAAATAATTTCTATCATAAAACAATAATAGTAACGAATATCTTACCAAAATAGATGTGAAAATATCGAGAATTTAATTTAAAATACTTTTAACGATAGTTTATATATCTCCAATAAATACTTCCAACATTCAAAAATCAGCTATTTCTTTTTTTTATTATGCAAGAGTTAACCCTATGACCCTGACGGTCCTAAAGGGACTAAAAAATCAGCTATTTCTGTTCTTCCCTATATTGTTTATCCTACTGATGAATAGAATGACTCATCATTTTTGATTTCTGTCTTGTCTTGTATCTATATGGTAGCTAGAAGAAGACATCATACTATATATATACTATATATTTAAACACGTGTTTTCTTTTTCGCATTTGAATTTATTTATGTGTGTTTACATATGAAAAACAACGTTTGATCATCTGAGCATATATATATATATATCTGTCTATCTGTATCTATTTGATTGGAAAGAGTAGAGTAAAATTAATCAACAATGAATCGCTATATAACAATACCAAGTTGTGAAAAAGTTTGCTATAGTTTCTTTCTTTTGCGTTTTAAATAGTCAACGATGATATGATTTCTTTTTAAATCTAGTTTGTTCCTAAGAATCTTTATCCGCATCAATTAGATGAGCAAATATTGTGCACGAAAATGTCATCGCTCAATGGAAGTTTAAATCGGCACGTAACCATGGCATCTGTTCATACAGTGTGTAGTTGTTTATTTTTCGTGAACATATTTATCGTGTTTCTTTAGATTGATAGAAATCAAATGTTGCATCCAAATCCAACACGATTATCAACATTAAATCGACATTTATCGATGTCATCCTATGATCAAGTACATATAAAATATGTCAATGTTGTATTAGGAAAAACATTTTATTTATTTATTAGTTGTATGAAGAAGAATATCCCTTACGTATTCATATTGGTAATATTCCTTTTTTATGGACTATTGATGATTTACGTAAACAATTTTTGGTAAAGCTGTCAATATAAAATTGATAAAATGAATCACCATTATATTTCCTTTAAGGTATTTGGTCCGGTAAAAGATCCTGAAATAGTTTCGAATGAACGCGGTTCTAAAGTAGAATTGTTTAATTGCTTTTTTTAATAAAACTAAATCATTTTTATTCTTAAAGGGATTTGGATTTATTACATTTCTTCGTCATAGTAAGTAAATAGTTTAAGATACATTCAGCTAATTTGATATAGAACATTACAGTTAGATAAAATTTAAAATTCAGCAATTTTCAAAAATAACTATTAAGCTTTGGGTTTTAGTTTATAGAAAAATGTTACAGCTGTCACAGTTGGATTTTTCGTGCCAATGCTTAGTTTCTTCTACTGAAAGTAGGGTAATACGTTGATCAGTTACCACGACCAAATGTTCGTTCGCTTGTTCGTGTGTTCGTAACACAGAACGAAAGAAAATTTATAGCTACCAGAGGCCAAAACAGGCCGCGTCTTCTAGACCTGTGGGTCTGTCAACGTTTTTGAAGCTAATACAATAATGATGAGAGACTAGAAACTAGAGGTACATACAGAGCACCGAGTGTACTTTTATACCTGAAGGCTCAGACACGCCAACAGGCCAAAAATCGCTTGAACCTCTGATAAGTAGTGGTCCGAAATGCGTGGTCTATGCCTATGACAGGTCGGTTACCTCCAGGTATAACAGTACACTCGGTGCTCTGTATGTACCTCTAGTTTCTAGTCTCTCATAATTATTGTATTAGCTTCAAAAACGTTGACAGGCCCGCAGGCCTCGAAGACGCGGCCTGTTTTGGCCTCTGATAGCTATAGTCACATTCTTTTTTCTTTCGTTCTGTACATATATCCACAGAACGAAAAATAGTATATGTACATATATATATTATATCAGCTAGTCCCAAGGTTGTCAAGATTGGGGGTGGGGGTCGATGACAAGAGATCAGTGAGAAACGTGTTGCTAAAAATGAACGACTTTTTGAGGGAGGAGGGTCGAGCAATTTTTAAAAATCAGTGAGCTAAAACGGATAAAATTCCAAAGTTTTTGCTAGAAAAACTCGAAAACTTTTCAAGATCGGGGAAGGGGGGTCGCGTGCTCCTTACTCGGAACACCTGTGTCAGCAATTTCTAATAACCAAGGATCGGGTCTGCTCAATCGAAGCCATTTGACTTTTGCTCAATTCAAGATATGGTATAGAAATAAGACTCCGATAAATTCTGATAGAAGCAGGTTTTGAAAAAATATCGAACCCCGAGTTTTCATGGATGATTCACAGAGTTCTGAAAGTAAGCATTTCGACCAAGAGTAATCTTGAAAGGGTTGTACTTAAACAACGGCTCGCCCGATTGAGTTGAAACTTATGAAAGACATACGTCTCGATAAGTTAAGTTTGGAATGAAATTTTCAATTCGATTCATTCAGACCTTAATATCTTATAATTCATCAAATAATGAAAAAAAAATCTACTTGTCAAGTAACTTCGATAATTTATAACTCGTGACAAGCATAATATAGATACTTATCTGAAGGTTTTCTACAGCAAGGAATACTACTTCTGATTCCCGCGATTTCCAGTGTTTTCCTGCAGGATATGGTGGTTTTTCCGCATTTTCCTGCCGGTTCCCGCAGTATCCGTTCTCCGGAATCATTGGCTTGCGGAGATGAATATTCTGTAGCATCTTTAGTTCAGTATGTATGCTATTCTCCTTTCCTGTTCGCAGGGTGGCGTTAATGATGTTTTATTTTTTGTAAACATCGTGGTTTTTAGAGGATGCTTTCTGTGAAGAAATGTGCGTAGTGTGAGGACTAAGTTTGAAAAGTTGAAATTAAAAAGTAATATTTACCATTTTATCAGTAAAATTAGCATGGATTGCATGAAAAGGACCCGGAAAATGGGACATCTCTGGAATTTATTCAACTGGAAACACTTATTTGTGACCCATCAACAGTTTTCAATTGTTAACTCCCTCGACTGAAGGGAGGGTCATATAAAATAAGGTGGATTTCTGGTCTTGTAGTCTATTGAAGGTTTAGCTGCTCACAAGTATTAATGTAGGTTCAGTCTAAGTCATCAACATCACGATTACTTCGTGCTATGAATTCAAAAATTCAAATGTTTTTTTTCTAGATCTCATCAAATTAGATTGTTTGAGGTTAGAAATTCACCCAATATTTTTTTTTCCATAGAACTTCTGACTCGCTGTGTTTGTCGATACTAGAGGTATAACCGTTTTCAGATCTAAGTTCAGATAAAACAGGTCTGTTGATCGGAACTAAAACTGAATTGCCATACCCCTAGTCGATACTATGACTTGTAAAATATAGAATAAATGGAAGTATGACAATGAGGGCTCATCAACTTTTGGAAACAGATGATAGTAATCTATTACCGAACTAGATTTCAATGGAAGTTTTCATCAGACTGTGGGGATTTATAAGAGAATGTGCACTGTCTGGATCTAACTGATAGAAACAGTGGTCGAAAATGGCGAAATCATTTAATTTTTTTCAAATCAACTTTGATAACAACTTTTCTGTCAGCATAAAACAGCTGAAAGATAAATTTTACAGAAAATCTCACCTATTCAATTTAGGCTCTCTTGGTCATAGCTAGACTTGAATAAAATAAAATGAGTGTTTGTGTCTGTGTTTGTATGTATTTTGACGGAAGAACACTGGTGTATTCATGTGCATTCATGAGTGCTCAGACTAACTGTCGAATCTAATCGCAAATTTCAGTGCTAGCTCCGTCTATATACAGTATTCTGGCTACAGCTCTGGTATAGTTTGCCTCTTTTATGCTGATACTTAGCCAGTAAAACGCGTAAAATGTTGAGCTCTTGTTCAGTGTCATTTTTTTCAAGCTAGAAGTTCAACGAAAGCGGCATTTTTCCTTAGCAAAACCTTGTGACATCATTTTAATGTCGGCCGCATCGGACAACTAAAGGCTACCACCTTCGAACCACGGAATAGATTCTTATTTCTTTTCCTCCTGATATGTCCGATTAGTTCGAAACTCGTGCAGAATGGATTACCAACACATTGTCTCATATGGACTATTTCTCAACTGCGAAACAATAGTACTTTGGAACCCAAACTCTGAGTTTCAGAACCCCATATTGTTTCATACCAATTAGAAACACAATCGCATAATATTTTTCAGATCATTAATGTTCTTTATGAATTACATAACTATTTATTATTCTCCTTTCAGTAGAGGGCTTAGCGGCGTTTGCGTCGCGCTACTTGTTGATAATATCCTTGAGCCTGGATAAAAATAAGTAATTGTTCATCTCTGCTTTGCTAGCCAGTGGGCTCGAAAAATGACTCAAGCATCTAAATAGATGAGACTCTGACGAGTTATCCAATGAAATTGATTACATCTGAGATAACTATCTTTTTGTTTGAATTCAGTCACATTTGTGATTCACGACTATATATAGTATAGATTTCAATGAATTATCAATATCTACGAAAGAATTTGAATGTTTATGAATTTCTACGGATATACAAGTTTTACAGTTCTTTTTTTAAAATTTCATACGATAGTAGCGTTCGGAAACTCAAGAATAGACTTATATTGAAATTCTGACTTGAAGCAAAAAGTCTTAATGAGAATAAGCTTCTGGTGTATGCTTCTCTTTTAGATTGTTCATATACATGAATATTTTCCATTTGTTTTTAAATTCCAGAGTAGGAGCCAGCGAACCGAAATATCTAAAACTTCAACTATAAAACCTTCTCATTAGGCGTTCGCCCATACAAAGTCTTTAATCATAATTGGAATCTGACTTTTTTAACGTTTCCTAAGGGATACTATGACATCCTCTGAGAAAGATTCCTAAATATATATATATGATGTTCACAGGAGTCAGTTAAGTAATTTGAAATCTTTTCTGGATATTTAATTTAATAGCTCAGTACGATCTATATTATGCACAAAGTCAATTTCTTCGATAAAAATAGATTCAACAATATAATATCTAAACCACAAAAACGTTTTGTCTATGTATTTGTATTGGTATATATATATATATACATAGGTGACGGCATGAACGCAATTCGTGTAAAACATGGTTCGATTGCTGATGGGCGCAAGATAACAGTAGATAATCGATATTTTCTTTGTTTTTTTATACATTTATTCATATTTAGGTTGCTTTGGCATCGTCACGCTCATCGACTCGAATAAATTCTCATCATTGTTGCTGTTGTAAAAATTTTATGTAAAAAAACATTTAATTCAATGATTAACTCATCTATATATATATTATCTTGTTTTTGCTTGTTTGTTTTGTCTTCGTTTCCTATACAAGTTATTTTGTGCTTTTCAAATAAACTTCTAGGCGATTTGACAATCATATAAAAGAAAATTATATACATGCATAGCGGGAGGCAAAAAGTAATCGACTATCAGATAACGTTATCTTCAATGTTTTCCGTATTTGATTTGACGAATTATTGTCTTGTTGAAATTATAATAAACATTTTATTCTGTAAGTTTCAATACCATTTTGATAGAACTCAAATAGAATTTTTACGATGATGTCACACTTATTGATGAAGCAATTGGTGCAACAGTTAAAAATGAATTCGAAGAAGTTAATGATTGTTGATAGTAATCCGATGGAGGACACAATGTTGCAACTGCTCCTATATCAGATTCTTTTACTGATGAACGCCGTTGAATACCACTGCCAGTTCGACGAACAGGTGCATGAAATAGAACACGATAACTCGTTTCAATTAAACCCGGAGCACTTTTACTGCGTTTTAAATTAACTAAAAACAAAAAAGTGAAGTCGTGTCTTATTTTTAATTTTCTTGCTTTGTTTCAATTACTTAGTTGTATTAGTGGTTTTTTATGTTTTTCAAGACGTTTAACAGCTATTGATTCAAGTTTGACACGTACAGCTGGATATTCTTTTAATACTTCCCAAAGATCTTCTTTGGAAAGACAAAATAAATCTGAATAACCAACTGATCGTACTGATGCTGTTCGTCGATTGCCGCTACCCATATTTAAAATACTTATTTCTCCAAAATATGAGCCTAAAACAAACCCAAACAGATAAATAACTTGTCTGTGTTTTTTTTCTCTGATTTAATTCTACCAGCTTTTAATGTTGCTAAAACAGTTTTATTATTGTCAGCCATAACATGTAATTTTCCTCGGTTGACAATATACATTTCTTTGCCAACTTCACCTTTACGACAAATGAAATCACCTGGAGAAAACAGAACCGGTTTAAGACGTAAAACTAATTCATTTAAAAAGCCAGCTTCTGTATTTTGAAATATTTCCACCTATCAAAAACAAAAATTTTTATATTATTGATTAAGATGTTTATAGAAAATTTACTCGTTTCAAGGTGTCTAAATGAACATGAATAGCTATTTCAGCACGAAGTTTATATGGTAATAATGATAGAACATGATTATCATCAACTGATTTATGACTCATCCATAAATAATCAAACCTGAAGAAGAAAAACACGAAAAATATCTTTTAAAATTTTAATTTTTCAAAATTAATGAATAATTGATAACTAAAATTAAAATAGTTCACTGAGATATGTTCAGTGATAAAAAAATCGCTCTTAATACTCATAGATTTACTAAGCAAAGTTAATTTGAACATAGTATGTTTTTGTGGAACTCACATATGTTTTCGAAGAAAATGGTGAGTGTAAGTTTATAAGCGAGATTTTTGCGGCTCCCCCCCCCTCCCCATTACAGACATTAATTAGTTAAAAATTATGCTAACTAGGAACTTGACTAATTAGGCTGCTATTTCTTCCTTTTTTAATTACAGACTACGCGAAAAACGCAATTGTTACCTATTACAGACCATAGTAACTCGCTTAGAGTACCATTACAGACCGTAGAAACTAATATCTGCCATTGTTAAATATACCAGCTAACAATTAATACTCGATTGCAGACATAAGCAAATAGGCAATGACCTAATTATAGGTTTTGGAAATCAGGGTAGATTTTTCAGATGAACTATTTTGAATTATTTTAATAAACCGAAGGGATATATGTGAGTTCCGCATTTTAGCCCCTAAGGGGCTGCGCTAACAAGCTCTTATATTTACTAATGAGATGAAATCTTCGATAGATAATAGTGTTTTTCTTTTGTGATATTGATTTGTAATCATCAACTAATGAATACTCGTTGAAATACTAATAAAAACTAAGATAAAAATCAACACTATGATGTTAAGTCGACGTTGTTCATTTTCATTAAAAGACGATTTCTATTCAGATACTTCTTAATCAAGAGTATTATCAAGAAATATTGAAAATCATATTTATCTTTATCGATAAGTGGAATTCATTAGATGTTACAAATATTTTATTTATTTGTCTACTACTATCTATAATAATGTGACATCCATTATCTCAAGTAGGTAAAGTATCATATTAGTATCATTTATTTTTAAAAATAAAATAAAATAGACTAACCATCGTATAACACGATCTTCAAGGTTGTTAGGAACATCCCTTAACGACATATATGTTTTAACAGCATCCAATTTCGCTAAAAGGAAGAAGCAGAAGAAAAAAAAGCAGTTATATCAAGTATCTATTCAATTATTCTATTATTATACCTTGAAAATCTTTTCTTGAATTACTCAAATTAGATACAATGGATGCAACATGTCCCATAATTGTTGCAAATAATAATAAAGCAAAGACCATTTGAGTACTTAGAAAAATATAATCTTCTTTTGATACTGGTTTTGTTTCTTGATTTTGCGTTAATGTTAATATTGTTATTGACCAATATCTTGAAGAGAGAAAAGAAACAATGTGATTCGTTTTTTGTTTTGTTTTGTGTTACAATTCTAATCAACTTACAAAGCTTTGAAATAATCCGAGCCACTATCATTAAATGTAAATGCAAAACGTTTTGTTGAAGCTAATTTCGATCGTGTTTGCAATATATATATTAAACATGCATTCCAATGAAAGATTGCTAATAAATAATGTATCATAACAATAGTACGAAATAAATTTGGATAATTTGTATGACGTTCTGTTCGATCCAAAAATGTCCAGAAACGATAAATTTTAACTAAACGAAAAAGTCGAACGATCGATTTAAAACCAATCGAGAGGTAAAGAAAATCCAATGGCATTAAACAAAGACAATCAATATAAAATCTTGTTGTATTCATATAGTAGTGACGTAATTTAATTGGATCTGTTTGTAAAACTCCATCTTCTAAATAAGCTGTACGAAAATTAAACATAATATCCATTAAATAAATAAAATCACATGCATAATCAAATATAAACCATAGTATAAAATTATTCGATGTTAGTTCATGAAATGAAAAGCGAAATATAATTATCCAAAAGTTGTAAAGAAATGCCAGACTTATAATTGACGTCCAATAATATGATAAACGACCACTTGGATCAAAGATAAATGTGAAATGCGAGCGATGTGCTGTTGATGGATTTAAATCAAATTTTTCAAAACGAGCTTTTATATCTTGCTTACGAGCTTTACGTAATTGACGAGATTGGCGAATAAAATCTCCTTAAATAATTCAATAGAATAACAGACGAGTATAACACAACAAAAACAAAAAGAAATGTTATTTTTGTATTTAAGAAAATTGAAAAAGTAGCTAGTCTTTCATTAGCATTGTCATTTGTTGATCTAGCGTTGCAAAGATATGAAGAAGAAAAAAACTATATTCAATTAGAGATTTCCTGTCTCAATTCCATTAGGGGTTTTTTTCCGTGATCGAATCAATGTTTTCTTATCTCTATGGATTGAATCAATCAAGGTTTATCGTGTTGATGTTGTTCACAGTTAATATATATTTTAACAAATTTACCTTGATAACCGGAAAATATATTTCCATTATCAGATGACAATCGTTGATGTGCTAAAGTAAATGCTGATGTGGAACTTTTTCGTACAGCTGTTAACGTTGTTGCAAGTGTATCGAATATTGATTGTCTTGATGTTGAGTAACGATGGTTATATGGATTTGAGGAGTTTATTGATGGCCGACGTTGTGTACTTATTCGTTTTGGGAGAGATTGAATTGACACCGAGCTACCACGGGAATTATTCGAAAGAAGAGGAATTTTTGTTGGTTTTATGTGAGTACCAGTTTCAGACGATGATGTTACATGGCCACCACCACCACCATCGGTTGATGTAAAAGGAACTAAATGTTTTGACAATGGCGTACGATGATTGGATGATGGCAATTGTGATGATGATTTTTGACTTGTTGGCGGGAAAATTCTAATTTCACATAAATCATCATGAATATTTGATGGAACTACTTGTTGAGATGATTTTATTGAAGGAAGCCGTGCAATGTCATTGTCAATATTTGAATTGCACACTTGATTGTGTATTGACGATTTGAACGATGACGTTTGAGCCATGCCATCACAAGCGTAGTGCCCAGATAAAGGGCGATTGAAATTTATTAATATCTAATTGATAGAAATTAATGAAATTTCTTTCCAATACTTTCTTTCTCTTTTTTCTATAGCTAATAGGGATCAATCTTATAGTGTTAATATCCAAAAATATCAGAGAGAAGTCTGAATGGATACCTCGAAGAATATTATACAATCTGTTCTTAGCTAGAATTTTAGCTATAACGGCTAGAGGGCATCAAATATTAGTGTTTAGTATATGTCATTACGTGTTTGACAGCTGCCCATCTATCTACTTTCACACATATAGAACACAAGCATGCAAGAGGAAATAATGATTGTAATTTCTACGACTTGTCAATAGAAACATTAGCAAAAAAAGAATATTAGACAACTCGGCGTCTATAAAAGTGACAATATTTATTTACTGATTATTTGTTTTTGATTGCATGCAATTTGTTGATCATGGCTAATTATGATTAACATGTAAATGTGGTATAAGAAAATTTTTCTCTTAGAAATATCTATAATAAAATAGAAATAAGTATAGTGACATTTAGAAGTATATTGACAAGATAAGAGGAAAAAGAAAGAGGAAAAACGATTAGCTGAAGTAGTATGTCGAATACGCTCTCCCTAGAATATATTCACAAGTGTTTTTGTTATTGACAAATGTAGAATTCTAACGGATAAAATTAAATTAACACACAAGAGACGAAGTAAATTGGCGAATTACTATTCGGTGCAAGCTTGATGACGTTTCAAGAGAACACAAATCATTTAAACCGACACCCGAATATCACATTTGCATTCAACTATTGCAATCGTTTGTCACGAAGCAAAAAAAAACTTTGCTTAGCGATGAACGAGAGATACGATGGAGGAAAAGGAGAGAGAGACAGAGAGACAGGAGAAGAGATGTTGATGAAGAAGATGGGCACAGCAAGATCCCACACGCACCATTACCATTCTCAAGAAAAAGTTTTCCATTTCCGGAGTGAAGAGCAAGTGCGATGTGTCTGCTCTTATTAGGAATATTACATTATTGAAAGTATTATTACTAATGTTTTTCTTCTATAACGCTATAAACAATCTCTGAATGATTTCTTTGAGAGAGAGAGGTCAGAGTAAAAACTTGTGTCTTTGTTCTTTTCTGTCTGAAATAATTAATCTTAAGAATAATATGAACTGAACTGTTATCTAATTTGTTTTATTTTAAATTGAATAGAAATTGTATGACTACTACTATTTATATTAATAGAGAGAACAAGAAGGAAAAACAGGAAAGCAAGAACAAGTCAAGTTTATCAAAGCAAATGCATGCACTAATTTAGTATGCATTAATAGGAATTTTCCTTTTCTTTAAATCTCAGATGACTTTTACTTTAGTTTGATAGGTATTTAAAGAACTAAAGAAGTTTTCTTGGATTTCATGAGTATTTGAATTAATCTACATGAAATAATAAATGATTTTATTATGAAAGAAATAAATCTCTATGACTTACATCATTTGTTTTCCTATAAATAATAAAAGCTTATTACCTATATTATAAAGATATATATAGAAAGAGATGAGTACGTTGATTAATAATGATCTCTTTACCTAGGAAATAAGTCTAGCATACTAAATGACATGATTTTCAAATAAACTTGTTAATTTACGTGTGAGAGACAGGCACGCCCATGTGCATGATGATTATTGTTATCTATCGATACACATGCGCCAGTCAACTTTGTCTTTCTTTCAATTTTATTAGATCGACTTGGTGTTGCCTCTATTTTTCTTATCTCTCAGTTTTTTTCTTCTTCTTCTTCTTCTGTTATTTATTTGTCTCTCCTTTAACTTGTTCTCATGAATAAATAATCAATAAACTCATCTTCGTATTGTTCCTTCTTTTTCTCGCTTCTATCATCCGATGAGGATTGTATTGATGTGTAACAAGCAACAGCAGCAACAAAAAAACGAAGAAACAACACAATATCGTTCTATCCGTTGCTTTCTTTCTCTTTCTCTCTACGATAGTATCATCAAGCAGATACATGATAATTGTTTTCTTTTGGCCAATTCTTACTACAATTAGCTACATCGTCAACATGAGTAATAGGGATGTCTTCTTTATTCAGATCTATATTCCTATCGAATGTCAACAACCAATATCCATAATATTGCTTTATCTTTGTTCTGAATCATGCGCATTTTCTTTCGTTCATTCGCTTTCGAGTATGCACGCGCGCATCCGTTCAAATTCTTTTGTCTACGAGTATTCTATACCAAATATCTCTTCTTTCATCTACGTCACATGAACTCATGTTTTTTCCTATGCTGTCGTCATTCGTAATTGGCCCCATCTCTCCCCATCTTTACTGTTGAATGAGTACATGGCTTTTCTCTTCGTTTTTTTCCTATCTATTATTCATTTTGAAATAACGTCTCAAGCTATGCTATATCCCGCCGTTCGCTATGCCAAATGTACGACTGCATTTACTTGCTACTCTCATGTGCATTAGCATCTAGCTCATCCATACTTTATTAAATCGGAACTAAGCAAGAGTTCATTGACGTAATTCTTGATACATGCACACATAAACATATCTATGGATAGGAAAGGAAGACATCATTACACTAGACCGGAAAACATGCATAATAAATCCACTTTGTAAATAAATAATGTCGATTTTATCTATATTCGGCATCAATGCAAATACATACGTACAAATAATCTAGTAAAATGTCAAAATATGTTTAATAACATTGAAATTTAATCTAAAATCAATTACCCTTTAGCGCAATTCTAATATTTATAATGAATTATATAACAAGAATTATTTTTTCTTTGGAAAAGCCATACATCTAACGGGTGTTCCATAAAAAATGGCTACCTTTTGTTTTCTGCCTTTGAGGCACTTGATAATTGTCTTAAGATCTGATTCTGAGCTTGTTGGATAGAGAATTCGTTTCTCTACAAAACTATCCACTTCATTTTTCAAAGAAGCTTTTCTTGTCAGCGCAAGATTTAAAAGATCAACACCTACTAAATCATCCAACTGCGCGATCAAAGAAACGAAGAAAAAAATGGAATTTTAAAAATAGTGACTCTGCTGCAAAATCAAATACGCTACAATATTCTACATAAAATTCTGCATCCTATGATATCATTCTCAGGATTTTAGAATAAATATTTGGGTGAATAATTTTTGAAATAGAAAATGCGAAAACACGGAAAAAACCCTTTCCTGGTCACTCATGCGATTATTCTGTTTTAATGCTAGCCAGCCAAAATGTTTCAGCTATTCAAACTAACACTTACACCATTTTTTTCAGAATTAAATTCTGCAGTCAACGGCGTGATAATCAACGTTTCACAGGAGAAGCTTGGATTTGAAAAACCTTATTTTTTATACTGCCTCTAAAAATACTATCAAGGGTTAGTTCGAAGCCTTTTGCTACTGAGCAACAGTACCAAGAACCTTGGAAAAGTCGAGGAAGCATAGAACACAAAATTCTACATCTTTTGATGTAAAATATTTAACTTTTAACATTGGCCTAAATTAGCAGACTTGCATAAATTATTTAATGTGCGAAGAAAATTTCGCCGCGCAGTTGAATAATTTAGTAGGCGTTGATCTTTTAAATCTTACACTGACAAGAAAAGCTTCTTTAAAAAATGAAGTGGATAGTTTTGTAGAGAAACGAATTCTCTATCCAGCAAGCGCAGAATCAGATCTTAAGACAATTATCAAGTGCCTCAAAGACAGAAAACAAAAGGTAGCCATTTTTTTATGGAACACCCGTTATTATTGATTTAAAACTAAATTACAACTACTTACTATTTCTGTATGTTTTTAAATAAATAAATCAACATATTAATTTTCTAATAATATATATATATATATAAGATAAACTACGTATGCGTTTCTTAGATATTTTCAGTTAAAAAAACTCATTGTTTCGTCGTTTATTATTATTCCGACTCACTCTCTCGCTCTCCTCATTTTAGAACGACTCGATGTTATTTGTATTTCCGTTCAAGAACATGAATCTTCATATTTTCTCGCCAGCTTTCCCGAGTTTTCTCTTCTTGTCTTTACTGTTTAAGAAAATGTCTATCGTTTCCTGTCGTCCTCATAACAAAAAAAGCAATAAAAATCGAGTCAGATCGAATCATTTTCAACAAAATATAACCATTAATTTTCTTATAGTATGTTCGTTGTATATATATATATATATATATGTAGTATGTATATCTGACAATAGCACGAGAAACTTTTTTGATCAAAAACGAAAAAGAAAGAAGGAAAAAACACACTAGATGTCAATCAAAGAAAATAAATTAATCAAGAAAAGAAAAATCTTGTGCGTGTTTAAAAATTCAACGCACCGAAAAAAAAGGAGAAAAAGAAAATAGCACTGCTTTTTACCAATAAAATAAAGTGAACACAAAAGAAATATCACATTTGTTGTTGAAGACTAGATAGTACTGATGCATAAGCATACATGAACATATAGTTTTGTGCTAAGAATAAATTATATGGATATGTTGATGAAGATAGTTTCTTTCGTTTTTCATCTTCATTATCAATATCGATCGGTAATGGACGTTTTTTCGGCGGTAATGAATTCCATTCAGATGATTTACAATCTGTATTCGACACTTTAAATTTTTGATTTCTTTGCCGATGACGATATAATGTTGATTTAACTGATGCAAATGATGGCAAATGTTCGCGTATTTCTGTTGAATGTTCATTTATTGATCGCATTAATTCTTCATCATAAATTTTTGGAATGGTAACTGTATCTTCAGCAGCACGTTTTTTTAAGCGTGATAAAAATTCTTGTTGAGGATCAACAAGTAATGTTCGAGCATGTAAATGACCATCATTACGACGTACAACACGATCACCATAAGTTCTTACACTAGCACTGCATAGTTCGCTGTGAAACAAGAAGAAGAAAACAAAACCCAATGTCAAGATTTAAGAAAAACAACTCTAGTATAGACTTTTAAACTTACTGTGTACATGTCCAAGACATGGAACCATCGAGATTATCACGTCGATGTTTATAACGATGACCATCAAGTATAATACATGGTTTACCTTTTTGCGTTGTTTTCAGAATAAATGAAGCATTTAATGAATCAGATTCTTGCTTAATAGGTTTTTGATTGGATGCTAATTCAGCAAGAACATCAAGACTAAAATTACATTAGAATACACACAAAAGGGATTGCTGCATTTTGTTTTTTTGTCCTCACTTATTCATAGTTTGTGTACGTAATACAGACAATCAAAGAATGATTTCTTCTTTTATATGGCATGTCTATATATATGTACATTTAAACATTCTATTGTATTCTTAGTCGAATTTCTACATGTGCGTTCCGAAATCAATAATAACATAGTGTACAAAATATCAAGGCATTAGTTGTAAAAATACACTTGTCCTATCATGAGGTTAAACAGAATCATCTAGAAATTGCAGAAAAGGAAAATTTTATAGAAAAGAATAACTACTTTTATTACGTTTGTTTAATTGTACAAAGAGATCTGTTCTCCTTGTAATATTCACCATTGCCTATAGAAAATAGATAGATAGAGCATGGCGCGATGAATCATTAAGAATTTCAATCGAAAATTTTCCCTCGGAGAAAAGTCCATTCACGTGAAAAGGAACGAAAAGTATAGAATTATCATATGCTATCATAAAAGGCAGACTTTCGTGTATAGATTCAAAGGTATTATTCATTTAGTTCAGCAAGATTTTAGTTGAATATCTTATTATTGAGTTTAAGTAGAAACTTCTGTATTACTAAGAGTTCTCGATATGATAAATATTTTCCTAAATTAGTCTGATTATAATTATATACTAATAATAGATGCTTAGTCGTTTCGTGTATACTAATAATGAATAATAATTCCAATTATTCAAACTATGACTTATCTATACGTATAGATAGAAAAGGATTGGAATTAACGATCAAAATTGAAAACAGAAATAACTTTTTTTGATATTCATGATGATGAAATTTAATTAATCATTCAGAGAAAAGACAAAATCTGCTCGCAGTGAAAACAAAACGTCGATGATGCATATATATCTATATCATTGATCAGCTTTGGGGTTACTTTCAAGTTGAATGTTAGCAATGACTGGAAAAAATATTTAGTAATATTGAAAGAATTCCTATAGCAACTGTAGAAAATCTTTGATTTAGTTATGCTGTTTCTTTTCGTATTGTCATTATTTTATTAAGCAAGATGAATAAAATAATTTTGAATGTGACAGAAAAACTCGTATTGGTGAAAAATATTAGTATAAAACAAATTTTTAAAAATCTATATAGTATAGTATGATCATATATTTTAGTGTAGGATTGAATCAACAAAAAGCAACGTTGGTTGTAATAATTTCGATTTTTTAGTAAATGAAAAGAAATCTTAGTTTTTATTATGTTTTTCTAATATGAACATTTGTATCATTTAAACCAAAAAATCAGTAACTTCATCAGTGATAAATTGATAAAAATCATAAAAATCTATTATAATCGTTAGATTTGCCTCGAGCAATGAAACGACTTAAACGAACTCTAAATCATAACTATAATCGGTATTATTTATGAGCAATATGACTTTGTTAAATAGAAACATGCGTATCTTGAAATAATAAATTAGCTTAAAGCTAATTTGCAAATGCTACTCTAATGGAATTAGCGTTTTAAGCATTTATTCAAATGAATCCTCAGTAAAGTCAAATCTAACATTTGTCATGCGACAAAAAGCAGCATATTAAATTTCAATTCATGTATTTTCATTTCAAAATAACTCTACAAGAACCAAACTGAATGATACCATTTTGCCGACTACTGTTGGTGTTACAAAATACTCATTCAATCATTCATTGAGCCTGTAAAAATTTTTGAAAGAAATCAATCAACTATTCATTGGTGACATCAAAGAGTATCAGTTGCTTCAGATAACGTTAAAAAAGAATTGTTTCGTTGCTTACAATGGAATGTCTTGAAAAATGATTTTTAAGAAAAACTCTCTTGAAGTTTGGTCTGGTTGAATTTTTTTTTATTAAAGGCGCTACTTGTGTCGCTTAGTTTATTAAGTTTTCAGATGCGTATTTTGTATGGTTAGAGATATAATTGGTATGAAGTTTTTAATTAATTCCTAATCAGGTTGACAAAATAAAGATTTAAACATATTTTTACATTGGAAGAATTCATTCGAGAAAATAACTCCGGTAAAAAAATCAAAGCCACATGAAAGATGAGTACACGCTCTTCTATCTAAATTGATCCATACAGATAAGGCTGATGTCCTAATTTTTATGAAATCTAATATTAGATAAATTCATTAAGAAATGAATGCTTAAAAATACTGTTGCAAACGTTTGAACGACATTTTCTTAAATAAACAATGTTGTTAAGCAATGACTTTTGATCTTTTCTCATTCGTACGGCTGACATAATCAAAGCATGGCGTACAAATTCATGATCATATCTAATTCTACAAATCAAGTTGTATCTTCACTGAAAATATAATACATAATAAATGTGTGTTGAAATAATTTATTATTTGCCGTCAAAAGTGCAACTCGAAAAAAAAAATTACAAAAAAGTATTAGCTACATAAAATAGAATTTATTAAAACCATTATCATATTAATACGAATTTAGCACAACTTTCTTCTAAACTAAAAACAATCATTATTGTTTTTCATTTCTGACTTTTTTCCGTACACACATGCACACACAGTACTATTGAAAAACAAATTTATTTTAACTATTTTTTTGCTTTCGGCTTCATTTCTTCAAAACATTGCCTTAAAAATATCACATTCTTTTTTGCTTGCTGGTTTCCTTCATGTCCTTTATGCCAATCGTAAGAGCTTGCGTAGGAAAATAACTGTCCACGACTATCAAATGCACAACATGTTATGGACTGATCATTGATAACATCACTTGTTTTCAATTTCATTCGGTCATCCTTATCCCAATAATTATATCGACCATCACTACCAACTGTAGCTAATGTACCATGTATAGGATGAAAAGCAATATCATTAACAGCAAATATATCTTGAGTGGTACCGACCGTTGTTGCTGTTGGCGTTGAACGATGGCATTTAAATGTAAAATTGTCATTACCTGGATTTGGCGTATCAACATACATTATGGCAACACGACCTTCAATACAACCAACGGCGAAACCATTTGGATTTCGTGCTTTATCTGTAAATATTGAGACACAACGATGTTGATATTTAAGTAATGATTCGATCTTTTTATATTCCGTAGGTCCTTGATCCAGTGAATAAACTTGTATACCACGATCAGCAGTTGTTATAACAGCCATGGGCCCGAGAACATCGGCTGCATATATACGTTCATTGAGTGCTAGCTGTTTTAATGGCGTTGCTTGACGCATATCCCAGAATTTAACTAGAGGTAAAAACAAGGCAATGAAATACTTTCTATTTGTTTTTTTTTAGAATTTATTATGGGGATTGCTAGAAACTATGAAATTTGAATCAAATGTTATACGAGAACCTTTTCAAAGTTTTTGTAACCAGACTAAAGCGTTTTGTTTTAATATAGTTACAAATACTCTTCGTTTCTTATGTTTTGAATTATTCTTCATGTTTTACAAGAAAACAAATTATTAACAGTATTGATATCACTGTCTACAATCTATACCAAGGTGACTAACGAGGCTAATTTAGTCAGTAAACGTTACACATATTTCAAAGTTATCATTGAGTATCTATTCTACTTTAAATAATAATAAAAAGACGTTCAACTATTTTACGTACCAGTTCGATCCCAACTTCCAGTCATCACACAGGAATAAGATGGTCTTTGAATATAATTTATTGTTCGTACTGCTTGATCATGTACTCCAATTTGAATAGATGTATTCGATTGCAAATCCCACATTCTCGCGGTTTTATCACTCCCAGCTGTAAATACTTTCGAACCATCATCTGACCAACAACAATTTAATAAAGGTGCATCATATTTTTGCATAGCTCTAGCAATAGATTGTCCAGTCGATTGAATTTCCCAACAACGAATATCATTTGCCCATGAAGTTGCTATTAAATATGTTTGTGAAATGGATGCTGGAGAAAATTTCATACACGATATAGAATCTTCAGGCGATTGAACAACTTCAACATCTCGTTGCACTGGTGTCGTTGTTGAAAGACCAAACATATTATTCGCAATCTAAAATGAAGAAAGGTCTTTTGAAGATGGAAATTTATGTCTCCATAAATCCCAAACAAGCCAAGGATTTCTTTCGTTGATATTTTTATTTGTCAAATCGAAATCAATATTTTTTATACGTTTTAAATAATTATAGATAATAATAATTGGTAAAAATAAAGTACGATTATGATTTTCTGATGAAGAAAACATATTCTGTTTTTGAAAATTTTTATCTTGTTCAAATAATTCCGTTGTTTTTTGTAAATGAAACCAAGATCGATTACACAGTTGATATATGACATGACGACATTGTTCATTAGAAAATTGACCATTAAATATATCTTGTTGCGAAATATTGTGTTCAACAAGATAGGAAAGAGGAATTAAACAACGACGCTTATGTGCGTTATAGGGAATACCACGGACAACATTAATAAGACCTTGGGAACGAGCTGAAAAAAAAAGAAAGAATTATCTTATAGTTTATTCAATAAAAGAAAAGTAGATTCATGTGTGATTGAATTTCTAAAATATCATGCTGTTGCTAATCATGGAGAGACTCTTTTAAACTAGCTGATCGTAAACTAATTACTTATATCTAGTTGGGATTAGATCGTGCTTCTTTAGTTTGGCAATGAGCTTAGTAATATGAAGCGAAAGTTAGAAAATACTGTTCTTCGATATTTAAAAGAGTGTTGAAGTTCATAGACTCCATGGCAAAAAAAACCAACCTTCTTCGAAAAAATTTAGCATCAAAATAAATATGAGCTCGTACCTAAATGTGATGCAATATGATCAGTATTTAATGATCTTTGTTTTGCTAATTCAAGTAAAAGATAATAAGCTGGTGTAATTGATTGTTCAAGATAATTTTCTAATTGTTCAATATCTGCAAATGGCATATCATTCAATGTTGTCTCTCGACTTTTAATTAATCGATGAAACCACATTTTTGACACTTGATTATATTTTATCAGCAAGTCAATTTCACGTGCAACTGGATGATTAATTTTTTTGATTTCGTTCGTTTTTAATGATAAATAAATTGAATCGATCGAGTCACGCCAAAACTGAAGTCTCATTTGTCCTATTTGTGAATTTGATACTTGATCCCGTACGGAAGCAAGTTCAACGTTTAATGCTCGTATAGCCATTGCTGGACGTTGAAGCGATGACGGTTTTAATAAGCCTGCGCATACAAAGTTTTCATAGTCAGCTTTTCGTACACTATTTATACAATACGTATAATCATCCACAGGCTTTTTAGGCGTTTTTGTAACTGAAGAAGCAAAACGAACAGATCGAATTATCATCCTGTTACTGTTGTCCGTTCGAATGAATAGAAAAATATAAACTATCTGAAAAAAGACGTAGAGCTTCTTGGTTTTCTATCACTCGAATCCACCGAATATACATCGACATTTTAAAAATTTTCAAGATTATGCAACACCGTATTTGTATTTTTTGCTTTATACAGGCAACAGCGGGAACTTCCCACTGAGAAATTCGATTGAAATGAAATTTTTATGTATTTTTGGTTTATTGGTAACAATAAATCACCCAGTTTTTCTTATAAACCCAAGTCAAATCAATAATGTGGTAGACAAAATGAATCATCTTACAAGAAAAAACCAATAAAATAATGATCCTTACTTTACCGTAGTGCATGTGCAATATGTATCCCGCTTTTTATTGGTAACTTAACTAAACAAATCATAGTAAAACGGAATTTCCCGTTTGCATTTAAAAGAATGTCGTGTAAATCTGAGATGTTATACTGAACTGTTTCTCTAGCTCTTTATTTTGTATCTTTGATCGCTCTTTCATAGCAAACTTGAATTTAACCGAGATTTGACATTTCACATGCACGACTTTTTATGTTAGATTTTCAATCTTCCAATGAATTGGAATATATTGTTTTGAAAATAAAAATATTATGACACTGATTCTATGACAGACCGAAGACGAATTGGAAACCATGCATATTTATTGCTATGCATAAGAATCTGGAAGGTTGATTCAATATTGTAATTTTTTTAGATCAATTCAATCTTACTCAAATATTCCAGAGTTTTCTTACAGTGTCAAGATTATTCGGTACGATTTATTTCTTTTTTACATTAATAATATGAAAAATAAATGTGGAAACATCGGATTTGCATCCGATCGTTATGTGTACTGCAAAAACTGAGTCGATTTATGTATGTTGTGAATGATACTGAAAAAAGGTTTTTTTTTGAAAAAATCCCTGTACTCCCCCTCAGGGATAGTCTGATAAAAAATGACAGTTTTTTCGATAACTCAGTCATTTCTTGACGAATCCTTCTCATCTTCGAACTCGACCTAGATATTGATAAGACAATTGTGTGCACAAAATTTTAAATCAATTGAATGTAATTGTGAAGAGCTATCGAATAAACGGACGGACGGACGGACACACTGACCGATTTTAGTAGTGTTCTCACTTTTTGAGTACACAAAAATGATAGTGTAACTTTTACATAATTCTCTTAGTTAAAATGGATGCAACTAATTCCTATGCGGCATTGCCTAAGGAAGGATTGCTCCATTGTTTTTAATTCTTTGTGATGCGTATCGCTTCATCAATCGGAAAAAATACATTTTTTTAAAGTAGTTTTTAATTTATATTCTTGTACTAATGATTCTCGTCTTACGCAGTCTTTGAAGCAAAAAGAAAACCTTGAAAAATTACTTAAAGAAGCACTCATTTTTGATTGAACATACATCAGATAAGTGCTCTATTGTCAAGTTGAATGTGCTTAGCTTCAATAAAATGCATGTCACTAAATTGACGTAACAAATAAATGCGGGTAACATTAATCAAAGAGTTACAAACGAGAAAATATTTTCAGTATGTAATCACTTAAAAATTTCAAGCAGTTTAGTATGACTGTAGATAAATTGTGATTCTGTTTAATATCAGAATATAATGTGACAGATAGATAGAGAGAGAGAGAGATATGGAACGTTGGCTTTTTTCGATTCATTATAATTTGAATGTCTATGAATGTGTTCATCTTCATTGCACTGCCGATAGGATACATGCCGATTATGCTTTGTATAATTGCAAAACATTTTACTCTTGTAAAGTGCGACAAAGTTTTATTAAATATGGCAGAAATATAACATTTTTATAAATGTCGTAGTTAACGAATTCATAGGTTTTTCTTTTCGTTTGATACATCGTATATGCACTTTGTTATGCACATCGGTGAAACTGACTTACGTTTTGTTTATGGCATCTGTTTTATAAAAAAAACGAACAATAAGACAAAATTTTAACATCTGATTATTGCGATTTTAATGATTCTATTTTGTTTTTGTTGATTGCCATTGAGAATATTTTGATGAAAATAACTCGTGATGATACACAAATGAGAAAGTACACAATAATGGTGATATTCAAAATGAATTCATCAAGTTGAATTGGTTATGAAATATTTCAGATTTGATTATCAAAGTCAAATACTTGCGGACAGCATCGCGTCGAATTACTATGAGGATAAATCATTTTAGTATTAGAACAGTTAATGTTTTCATCGATAAATATTATCATTCGATCTGAGTATGACAATTTTAACTACTTACCGGATTCAATATATTGCAATGAGCATCTCTATCGATTCATTTCATGTTAATGTTTCATCTAATTTTTTATCATCTATTCGAGAGTTTATTCATTTATTAATTTCCAACGAGAGACACATGAGTAGATATTAGACTTCAATATTTGAGAAGATTTCTTCAAAAATCTCATTTTTCCAAGCATCCGTACAGACAAACCAAATATTACTGAAAGCCTGCCGAATGGGTCCATTGGAGCCCATCATCTTTGATTGAAGTATTTCTCGAAATAACTTGGCAATATCTTGAACATCGTTTCCAAATGCACCTGTTCCTATTGGTCCAAGCAAGAGATATGTATTAGAGCCGGCACCCTTTGTATTGGCTACGGCTGCTGCGATGAATGCATGAAACTTGGCCAAAGTCTTTTCTTTCCACTGAAATAGTCAAAAATATTGCACACTCATCATATTTAGTTGAGCCCGCTAGTTAGGAAACAGTATCATCTGCCATTGAAGTGCACGTCGAAAAATAGACAACAATGTTTTATCCTTTCTCAGTGTAAAAAAATCTTGTTAGGATGACATTTATCGGATTAATACCGTTCAAAAAATCTGCTAATGGCAATATTTCCTGTGCATCATCAAATATAAAATTATTCACTTGTTTTCTTCGTAAGATAGATTAAACTAAATCTCTAAAATAGCTGGTTAATAACTCAATATTATTCATGCAAAATCTACTGAAGAATCCATTATTCACAATTGCTTACTTCAGTCTTATTCTTTGGATTGCGATAAAGTTCCGCTGCGCCAATACAATAACAGTTGGCAACCAACATATCAGTAAGACGCCGCTCTTGAGTATCTCTATGAAAGAAACAAATGTTGCGTACATAGGCTAGACCAAACTCGGGTATAGCATAGCCACCACCCATTCGTCCGTATTTAAGATCGAGCAACGATCGATAGGCATCTGAATTGTATAGAATAATTTCTTCTTGAGTCCCTAGGATGGAAATAGTAATTGTGAATAATTCAATATCGTTTCCGAAAAAATTATGGGAATATAAAAAAAACCAACTCAATGAGTATATCTAAAATATAACAATACATACATGCTCTTATTAAATAGCCACCTCCAGGTGATTGTTCATCCTAAATAGTGAAGGAATAGAAGGTTTTAGCAGTGTATACTAAAACTTACTGCAAAACTCAGTAGAATAATTTGTGCATCTTTCGGTACATCGAAAACAGCTTTTTCTATGCCTTTGGTGACATAAGTAATCTTTCCATGGTGATTTCGCTGCCAAACAGGATGTTGACGAAGAGCTTCGACAGCATCAACATCCGATGGATCATATAATGGCTGTAAGAATTTCTCTAGTTGTGATTCAGCTTTTGGACAAAGCTGTTCCAGTTGTTCGGCATTCCAATATAACTTCAGTTCATCGGATTGAAAACCATTTGGACGAGTACAATCCATGTACAATCGCGATCGTTCTATATCAGGATGTGACTGAGAGAAAACAGCATATAGATTATGAATATAGCATGTCGATATTCATGCTTGTGGACTCAGTGATAGCGAATTAATCATTCAATGAATTCTATGGTTTATTTTCACGAGAAAGATTATTCAGAGCACTAATGTGTATATCAAGAATATCTATTTATGAAACTTCGTGTGCTGAATAATTTGAGTTCAGCGTCGACCTACTCTTGGTTATATTTTATGTTGTCTAAAATGTGATGGAATACTAGATTTGAGTAGTGAAATAATGCACTATTGTACGTCATTACAATCAATACAGAAACTTACCACACTGATAGTCAATTCGTATTACGGCTTGGTTTTATGGCCACCATAGTATGTCCATGTATCATCTACTTTGTCAGCAGTCATCTTTTGGTATGTTTCACGAAGTTCATTCCAATTTGGTTCTCGACAAGTACCATCACGATCTTCATACACAAGCCATTGGCGAATTTCATCGAGTTTTCGAGTGATTTGGTCGCTTATCTCGTCTCTTGTATTTGCAATTTCTTTTAATTCTTCGAGTCTTTTATTTAGTGCCAGTAAAAAAGCAAGTAAAGTACGACGACTATGATTCCAATCAATTCTTTCTTGATTCGATACAGCACAAAGAATAGAACATAGGAGGAATTTGGTGAGTGATGCTACAGGTATATAGACGGCTAACGGGTCAGGCATTGTTTGATAAGTGAAATTGAAGTGATCTGTAGTAGAATATGATTGTAGATTTGTGTCTAATGAAGAATCACCAAATGTGGTTGATCTATCTGATTCTTCCATGCTAACGTGAAATCTAAAAGAATTTTTTTATTGTTAAATTTTTTCCAACAAAAATCCTGTTCCGAAATATCACGCACTAGAATGGTTGTAGTACATGATGCCACTCAGTGCGCTTACTTATCATCAGCAATATCCTGAGCTGAAACTATCATAAGTTATATTCATTTGTAAAGAAACTTACTCGGATAAAAATATTGCGAGATTTTAACCAATACAAACTACTTTATTGACGTTTATGAAAGTCATTTGTATCGAGAGTCGATTGTTACTTTTTCATTTCTCTTTCGTTCTGTTTGTTACTCACCATCTTACTCATTATGCCGGCATTATTATACACAGTGCTACAGAAATTACCTTGGATTTATACTAATAGCGATGTGAATGAATAATCGCGAAATATGAAGAATGATGATTGCAAATTGTATGAAATTATTATACTGAATAAAAGTTCTTGTCGGGATCAGAAGCATCGCATGTAAGTTTTGTGCCGGCTGGATGGGCAATACAACGTTTAACGATATTTGCTCAATAGAAAATTGCAATAGATTCAATTTGTAAATCTTCAACGCCAATGAATCGTTACGTTTTTTTTTCATTCATCAACAAAATGAATGGATATATTTGAAAAGAAAAAACATTCTTTCCTTATTTGTTGATTTTATAAATGCATGTATGACGACTTGTTTATCTTTACTGGACACTTCAAAATATATATAAATTATGCAGCAATAAACAGATAATCGATCGGTGAGATAAATGTTCATTTCAAAGGAAAAAGTGTCATTCATTCAAGTCAAAAATGAATTCTTTTCCCGTTCTGCCTATAGCTAACAAAAGACAAACGATATAACCGTAAGTCAGCGTGCGTATACTAAATACATATCGAGTTCTTGTCGTCGCCGTTCAGAAAAGATATTCATGCATACACAACACGTTCCATGCTATACAAAACTTTACAAGCACCAAATATGAGTCATTTTCATTTTCCACATTCCTTCTTTTGCAACGAATTATTGAAAACAAACTTCTTACCAGCTCCTTGACATTCTTCACGTGTCAACATAAAATATATGAAAACTTTCCCTTAGATCATAACCGATTTTGGGCACCTCACCTTAATGGAAATTTTCTGATCATTGTTTTAACTTAATTCAAACATAATCTAACTGATTATGAAATTTTCCTACGCCCTTAGTATCGTCCAAAATCATTTTTCTCTTATCATCTATATATCTATATGATCATCTTAGATCACATATGAAAGTATTTTTCTTCTATAGGAAGGATGATCTTTCATTTATTTAAACCGTTTTTCCCAACGTATTTTTCATGTTTCTACTGCATATTCATTTTACAGTGGTGTGAGGTTGTCATAGGAATGATATATTTTGGTTTCGGTTTATTTGTTTGGCGCGTTTATCGCAAGTTAAGTTTTTAGACATTTTTGACCTGAACGTCATTTTTCCGGTTTAAATGAGCATTTATGTCACCGATCAGATATTTGTCTAATCCTCATCTAAGTCGGCGTACGATCGCGGCCACAACAACCATATTTATACAGATATCTACACTTATAGTTGTAATTTCAAGGTTCAAATGAATTACGTCAACCAACAACAAAGTATATGTCGAAACCTGCGTACATTTGCCTAGATTCCCTTTTCTTTTCACCGAAAGACGACGGCTTGGACTTTATCATTTCGGTGTATTGTTCGAGTCGATAGAATTTGATAATGACGGCAAGATAAATGCCTTCTAGTGACGATATACGTGTGTTTTACTCTAAGTGGAAAGAAAAACATGAATCGACCATGTCTGGATGATAAATATTAACCGTGAATAATAGTGCGTCTGATACCGACTGTATATAAAGACGGCCATGTTTCTTAGTTCTAACAATTCAGTATTGCATGATCTTAAGTTTTATACTATCATTTTCGCAGCAAAGGTAAGCCAGTCACTGTTAATAACAAAATCATTTAATTTGAGACGTTTAACTTAAGCTAAATATCTGTATACGTCAAGCGTATATCAATTTCATCTAATTTATGTTGTAAGTCTATGTATCGGATCGGATACCGTGAAAGTTATCGTTGTCAGTAGCGAAGATATGATTGAAGTTGGCATTTTTTCCAAGCACTATCAACAGTGTTTGAGACTTGAGATAAAGAGAAGTTCCTTAATAAAATAGTAATATTTGCAGCTGATATGCAACTTCATTTGTTCACATCTATTTAGCTGCTACATGTGAAATTCAATGTAATGCGCCTAGGTTTGCAGTCAATGGATATTTTCTTTAACGAATTTCTAATATGCAGCCTTGAAAAATACTTCTGTAATTAGCTAGTGCTTCACCAATATCACTATTGCGAATGAGTGCTATGTTACATTTCATGAACTATATATGCTAATATTAGCGTCTTCTGACCTGTCCAATATGAAGATCTTCTTTAATTTTTGTAGTATATTCAACAAATAAAAAGCAATGGAGTCATTTACACACGCTTATGATGAAAAGATTCGTCCACTAATGGATAGAATTGATCAGGCACGATCATTGCTATCCTCAAACAATGATGGTATTAAATTTCCGACTGTTGTTGTCGTTGGAGATCAATCAAGTGGAAAATCGACATTATTGGAAGCATTATCGTTAGTTGAACTGCCCAAAGGTTCTGGTATTGTTACTAGATGTCCATTGGTATTAAGATTACGAAAAGCAAATGCAAGAAAAGTATATCGATTGGAAGATAATAATAAAAAAATCCTACTAGACGAAACCAAATTGAATATCTTACAATACATTGAAGAAGAGACGTCGAAGTTAGCGGGTAACCAGAAAAATGTCGTTCATGCTCCAATTGAATTGCAAGTAGAAGATCCTCAAGTACGCGATTTGACTGTAGTTGATCTACCTGGTATAGCACGAAATCCAATTGCCGATCAGCCCAAAGATATCCATGAACAGACAACAGATTTAATTCGTAAGTTTATTAAACAAGAAGGTAGTGTCATACTGTGTGTCTTTCCGGCTAATGTCGATGTTGCAACAGTTGAATCATTCACATTAGCACGAGAAGTTGACCCGAAGGGTATTCGAACGATCGGGGTTATTACTAAATCGGATCTTGCTCCGAATCATGATGCGCTGGCTCAACAGTTACTGATGGAGAGACCCGATGTTCTTCATTTGAAATTAGGTTTTGTTGCGGTTCGCAATCGTAGTACAGATGAAAAACTAAGTTTATCTGAAGCACGAAAACGTGAAAAAGAATTCTTTAGTAAACACCCCATTGGAGCTATGGTAGGATCTCATTGTCTAGGCATTGATGCATTAATCAATCGTTTAGCTGATCTATATGCTGATCGCGTCCAGGATACATTTCCCAAAATGCGAGATGAGGTACATAGGAAATTAAAAGAAGTTTGTGAGCAATTATCAAAACTACCACCGAATCTCGAAACAGCGTCAGCACGCTTAGCCAAATATCATGAATTGGCAGATTTCTATGTCGAAAATATTCTTCGAGTACGGTTTACTAGTTCAAACGATGGTCAACGTGCGAGTATGGTCAATATTCTACACAGTAATTTTAAGAAATTTGAAGGTATCGTTCAACATCAAAGTCGTGAATTTGATTCAACAAACTATCTTGCGAAACTTCAAGTTGCCATGTCGGCATGTTTTGGTGAACAACTACCGAATTTTTTACCTTATCCAGTGTTGAAAGGTCTCATATGTGAGAAGTTGGGTCAACTTTGGTAGGCAGCCGAGATACTTATCAAAGAATGTTTCCAAATGACCTTCCGTGTTTTATCAGAACACGATGAGAAGGCATGTAGCGATAATATTTTATTGCTAAAACTTTTACCATTCTTTCGTGATCTGCTTCAATCATATCTAAATTATAAACGACAAATAGTGTATGATCAATTACAAGAACTAATTCGATTAGAAAAACAAGATCCATATACAATCAACCACTGCTATACTACTACTATCAAAAACTTTGAAATGCAAAGAACTGAAGAAAAATTGCCAAAATCAAGTTCAAAAAATGACTCTTCCGGAGAGGCCACAGACGAAGATGACGAATTAATGTTTAAAAGTAGTTCAAATGATGATGAAGCGGTACAAGATATGTTGACTAGCATCCGCGTATATTGGAAACTATTATTGCAACGTTTCATTGATTATGCTGCATTATCGATACGTGCTGGGTGTGTCTTCGACATATGTCCTGACATACGAAAACGTTTCAGACAAGTTCCTACGGAACAAGTCGATTTCGTCGATGCTTATCTAATGGAGGATGCTTTCGTTCGAACCAAAAGACAACAGTTACAACAAGCTAGAGAACGATTAAAGAAAGTAGATGCAATTCTTGGTGGAAGTAGTTCCACAATTTATGGCAATGATGCATCGGAAGATTCAATAGAAATTAGAAATCCTTCATTCATGACTTTAGATCAATTGGAAGAACGTGTTCTATTAGAAAATATTGATGAAGCTTCACCTCCTCCTAATACCAATTCAACCAATCGATTATTTCAGTTTGGCCAATTAGTAACTTCGGCTCCGACAACCTTTAATCTAACTTCAGATAGACCAATCAACAACTTCGACTTCTCCATGGGGCGCCCTACCTTCAAGCATAGAGAAGCAAAAGTTAACATGAAAAGAAAATGAATCAACAAGCAATAGCAAAAAAAGACGCATAATTGCTGATAATTTAATTAGTTCGGAAGTTAAAAAGTTGAAGTTGTCTAAAATTCCCGGGTTAGATTCATTTACGTGAAATAAAAGTCACGGCAAGGATTTGATTTATTCGAAAATAAAACATATAGACATTCTTTCAGAAAATGATCAAACATCAATTATTCATTTAGATCCATAACATGTATGTTCGAAACCTATTGAACGAACTCTGTGTGATTACAGTACATTCATAGTAATCAACTACAGTTTGAGAGTTTACTATAAAAGAGCTCGTTTTTAGATAAATTCGTTTCTTCAAAAATTTTAAATCAATAAGGAATCTGCAAGATTTCTAAGACAAATAAATCTAATGTCTTTATTATAGATGACACAATGCCATAATACCCATCGAGTTCATATTGGCATAGTGCCGCTACAGTAACGACTATGATATCCTACGATATACCTATATGTTATAAGTTGAGGAATTTGAGTTTTTTGGTGTACTATCCTAAATCGTAATGCACCGCATGTGTAAGGGTATGGGTATGGGTGGGTATATGTGAAGTGGATATTGAGAACCAGACACTCATACTTGCACCCACAGTCACACATACACTCACACCCACCCCCACCCCCAAAAAGACATAAGATCTTGGTTAATACGAGACCGAAAAAAATTGTAAACTATTCCACAAAGAAATGTCACAGCAAATCTTTTCTAAGTAATCTTTCATCTATGTCAATAATTTATTCAAAAAAAAGGCTTGAATCTGCTATCAAACTTCAAAGAAGAAAGTGGATGGTTTCTACAGTTCCATATTTTAACACCTGTAAGAACATTTCTTTTTCTCGCTAGTTTACTGTAAGATAATATCATATATAATTACTTTATTGAGATAAATATGTGTTTGATTTAAAAAGAAAATAATCTCAGGAATACAAAACAAAAATGCTCAGTCTGACAAAAAAAATATATATAATCTACTATTCTTCTCGTTGAAATCGTAGCTAATAAGTTTCATTCAAGCTAAAAATTTTAAACTCAATTTTTATTCGAAATAGAAACATCTCTGATCACACTGCCTGAATATTTACTTAATTCATACTGTTTATGTAATTTTCAAGTTTTGTTTTTCCATTATTCAACTTTTTACAACACACAAAAGATTTCGACAAGCAAACAGACACTCATATATAAATCGAAAAGAAAATTATTTAGAAAAAGAAAAAAATCATGTACGCTTTTCAATTAGACATATATGAAGAAAATTATCCGGATATGAAAAATGTTCACTGAGCCACTGTACGGGAGATTGAAGTGATGGCTGAATACCATGAATAATGACTCTATAATCATTAATATTTGTATTAAAAATTTTTTTTTCATTAGCTATTTGTTCACAATGTGCTTCATGATTTAAAGTAAACTGCAGTAAATCATTTAATGTCGTCCATTTTTCTTCTTCAACATTAAATGGTGAAAATAATTTATGTATAAATGGTTTATCTAGGATATGAATGCGAAAGGGTATATAACGAAAATATTGTAAATTATCCGTATAAGTCATTAGTTTATTATTGATTTTCCAAAATCCATCATATCTATCTTGTAATAAAGAATTCCATAATTGCTGATGATCACGTTTTTGCATATCCTCGATTATTTGCCCTCGATGTTTAAGTGCATCGGCTTCTTTTATTGTCGACATAAAATGTGCTTCAATAGATTCTTTATCTGGAAAACGTATTATTTCACCTTCAGGAAATTTACTTAGATGCACAATTATCTGCCATGGTACATGACTAGATATAGATGAAAGCGATGATACATAAAGATCATAAAGCACACCTATAGGATAATGCCATTTCAATGGAATACTTTCGTATTCAAGCCATAAATTAGCAAGATTCATATTATTTGTTGTATCATTTGGATCGTTTTTAAAATAATTACAATAATATCTATGGATTTTTTCAATAAAACATGGAAAATAGCTATGACGTGCTAGCATTAAATACAGTGGTTCTGGTGATTCGGAACGACTCATTTTATTTTTATCTTCATCAGCTAATATAAAACAAACCGGTAAATGCGACTGCCATAATTCACGCGTAATTTCTTTATCATCTAACAAACTAGTCATCTGAAATAAGAAGCAGTTATCATTTTTATTAGTTTAGTTTTGATCTAAATTTATCTTTAAAAAAAAACAGATCATTAAAAGAATGAAATGAAAAATAAAAGATTCAATAAAAATATTAACTTAATTGTAAAAAGTGCATAAAATCTTTTCTATTCTCACTTGTTGATAGTGATGGTCGACCTAAATTTTTTCTATGACCACTTTTAATACGTAGTTCAAGGAGAACTGGCCCATCATTATTGATTGCACGGATCTTTTCCATTGCTTCAGTTATTTCATTTTGATTACTTGCTATGAATACATGTTTATAGCCGCAACCTTGAGCTACTTGACTAAACGAAAATTGCTTCTGATCACCTGCAACTGTCGGTTGGCCACCAACACTGTCATGTGTGCCATTATTAAATACAATATGTTTAAAATTTGATGGTGCAGCTGCAGCAATATTTGCTAAAACGCCCATGTGCATCAAAACAGCACCATCGCCATCCAAACAATATATCTAAAAATGGATACGTCAGTTTCGTTTTTGAAAATTAATAAAATGAAAATGTTTACAGTTCGACTTGGTTTTTGAATAGCAATACCTAATGCTATTGATGATGCATGGCCCATTCCGCCAACAGTTAGAAAATCACGTTCATGTCCATCACCACGTTTCATTCGAAGTTCAAATAATTCTCTACTAAGCATTCCAGTTGTACCAACAACAACATCTCGATGCTGAAAATGGCTCAGAACACATTGTAATGCTTCTTCACGTGTTAAACTTAAGCTAGAAACGAAATTTTATCATTTATTTCAATATTGATTTGAATCATATTAAACTAATTTTTACCCAGCTGTAGCATCTCCATTTCGTTTTGGCAATGAATATGGTAAAAATGTTTGCCGTTTAACGAGTAATGCATATGGACCTTTTGCTGTTTCCATATAACGTTTAGCTGTTTCAAGTGCTTGACCAGCGCCATCGTGATAATCCGGTAAGGGTTGAAAAGGAATACCAAGTGCAGCTAAACAAATAAACATTCAATTAGAATTATTGACAAAAAAATAATAAGTTCTATTTGCCAAGAATTCCCGGTGTTGCAGGTCCTTGAATACGATGTTGTGGTTCATCACGTTTGCCTGGTTCACCACGCCAACCAATTAGTAATAACATTGGTAAACTATAAACACCTGGTGCTGCCAAAGACATGATAGGATTAACAATATTTCCTAAACCAGAATTCTACAAAAACAAATCAAATCTATTTCAATTCAAATGTTTCTATTTACTTGTAAATAGACCAATGAAGGTTGTCCTGTTCCCATGTATGAGCCACAAGCAAGACCGATAGCAGAACCTTCATTAACGGTAATGATATGATGGCTAGATGGAACATTTGCTGTTATATAAGCACAAAAATCTAAAGCAAATCAATAAAATTTTATTAATTCTAAATTTTGTAAGCATACCTTTGAGCAACGAATCAGGAACGCCACAAAAAAAATTAATACCACAGATATTTTTTACTTGTCGATAAAATTCAGCTGGATCAAGAAAATCCCGAACTAATTCCGGCATATCTTGTACTTCTTCATTTCGTTTTTGTTGTTCTTTTACTTGCTAATAAATAAATCATGATTATTCTTTATGAACATATCGTACTATATGTATATCAGAACTCCGAATGAAATTACATGGAACAAACTTTTCGATCTACAAGATTTCTTTCTCTTTTTTTCTTATGAAATATAATACAGATTTTATTTGACGTGCAGTATAGACGCAACGAGTAATATTCTATTCGTTTTTTTTTCTCAAGTAAACACTTTTACATCTTGATCGAAAATTCAATGCTGAAAAATAATATCGATTTCATCAGTTGTTCTGTGTATTAGCATTATTTAGAATTTGAATACTCTTTCATTGTCACTATCTATTATTTAGCGCAAGTATCATAGCCTTAAGGAATCTTTAATATACCATGTTATAATTTTGATTTAAACAGAGCATACCAGTAATCACAAAAAAAATAGGCAACACTCAATTGAATCACACAAAACTAGAAACGAGTCGTCAGTCACTCATTTCAATCAGAGAAACCTAATTAAACTCATCAGAATCTAAAAATTCATTGATGAAAAAGCAAGTTTTACTTCGCAATAATAATACTTAACATTTTCATTATTCTTCATTTAAGAGCAACAAAATCCAGCGAAATGAGAATTATTCAACAACACTACAGCAATTCAGAGCATTTTTACAAACCTTAAAGTCAAAAACAAGCCAGGATCATTGCAAAGATTGCTTTAACATTCACTTCTCTTTTCGTTTTTAAAAAGCAACAATATATGTCATCAATGGTAAAAAAAAACGAAAACGAAAATGTAAAATAAACTAACCTAAACAGTTACACATTGAATGAACCTAAGATAATAGTAGAACAAGGAAGTCACTATAAGAATTGATCACAACATTGATACAAATATTCTTTAGACTAAGATTTGTATCGAATCAGGTTTGATTGATCATAGTTCTAATAATCTCATATTTTCCGTGGTCTCACACATTTCGAGTTGAAATTAATCGAAAGATGTTTTCTTCCCGTAATATTCTATTCGGAGTTCTGACCGATAAAAACTAAACAATTACTTCTTCAACACTGGCAAAATTATATGTAGATGTGCGAATTGATCTTTGCTGTTGTTGTTTATTGCAAAGATTTGATAAATTAATTTTTGCATGTCGAAACAGACTAAAAATATTCCTTTTCATATCTAAAATAAGAAATAAAGAAAAACAACAACAGCAACAACAATGACAATATTGTATCATTTACACGAGTAGAAATATTCATATACATAGAGAATAAAATACTTTTCAAATATTGGAAGCACCCAGAGAAGAACAGAAAAAAAAATTCTATTCTGTGTTTGGTTATTCAAGAATTTCCTTGTATATCGACACAACAAAATGTAAAAACCTGAGTTAATTACAGAAGTATATAAAAGAGATACTATGAAAATATCCGCTCGCAATAGACAAATAGTGATTTTCAATGAGATGCAATAAAAATTAAAAACAAACAAAAAAAAGTCAAACAAACTTTTACTAATCTACAGAAAAAAACAGAACAAAAAGCAGATCGAACATTCGCTTATAGCATAATTCTTTCCAATTCGTTTTTTTCTTGTTCATTATAAAATGGTGCTTTTTCAATTCGCATAACTAACGGTGTATGTGTTTGCTCTAATTTTTCTTCAAGTTCTTCGGTAAATACTACTGGAATGCCTATGACAAAATAAAGCAAAGATAAGAATTTCAGTCAGAAAGAAAAAGACTTACCCTTCGAAATAAATTGTCGTTGATCTTGAAAATAATGTTTTTTCCTATAAATTTCTCGTTGTTGTCGATGTTTTTGATATAAATGTTTATTTGTTGGAGTAACAAAAGAACCATTCGATAAAAGTAATGTTGACGACGATGATGATGAACGGCGATTACAGCAAAGACAAAATGCAATTATTGTACAAATAATTAAACCAATTGAAATTATTACTAATGGAACAATAACAAGTGGTTGATAGAATTGATCGAAAAAAATGAGATTGTTTCTTGAAGATACGATCGTTTGATTACTTAATAGTCGTGGTCTTACTGTTACGAAGGCTTTTTTTAGCTCGATAATTGGTGTTGTTGTAATTTGTTTCGATATACGAATAATTGAAATTTCAATTAACGGCAAAGAAAAATATGTCATTAATTCTAAACGATTCGAATGATAATGATCAATTAATTTTTGTATTTGATATGGAAGGTCTTTTGATGAATATAAATCACATGAAAAATAAATTTTGATCATTGAACCATTTATTTTATGTATGGTCAATAATGAATCACTTATATTCATTGCTAATGATAGTGTTTGAACAATAAAATAACGATTTAATGGAGAATTATTAAAGACGACTGATGAAATATTGAATAAAGCAAGTAGAAGATGTTTTGACGGTGAAAATAACGATGATGATGGAGAAAAATGGAATTTTAGTTTAAATTCAATAGAATTCGGATTTTGTGTTAGAACTTTAAACGGTCCCGAATAATCACCAAACAATGGCAATGCATAGATCGTTCCATTTTCAATTGAAAACCAAACTTTATTACGTGGTTCAATACTAATTATACGTGTATTATTTATATCCAAAGATTGTTGATAAAATTTATTATAAACAGCATTGACAGTGAAGTTCTATAGAATACAAGAGTTATTTGACTATAAAAGAAATAGAAGAAGAAGAATAATAATAATCTTACTTGATTTATGTTTACTGATGGTATATGACGACGTTTATGGTGCCCATTAAATCGTACCTATATAATAATAAAAAAGAATAAAGAAACACACTCTTTGAATAGAATGGTAATAAAAAGTATTTACCATTTCCACTGTCGCTGAATAAAATAAAAAGAATAAAAAAAGATTTTGAAATAACATGACGTGTCTTCTGATATAATGATGATCACCGTCTTGGTCGACAACGTGCTTGAAACATTATCATCATACTTATTGATCAAGTGAAATACGTAGACGTTTCTATTCTCTTATTTCTTTCTTTTCTTTTTTACTCTATAAATATTTGTATTTCACGTACATTGACTTATCAACAGATAAATGTTCAGAACAATGAAGTGCGCGTTGCTATTGCAGTTGTATGGTTGTTATTAGCACGATTTCTTCTTGTTCTTGTTTTTTTTTGGGTTTGTTCGTCTCTATTCGTTGCCTTCGCATACTACTGCAATGGTTACTTGATTGTTATCATTTGTTGTCGACAAGAGAGAATATCGTCAATAGTTAGTTAGAACTACTCGCGTTCTCTTTCTGCTTTTATATCGTTGACGTTGTTGTTAGCAGAACGAAAAATGCTAAAACAGAGAAGAAAAAGAAAAAAAAAGAAATAAAGAACAAGAGAAAGAAGAATGGTGATAGCGGTTGATCGGTCAGTCTCAAGATAGAGAAAAAATGAAGGCGAGACAAGCTCTAGATGGATGACTGACCGACATCGTATCGCGACTGATAAGGCGGAAGAAAAAACGAGACTTAATCACTTATTCTTTGCCCATTTCTAACATCACCGATCCTCTTGTCATTATTGTACGGAGGTTATTTTGTATCGAGTAGAGAAAAATGACATGACAAAAAGTCAATGCAAACGTAGTTAATTATCTCTTCCTCGTTACATTTTGACAACTAGGAAATTGATTTGAATATAATTGTGCAATTCATACAAAATCCACGGGACGCATTCATAATGAAATCATTTTATTCTATGTAATCGTTTTGTTTTCTATTGAAGAAAAAAACCCTTGACTATTGTAAATACTTCAAGCTATCCCAGTGAACTTCTATTTTAACAGCATTCGTTCTTCGTTCGTTTAACTTGCACAAATCTATTGGAAGAATATCGTCATTATATTTTATAATGTACTTAAATCGATGTCTACATAGAATTTCTATGAATAAAATGACAACTAATTTTTGGGTAAAAAAAATATCTAGGCATCTAATAGATATTTCAACAGCAAGAATACGCATTAGGCATTTTCATATAAATCATTTGACGAATAAATTTGTCGACAGATGCTTCTGTCTCATGTTTGCATGTCGTCGAAAGCAAATGAATAAAATGCCATTGAAGTATTTTCTCTTAGGTATTGCAGTCTATCGTTTGAGAGAAAAAACATAGCTCGTATTTGATCTAACTCTCGCGCCTACTACAGTGTATCGAACCGAAAAATCTGCGACAACATAATTATGAATCGACATAAAAATATGTTGTCTAGATTATTCTAATAAAGATCAATCATGCGCATAATCGATTGATAGCGAGTAACAAGTCGTACTGAAGTATTTATTGTAGATATAGTTCAAGTACAGGTCAGATTAGACGACGATTGAAATGATTGTTTAATGAATTGGAGAAATTAAAGAAACGAAAACAATCGAAGTACTGAAATATGTCTGAGTGAGATTTAACATCTTAGAACTAGAAATGAGAGAGTCATCAAGAACATGTATTCAATATCCTTCTCGAGGCGTTAAAAATGTGTTACGCAATAAGAAAGAATAAGTTTTTTCTTCTATATTAATTGGTCGTCATTAATTCTTTTTTAAAATTAATTTCGTTAAAAGCGTCAATTCGAATTGAGATTGAAGTACAACTTAATCCACAATATATTTAGATCGTTCTCTGCATATCTTCGAACAGGTTTCTCCTAAGCCTTATCTACTATAGCCTTCTATTAATCTAGACAACGTCCAAAAAAAAAGTCTGTAAATATTTTATCTAGAGAAAACCTATCATCAGCGGACTATCATTTATAATTACATAGCTCGAAGCCATTGGTAGAAAGAAGATTTCAGTTATTTATTCGTCCTATAAATTGGATTAGAATATTGATTAATACCCACTGGCTTAAGATGACTATTCAGTACAACGGTAGCATTTTTATTCAAATTATTCATTTGCTCTCGTTGATGGTTGTTAACATCGATATCAGATCGTTGTCGAATTTCATCACCACATATCATTTTCGCTATCATAAGCTACTATCAGTAATATCCGTTAGAATTTTCTGTTGACAATCTTTTGCATATGGTACTTTTTTTGCAATCATATAACTAATAAATACTTCAGTACCAAGTTTAATTCATTTGATTTTGTTGAAATGATATTTTGTTTTTGAGACGGTCCATTGTGTTGCAAAAACAAATGTGATAATTCTACATGGAAGACTACGATCAATAAGTGCTTTTCGATCACATTCGTCTAGTATACACGTTTCATCATGAGTATTAAGTTAGTGGCGGTAGATGAGCAGAAATCGACAAATGAGATGGTTTGTTTTTCTTTTAAGATTTGTTCAATGTTAATTAATATAGATCTCAGATATTTATTTATTTGATGAATGCTAAAATTCATTCAGAATGATGGTTCAGCTATTTGAATAATGGTAAATTATGAGAAATATATTCATTGAATATGATGAAATTAATTCTTGAGTGTAGTTGTATTGTTTCAGGAAATAAAATATTTACGATCTGAGAAGATAATGAATGATTTCCGTGAATAAAATTTTCGGTGAGCAATGAGATTAATCAATAATTTTTGTAATTTTGCTTCGTATATCTCAAGAATTTTTCCTATAATTGTGTTTAACTCTAAGCTTCATCCGTGTGTGCGCCGCAAAAAACTTGCATTTTTTCGTTTTTTTTTCTCAATATATGTAATTATTTATATAATAAAAAGCATTAACCATATTTTTCTATTGGTTTAATGTCATGGACGTACTCAAATATGTCCATGTCTGACATCTATTGTTCACCTAAGTCCAGAGATCATATATGCCATGAAACAAATATTTCCAAAAAGAAAGAACGAACTCTTCGATGATGGTTCGATGATTCAAAATAATTCCAATTAAAGTAAAGAGAAATGCATACTAACCTAGTTTAAATCATCAAAAATGATTCAAACAGAGTATTGCTTTTATAAATCTGAATTTCCGATCTGAATATTTTTCTTACAGCAATCTAGCTTTAATTAACAAAGCTATACACTTTTCATCTGTGTTTCGCCTGATTATTCATTAAAACATGAATGAAAAAGCGATCGGCAAGTACACCGAGGGAATATATAACATACATCTTAATTAGAAAGAAAAGTTTACTTCTTATAATTAAATTTTATCACAAAAAAAACCAATAACCCATAGTAATCAGACAGAATTTCTACTATGACAAAGTTGTGTCAGGGGAGAAATATTTCAATTAATTTATATACATGTAAATTCTAAACATAAAATAGTATTCAATGGTCTACATCATTTTCATACTCAGTTCTTTCATGGGCAATTTATTGTTATCAATTATTGGCTGAAATCGAGTATAACAAGTAGTTTAATGCAACACAAGTATTTCAATATTTCACATTCAAATCTTTGTCTAAAATTGAGGATACGTGTTGAATCATTTTTCCTCAAAGTACATGATGTTTTCTGTTGTACATAAATATTGAAATGACTAGTTCATACAGTGTACTAGTGTAATCTATAAAATGGTACGACAATACTGTTACCTTCATAACACTCTAAAGGAAAATCTCCGCTAAGAACAAAACTCAAATAAAAGAGAATACGAAGCAACACATTGATCAACTTAGATTTTAAAATATCATGTAAAACATAGCTGAATTTCTTCGACTTTTTGTGGTAGTGCTACATAAATATTACTCTTATATTTATTACAAACGAAACAAGAGCCAACAAATGATACTCTGATTTTCCTAATGCTCTATTTTCATCGTCACACTAAAACAATCTAAATAAATAATTGATTGTAAAGTTTTGGCTTTTTTCGAATTATTTGTTTTTATTTCGAATCATTGCTAAAACTACTACTATTCGCTTTCACACTATTTGTTCCATTGAACACTAACCAGAAAAATTACTCATTTACTTTTCGCATGTTCTTCATGTGTATGCTTGTATGCACTAAGAAACATATTAAAAATAAATGATACCATAAACATAAATGGAACGCGATAATATGCAGGTATGTATCTAAAATTGATCATTTGCACAGGTATGAAAATGACACAGTCGGCTAGATAAAGTGGAACAAAATTTTCTTTCATATCACTTTTTAATAGACCGAATGATGTTCGTCCTTCCAGAATGGATGTACCTAAATTATAAGTAATTGATTTTCAAATGAGCGAATAACGTAGCATATTTTATGTTACCCATAATATATGTAACTGTATAAATAGGTGCAGCAACGGTTTGATCACATACAACTTTTTTCAACGAATTACGCCACGTTGCTTGAGCTATAATACGATCAAGAAATCCATACCAAACATGTCCTTCAACGCCCATGGTCGCCCCAGTGATGCATGCTGCGACTAGAAATTCACTTATTAGTAGAAATTTAGATAGAACAATAAGCATACATAAACGTTTTTCGTCTAGAGTTTTATTTTTATCATATAGAGTTTGTACACAAAAATCGCCCAGAGTAAGAGCAACTGCTGCAGATGTAACATTATAAAGAAATAATTTGTAACGGCGAAAGAATGATCTAATCATCGGATCGCTAAAATTGAAAGATAAAAATATTTATCATGCAAAGATACTAAAACTGTTCAAAATCAAGCATAGTATTAGCTAAGACGGAATCGAAATAAATTTTCATTGAGTTTTCCTTCTTATTTTAGACTTATGGATAGCAAACGGATTTAACCAACTGCATATCATAATTTTGCTTGAATATGATCTGAAAGAATACTTTGTATCTTGTATCATATCAAATATGTAATAAATTCAGACGATTTTTCTTCTTTTTATCGAGTGATTTATTTTGATATGACGGATTCACCTTACGGCACTGACCGCCTAACTTAGACTGAGTTGTCCGATAACTCAAAAAGTCACACGTATAGATTTATTGACAAAGTCTTCAAGAAGATAGGAGAAACCGAGAAAAAGAAATTACAAATAGCTTAAGAAAAGACAAATTCGCAAAGATGATCGAAAAAGGTATGACAATTATTTTCAAGAAATGCTGTGATTCTTTTGCTCGGTCGACCTACTGGCATGTGCCTTAGATACGCTTTAATTCAATAACGGTTATACAGTTGAATGAATAAGTGCTTGCATTGAAAGGCACATTTGAAAAGAACCGGTTCATACGCTTGAATGTTTTTCATGCGTTTCAGCAGGACTTGTTTGTATTTTGTTTCAATCGTGGGTAGATGAAAGTGTTGATGGAGATCAAAGGTAGGGTATTGGAATAGGTAATAGACCAATCTTAAGCATCGCCGGTAGAATGAAGCTAATCGTTCACGTGAAGTTTTTGAGAAAATGCAATAAATTGATGCCAGTATGTAGAAGTGCGGCCATATATAAGTATTAAAGAATTTAATTTTTAATCCTGAGAATGATGGGAATTGTCGATGGATGAATTTCAAAATTGCACAAGTTTTGTAAATTGAGCATCAATCATATTGTGAAACAATAGCTTTGCGTCGAGATGTAATCCTAAATATTTGAAGTTCTTTCTTTGCATAATTTTAACTCCGTTATAGAAAATAGTTAGATTGGGACTTTTAACTGACTCGTGCTACACTACAAACTCAGTTTTATTTGGGTTTAATGGTTGGTGCCATTTGTCTGCGTAATTTAGCAGTTCAACCATATCGTTGTTGATTCGATCTTCAATTTCGACTACTTGTGAATTGAATTTCAAATGAATTGATGGAGTGTAGACCAGTGCGACATCATCCACATATGCATGTAGTTGTGTGGGATGTTCAAACCATTGCGGAAGACGATTTTTCTTTCATCAATACTGCATTGACAGTCAGAAATTAAATTAAATTAAATTAAATTAAAAAGAATATGATTATGTAATGTAAATATGGAGTCTCTTGTTTTAATATGTGACAGAAAAAGAAAAGATGAAGTTGTTAGTTTTACATCAATACGCAAAAGATAAGCAAGTTTGTGTTAAAAGAATTCAGACAAACAAGATTAGTTTTTTTTCATTTTGATATCAAAATGAAAAAGAATGTAAAGAAAAAGTTCGATTTGCAATGTTTTTATCATCGATCATTCTCAACGACCTCACTTGGCCGTCGCCCCTCCACCTGGCTCATTATTATTTCCAGCAGTTTTCTTTTGTTGTGCCAATAGTTGTTTTTCACGCATCCTACAATGAGAATGAAGCGCTTCGTTTTTTTCCCAAGGATACACGAATTTATATACCTTGCAGCATCCCGTAATTGACGTTCTTGTAATGATAAACCTTTATTAGCTTCCGTGTCCGCTGCTGATTGTCCTTTATTTTTATGATTTTTCAGATTTTTTTCCCTGGCTAAATCGCTACAAAAAAAAACCACCAAAAACAAATAGATATTTGTTTGTAAAATTTTATTTTCAGTAATACCGCTGATTGCCCCGCGTCATGGCTAAGTCGGTTGTCACAAAACTAGAAATCTAAAACAAACATCATAAATAAAAGTCTGAAGTTCATCCATAGTTTTTATTAGTTTTATTTCTGTGTTTATAAAATCATAATGAGAAAAAGAAAAGAGAAAAGTAAAACATCAATAACAGGAACAAATGTTAAACACTCCTTTGTTTTTGTATTACTTTCTTTTACAAGAATAGTTAAGAATAAATACATTTTTTTTATCATGTGGACAAACAATAAACTAATAATTAGATAATATATATATATATTATGAGACAGAGAGAAGAAGAAAGGAAAAGTGAAAGAGAATAAAAGAATGAAAAACAAATCTGATGGTATGTGAAAGACATATACACAATTTGGGACATTCTAAAATGAGTTAATATCAGCAGTATATCAACCACCGGAGTTGTCGATTGTCTTTATTTCGAAAGAAACATTGGGAAAAAGAATGAGTAAGCTACATGTCTACATAAAGAGATAAGAAATGATCGAATGATTTAAGTTCTGTAGTTTCATCATCCAACACGCATTCAAAACATAACATTCAGGAAATAAAGAAAGTTAAGGACGAAGCAAAACAACACAACTTCAGTCAGAAAGAAATGTTTGATCAGAAAATATGCGCAATACAGCAAAGACATGGTATTAACAGATTAAAAAAAAGAAACTTTTCGCTGTAAATAAATTTAATTCTTTTAAACAAACAACAACAAAAAAAACTGTCAAATCGCTCATATAATATTTTTTGAATATTCTAAGCTACACATATACATTAATCAAATGGAATCATCATAATTCCGGAACAAAAATATATCAATCAAGATCAATTCACTTTTACCATACATATTTATATAAAAACAAAAGCTCAACCGGAGTGCATCTATGTTGAAACCAAACTGAAGAAAGATGTTTGAAGTAATTATAAGAAATGGACTTTCTCAGGCAATAGTTAAACGTAATAAATCAATCGCATCAAAAATGTACAATAAAAAATCTAATGTTGTGTCATCACGTGTTAAACGTCGATTTTGATTTTGTCTTAATAACTGTTCAACGAATTCTATATTAGGGAGAAAAAAAATAATAAATCGATTTTCTAGAGAGATAAAACAAAAGGTTCATTTTTACTTTTTAATGGCTCTTCGCGCTTTAAACGTTCTGCTCTATTCCAATAGTGATTTGATTGATATGAATGTAACATATATTTTGAAAATTCGAATATGAAACTCGGATTTGTATCTGCTGGAGATTTTGAATGACTGCAATACTCGGTTACTTGATGAACACATCGTTCGATTGCAGGTAAATTTATATTGTATTGTAATTGATATATGAATGATTGAAGCCAATAACTTGAAAACAATAGGAAATGTAAAACAAACAGTAGGCCCAAAAAAAAACATTTCTTTACTTTATTAGAAGAAATTTTTGTCGAATATTATTTAGTGCATCACCTGATTGATTTGCAGGTATGTGAAACATTTTTTCATAATTATATACAAGATGTCTAAACAAGAGAAAAAAAACGATTGTTGCTTTTTCAATATTAAATTTCATGGCTCACTGAAGCATTGATAATGTTGCTGATAATAATGTAGTACGTTGATCTAATATTGGTTCATCATGAGCACACTGAATAAAATAGCAAACCGACTCAAGATACAACGACATTGATTGTTTAACATCTTCAAATGTTCGTTTTTCACCATCAGCTAATTTCTTTTTTTCTCGAGCTAACGAATTTAATTCTTTTGTTGACATATTTCTATGTGAAATCAACACAATTAAGAGTAGGATTCAATGTCGAAATTTTTACTTTAAATTTGCATAGTTTGATTTTGTTGACGCATTAGTAGCTGTTGTCAAACGATCAGGTACATTAAGAACATTTGAATTAGTATTGTTGGATGTTAAATTATCGCCTGTTGTAGATTGTAAAAGTGGTTTAACACTGAAGATAATAAATTATATAAAGATTGAATTTTATTTTTATATTAACAAATGAACAACTAATAATATCAATACTTTACGTAGCAGGGCTCCTAATGGGATGGGATGGGACGAGATTTTCGTCCCGTGGGATAATGCAAGTCGTCCCATCCCATCCCATGGGATTCATGACTCATCCCATCCCATCCCATTAGGAGCCCTGATACGTAGATTACCGAGTCAAGATTCAAAACTTGATATATACGTCTTTTTCTGATTTATTTTTTTATCAAAATCTCATTTACTAGTAGGCTACGTTTTTAAGAGAATCAGAGAACTCTAAGGAATACGGATGATTTTTTGAAATATAATGACGGTCAGTATACATTTCGTTAAATTTCTACGATATTCTCCAATGATAACTGTGAAATGTCTCTGTGCGATATATGTATATTCAAAAAAAAAATGAACAGAAATATTGATGCTTGATTCTAAAATCCAGTTCTATATTATGTCGCTCTACAAGAAACTTGGACAAGGTTCACTCGGTGCCAATTTTCTCTAAAAACTGTATCCACGTATTTCTACGAACAAAGTTGTATGTCAACCCTATGTCATTCAATTCCTTTGTAGTAACATCTCTAAAATTGAAAAATCAGCACAGAAAACTTAACTCTCAAACTATGGCGCTTGTATGCAAATCTTAACAAAGAATCCAATACTCTTGCTGACTCATGCAAATAAATAATCTATATTTTTTGATTAACGATTCAGTACAGTTCACACCTGGGTGGTCAGATCGAAAATTGAAAAATCAGAGATTGTTTTATAAAAATCAGAGAACCGTCAGAAAGGTTTTTAGGAAAATCAGAAATTTATCAGAAAGATCATTTTTTGTGAAATAGCGACTTCTGTATAAGATGCTGGCATTAACTATTCCACTACTTTAATATCATTCACTGGTACTTCATTTGCAAAGATTTGTCACTATAAAGATAAATATTCATCAATCGATAACGAATCTTTACGAAAAACTCTTTTTTTCCTTTATATGTCGAAATGATATTGCTGTGACTAATTAATTTACTTCGATTTGTTTTTCTTCACAATCGAATTCAACCATATTAATATCATCCGATAGATAATTTTGTTTTCATTTGTGGAATGTTCAATTAGATAAGATTCTCGATATCAAGAAAAGAAATTTATCAAATTCTAGTGCATTGCTGTGGCTGAAGTTACCTATATAAGTCAGAAATTACCAATGGATAATTGAGAAAAACAAGATGCCGCAATATACATCTATAATAGTAATGTGTTATAGTTGTACTGAGCTGCACTAGCAAAACTGGGATCTGAAATAGTTTCGAATTCGGAAAAAAATCAGAAGAAATTCAAAAAGGACTTCAAATTTCAGAAAATGTCCCTACTTTTCAAAAGACCTGGTCATCCTAATTCAGGCGTGCACCATTACATGTCTTCTACAACTATACGCGGTATTCTGATTTTTGTTGTTCCACATATAGAGCTCGAATGTATGTCGTATACATGGAATAAAAGATTTCATTTGTTTATAAACTATTGTCAATGGCACAGTCAACATATCAAACATGATATTCGACAAAGTTTTAAAACTTCTCGATAGAAAAATCAATCTTTACAGGCCTAGCTTAAACATCACATAAAATCATAAGAAAACTTACTTTGCTGTTGGTTTCTTCTTTGGTTCAACTGTTATTGGTGCAATCGTTGCTGTGAGACCAGTAGATAATATGTCATTAGACGAGGCAACATTTAACATGGTCGTTGGCTCTTCTTTGATGCGCATTGTTGTTGAAGAAATAGCTGACTCTGATTTATAAACATGACTGGTTTTATTCTTTTTTTGTTGTGTTCCATTATTTGTATTAGAACTATCGGTGTTAGTTGTACTTGAATCATGTTTGAGTAAACCATTAGAATATCTTTTCGATGTTTTTTGGGATTTTCCACTCATCGAATCATCTACTATTAAATGATTACTAAGAAAATCTTTTTCTTTTTTGTACATTTTATTTGCTTACCTTCTGTTTTTATAGATCGATCAGAAAATAAATGTGTAGGAATGGCTATAGGAAGTGTGGGCTGCTTGATATCAATTGAAATATTTGATGATGCAAATGATTTGATTATTTCTTCTTTACGTTTATTTTGTTTTATTTCTTGAGTTGGCGATGCTGGTGACAGACTTCGTTTTAGAAGATCAGCCGATGGTCTTACTGGTGAATTTTTCAGAGGAATAAAGTCCGATAATGAAAATTGATTAGGATTCTAAAAGAAAGAAAAAATTCAATGAAACCAAAAAATGTTTTAATGAACCGTTCGATTTTGTTCATCATCATTCTCCATATCACTGTGCATAGACACTTGATCATCACTGTCGGCATGTTGATTTTTGCTACAAAAAGATTCATAGATAATTAATTTTTGAAACGAGAAAAAGATTGCTTCTAAATTACATTTGATTCTCATTTGATATTTTGTCATCTTTATCATCATTATCATCATCATCATCTTCTTCTTCTGCTTCTTCTTCTTCTTCTTCTTCTTCTTCTTCTTCTCCTTCTTCATTCTCATCATCACTAAGTTTAAGATCTGTATCTTCGTGTAATCGAGGAAATAGTTCACAACTTGAAAACATGTTTTTATATGAAAACAAAATATGTCAATTTTTTTGTGAGATACTACCTTTCCATTTTGTTATTTGTATTTTCTAAATGAAAAAAAATAAATTATATGTTTGCTTTCAAACCTATAGATTTTATTTACTTGAATGCCTAGAAATTTTTTCAGGTAATTTTGTGAAGTTTATTGGTACAACCAGCTATAAAACAAAAGTTTATTTTGAATGAGAAAGAACAAGATGATAATTAAAGTTACTTTTAATATTAGTGGAACAATTTTTTCGACTAATTCTGAATATCTGTTCTTCTGAATAGATAGAACACAGTACGTATAAAAATAAACTAGATAGTTTATTTTCAACCTACGATAATCGTTTGATTTGATGAAGTATTGGCAAGAGACGCTTGATGAGTACTAGCTCGTGATTGTAAAAGACTGAATTTAAAGAAAAGAAAAACATTATTGTACTTAGATATAAATAAATAGTATTACGGGATGTTTAATCGAGGTGCATGTTGAATTGGAAAATCGATACTTGGTTGTCTACAATAATCTACCACAGTCGTCGCCTGCCCAAGAATTTGTTCTGCTTTTTTACTAAGTTCATCGGTCTTAATAGAACAAATTGAAATATTAAATGTTCTTTTTTTTGTGTAGTTATTTTATTACCATAAGTCGTTGACCATTTGTCATCGTATTATTACTTGATGTCGTACTCGTCGTCGTTGATGTTCGTTTCTGTGTAGACGACGATAATGATGATGAACGATGATTAGTACTAAAAATTTCAGGTAAATGTTGCTGAGGAGCAATATCAATCACCATGGCTAAAATAAAATAAAAGGAAAAGATAATGTTTAGAGTTTCTATGACGAGGTCAAAAAAGACTGCATTATCTATCGTGTTGTCGTATAATGTTTGAAATAGGGAGGAGGCAAGCAGTCAGACGATGTATGTCACTTCTCATCAAGCTATGTGTATAGGGTAAAGAAAAAAGAGAAGAGAAAAATTCTAACCCATTTTTCTTTCCTTTTGTGATGTGTTAGGTGTTGCTGCTTCTGTTCGATGAAAAAATACGAACAGCATCTATGTATAAACGATGTTATTATTACCAAGAAAAGAAGGAAAAAGAACTACTGTCCATGTTTTATCTATTTAGGGTGTATTATATCATGTTTGTTCATAAGCCTTGGATAAGAGAAAATCACGTTTATGTATTCTTGTCATCCTATTAGTGCTGTTAATACGATGTTAAAAAATGCGCACCATAAATAATCACTATTCATTGGAAAAAAAACATATGAATCGATTGAGTAATGATAAAAAAAAAACACATACGTAAAGAATGAAAAAAGTCCCAATTATTCAGTTTCATTTTTTTTTAAATGACTACTATTTACTCAGGCAAATCAACATTTTTCATTTAAAAAAAATTGCTTTGAATTCTTTTGAAATAAATCCATCATATGATGATAATATGACATGCAGCTGACAATATAAAACAAAGACAACAATATCAATAGCTTTTGCCAGACTCGTACATACGTCAATCATAGGAGACAACAAGCAAAGCGATAAACAAAATGGTAATAAAACGACAATCTCACGTCCTGTTGCTTTCTTTCTAGTCGTTTCTCCAAAGTCAAACGAAGAAGAAAAAATAAAAACAGAAAGAAAAAAAAAGGTAGCCAGAGCTAACAACATCAACTCGTCCCACTTCATTAAATGTCACACACGAATATACGCATATATATATATAAATAGATACATCTAAATGCACATTGATTCATATTTTTATGCAGTATTCGTATGGAAAATAATTTTGAGATATTTTATGTTGTTGATAACAAACTCAAAAAAGAAATATGAATTTTTATAAAAGACAAACAACATGATAAATCTCACTCATTTTTTATATTTCTTTCTTAAAACACTTACACAACAACTGATATGCAAGTATCAGGATTTCCGGAACATTATATGGCTGTGTTGTTTTGTTCTACAGCTCGTTCTTCTTTGTCTTTATCGTTATGCGAATCAGCCTTGCATACTTTTCTTCTGCGTAATATGCGTGTTCTTTTTCTTTTCTTTTCTTTTTTCGTCATCAACCCCTTTTTTCATCAATCCAGTAAACGCTCTTTTTGCGCACGAGAAAGACAACAAAAAAGAATACGACTTTATGCGCTCGACTGCATATACAAGACATTTTCTATTGTCAATATACCGTCTTTAGTCATAAATCAGCAGAAACAAAACACGAAAACATACCTTTAGTGAGAAACGAATTTTATAAATGTTAAAAAATAAAAACGAATTCAATATTAAAATGAAGATTTACACGGAAAAAAAGTTAAAATATCATTTTAAAAAATCATATTACACACCTTTGTCTCGACAAGATAATGTTAACAGAATAAATGTGCTCTTGTGAATGATCTACAAGAAAGAAAAACAGAAAAGGAAAAAACCGAAATACAAATTTGTTATTTCGTAATAAAATGACTCAATAGCTAAGGGTTTTCTTTTTAGATCATTGCATAAAAGATTTCACTTATGAGTAAGAGGAAGCTCTACAGATTTCGAATTGATCTTAAATATTTCTTTTTATGGGATCATATGTTATATTTTAATAATCATCACTGAAGACAAAATATCTATGATATAGAAGAGGATCAGTTGAATAACTACAAGAGAACAAAAAAAAAAGAAAAAAAGCTTGATTTGTTTGCTTACTTTAACATTCTCAGTATACAAAAAATACGAGCATAATAATGAAATTCGCTTATGACTGTAACATTCACTTGCATAAAAAGAAGAAAAAAAACGAGGATGCTTATATCCTTGCATAGGAAGGAAAACATTGGGCTGTCAAATCAAATCAAATTTTATATTTGCTTTTATTATTAATATGTATCGGTTGTTCAGATTTTTTTCAATGCTCGCAGACGATCGAGTGACTTTCGATAACGATCAAGTCCTTCGATTGATGGTTCACACGTCGTTTTTTTCTTGAATCTTTCTAATCAAGAAAGAAACATATGGTCGTAACAAAATTGTTTCGACAAAAAAAACCTCTAAACGTTATCTCGACACTGAATAAAACTTTCGTTTCTTTGGTACCCTACGACCTCTGAATTTCTTTCTAAAACTAGAAATTGTTAGATTCACAATTTTTCGAAGCGATTTAAAAATTAATGTTAATATGGCAACGAACAACGCGAGTACAAAGAACATACTTTATACATCTGGAAAATTTGATTATGAAGTTCAAGGTAACATCTGCAATAGATAACAAATGCTCCTAGAAAAACATGCACCATTTGGTGCCTAAATTTACTAATAATACTAAGTTGCCAATCGTTTTACATGTGAGCAAAAACACATTTTTGTTATGGTTGAATAACTGCCTATGAATTACCTGTATGTAAGAATTGAAACGTTTTCTCTAGTGTTCGATAGCTGAAAGAAAACATACCTCGATCAGATAGAAAACTATCTAATTAAAAAATTCTGTTCCTTACCAGGTAGCATTTGTAACTGCAATAGAAAACGACCATGATATTCAAAGTCGATAGAATAATCTCCTTCTAATTCTTTAATCAAAATACAGGTGATCATGCATTTTCCAATCCTTACATTCACTCGTTGTTTTTCTTTTCGAACCCTCTAACCTACGATTTTTGCAAGGTCAGATTTTTAGTTTAAGTATTGAGTAAGCTGTTCCATGGAAGAAAAGCATTTGCTTATGCTTGCGGAAGTAAATTTCTAAGGGCTCAAAACCCTACAATATGGAATGGTATTAATAGATTTTTCTTATCAAATCAAAACAATATTTATATGAAAAGCATAGATACATACTTTGATAAGGAATAAAACTCGTCTAAGTATTAAATCTTGATCGGTTAGAGTCATTACAATTTTCAATTTTAACTCAAATAACTGATATCTCCAATCATAACTACAACAACAAAAATGTATATAACTCAAAGTTCGAAACAATTCTGCCTCAATAAATCAACATTTAAATACGCCTCCTCTTTAGAAACTTTTACCTTTTCGCCATACAAAAATAACTTTAACACGGCAAAAGGTGCTCAACACTCGTAGTAGAAATTTTGAATTTATTATTCGAGAAAATGGAACGATCTGAATGTGTATAAAATTTGTTTTTACTCATTCTTTCTTATCGTGAAAATTTTTTCTCAGACATCTATTTTTTGTTTAATATGGTCTCACAGTAAGCTGTTGAAGAAATACTCGTGACTTCTAAAGTCGTTCTCCTTTTCTATTATTATTTACTTCGCAATCACCACACTTTTGCTGTTTTACAGAGACAAAAATTTTTAGACTAGTATTCAAATGATTTCTACATACATTTAATAAAATCGACAAGAAACTTATAACAAAAAAATCTAAAACATAGAAGAAAAAAAATAAACATACTGAATTCTATTTAATAAATATTCTGTAGCAGTATATGCAAATGCTCTTTTCCCCATGATGATGCTGTGACATTGATAAACGCTATTAATGATATTTCAATTTCTTTCTGTGAAAAAAAAACACTATCGCGATGAAATAATCATAGATTGCTTCGCTTTTGTTTTCTTTTAGGTTCCAGCAAATATTTTACAGAGAAAAGAGGAAGACAGCTGATTCTCAATGAAATAACCAATCAATAATATGTTTTGTATATTTTATGTAACAAAAATTTTTATTGGCTTCTTTGCTAACAAATAGAATCTGTGTTTGATGAAAACAATGATTCATAGGTCTTTCTTGTAGTTTTTAGTTTAATCAATGAGTGATCTCAGCTGTTTTTTTTCTTTTATTTCAAACCGTTGTTAAGATTATCATGTATTTTAATAGAATGAATGAAAATTTTTTTTGAATTCAAAATAGATTTTATTGGATTCAAATAAAGATCATGTAATATTATTTTATATATTGAATGTTTTTCTATTTAGTTGGTTAGCAACCAAAGAAGGTAAAGATGGACGTATATTAATCTATATATACATACACTATGTTTATGAATTGTCACTGTATTATTTGTCAAGAATTCTATATGTTAAGTAAAGACAACTTTCAAAATTAATATTCGCCATAGTCTGTTTTTATTCAAGTATTATATAATTTAGTATTCCGAATGATGATGACTGTAGAATATTTAGTTCTAGCTAAAAGGCAACCGGAAACTACTACATGCTTGGGAGATCACAGTAAATCTATGCTTGAGAAAAAAAAATTCAGCTATTTTAAACGTATCACTAATGTATATCTCAAGGATAATAGTTGGAGGTCATTTTCAATGTAGATCTTTCTGATAATAAAATGTTAAGATTTCAAGAGTTCAATTTTAATTTGAGTACGTCACATTTGGATAATGTATTTTATTTTATTGTATTTATAATAATTCAATAAGAGTACGCTAATAACATGTCGAATTTGTGATAGAGATGATGAATGAATCATTGACCACAAGAACACAGTTCATCAATAGACATAAATCATATTAAAAAAAAATTATTCAGTTTAAATAGAATTCTTCTGTATGAAGTGAAAATGGTCAGTTATGTTCTTACATATATGATTAGAAAATCTATTTCTAGATGACCAGCATTTCTGTTCCCGAACAAGAACCGTTGCCACAAGATTCAACTAGGTATGATAGATTCTTGTTATGAGACTTTCTCGAACTCGATTGGAAAATTTTTAGTTCTTCAAATGATACATCATCTCGTCGAACAGATTCAAATTCATCAGATATTCGTTCACGCTATTGGACATTTTTATTCGATAATCTAAAACGTTCTATCGACCAAATCTATCAAACGTGTGAATCTGATCAAAATCTATTGCAATGCCAAGTTAGTTTTTCCCACTCGCGAATTAGATTTTTCGAATTATTTATTTTGTTTTTGATTTAGGAAGTTATACAATTTCTTTGCCAATATTGTAAAAATTTTGAAATTCTTATAAAAACCTGTCAGCATAAACAACAACCGAATTCTATTACTGAACCAAAAAGGTAAAATAAAATAAACGAAGCAGTGTTCAATGAAATTTTTTTTTGTAAATAACCAAAAATAATAATTGACTTTCAGAGACTATCTTAGCACTTCATTGATTGAATTACCAATACGATCAGAAAGATCATGTTTCAGGTTATTTGCTTCTTACTTTGATTCTGTCCTGCCCTTGTTTAATCACACCTGGTTTTGATTTTTATAAGATAATAATTCATTTTCGATTTATTTTTAGAACATTTGAACATTCTCAATCAATTTGTGATGGTAATTATACATACGATTATGCTTGTCAAATAAAATTCTAAAAATTGAATTCCTTTTTGTTTAAATTAGGTGAATTGTTTCATTCTGATAATTTTTTACGTCGACAAAAATCTTTACATAACAGTGATATACATTTAAATATAATTAATTCAACTCCTCATCGTTATTCAAATGATTCAGCAAAATCGAAACGTCAAAAAGCAAATAAATATCGTATAATAGCAGAAAGTTCAAGTTTACTTTCATTACCATCATTATTTTCACCATCAACATTAACTAATGAATCCTCAATGACATTAGTTGCAAGTACCAATCAATCATTATCATCGACGAAAAGAATGTCTACTGATGAGACAGTTGAAGATGCGGATGATGAAAAAGATATTCGTGATGATGTTATAAATGCAAATCGACATTATCGATATTATCGACAGTTATCTATAGCATCGAATCATCGAATTAAACAACAAGTATTAACTTCGGAAGAAGATGATGAAGATACATTATTGAGGAATCATCGCGGCATGGTAGATTTTATGGATCGAGTAAGGCAATCGTAGTGTTTAAAAACCTATTTTGAAGCTTTTTTTCTTTTACTTTTGTATACCTATATATGACGAGTAATTACAAGAGTGTGAGTATCGATCTTACTATAGTCCATGAATGTAAGTTTGGATGAAAAGAAGAAAAAAAATCAAGTGTCAATCATTACATTTTTCCTCCTTAGAAAAAAACGATATTTTGAGTAAAAGAGCGTCCTTAGACAAAAGCTTATAACCTTTATATTGTTTAATGCATTAATCATTATTTTAATAATAGAAATCAAAAGTGCACCTTGGTACAGCTTACAAAGATAATTAAACAAAAGAGAAAATTTCAAAAACAAGAATTTATTCTCACGATAAATTATTTCAACAAGTTCTTTTACTTGAGATTTTTTATTCTAATAAACTATATTCATATTTAATGCAAGTGTTTTTGCTGTATTAGATATTTTGAGGAATTCAAGTGTTTCTTTTTGAGTGCTGCTCTTGAAAAAGCGACTCCAGCATTTGTTTTTCGTATCGATTATTTAAATACTCATAGGGTTTGATTCTTGATCTATTACATCGATGAAAAGTACTTTTCCAGATTTTATCTGCAGATTAATGATTTGATGAATATGAATTATAAGATAATTCAATCAAAACCATAGATGACTTAGCCGTAATATTTCACAGATCTCCGAGAAAAAATCCTGTGTTATAGAAAGCAAAAAGCAGCTTGACTTTCACATTATATGCAATATTCCGATTCACTATATTGCCAATAGATTACTAATCAGAGAATAACTATTCATATGAAATTGAAGAAGGACAACGTTGCTGTGGTGATCATTGTTCGAGATTTGACTATAAACAGTTTATTGATTTGTTTCAATGTCAAGAAAAACAAATTCATCTCTTATTTCTTGTAGCAAATATTCGATGTCTTTGATCAAGAAGAATCATTAACGGCGGCGTTAGAAGCAGAACAAGAACGAGCCATTGCTTCATTAATGGCCGAACAGGAAGATCTTGAACAACAATTAAATAATGTCAGTGATGATGATCTTTTACTAGGTGTGGATGATGGTTCAGAATTAGAAGAAAGTGAACTATCGGTAAATAGCTAAAAAGAAAGAAAAATGATTTTCATCTCTATTAGCTTTTTTTTTCCACTGATCTTCTAATAGACAACAAAAACTTCCAGCTATTTTATGTCATTACCTGGTGATCAAGATGACAAAGATTTAAGTCTCATTGATCTTTCACGTGATGATAATGATTCGGACCCTGATGGAAGATCTCGAACAAAACATCAACGTCTGCATGAAAAATTATCAACACCTTCGCGTATTCGGTATGAATCGTATTTGCTTGCTTAACTAATATTAATATATAGAACTCTAATTTGTGTAGACCATTGAGTGAAAGTCTTCGCGAAGCAGCTGAACGTCAAGGTATTAAAATTTAATATTTTGCCAAAATTATTCATCGATTCTTATTTATTTTTAAGCACGAGCATCAAGAAAACGAGAAACATTGCGCGATGAAAAAGCTCGAAAATTACGTGAACTAACGCAACGAGTAAGATTTAAAAAAATATCTTGAACAATTATTACATGTGCTAGAAAACTATTTCAGGTCAATGAAGTTCGTCAATGGAAAGAAGAATTAATAAAAGCACGTAAAACTACAATTGAAATAAAAATGCAACGTGCCGAAGAAAAACGTCAGTATTTATTATTATTAAAAGCTAAAAAAGCTGGCGATGAAGATTTGAAAGGTCAAGAAATAGCATTTATTAAATGTTTACAGCAAGAAAATCGTCGACAAACATTAAAAGAGCGTTATCAAAAGGAAGAACAATACAAACAATATCTAGAAGAAGAGCGTGTTAGAAAACATGATGAACATAAACAAAAAGAATTAGCAGCAGAAAATCGAAGAAAAGAATTAGAAGCTATAAGACAAACACGTCTCAATGAAATGCAAGAAAAATGGAAAACTAAAGAACGCATGATTGAACAACATTTAAGTGAAAAACGAAAACAAAAGCAAACAGCAGCTATTGCAAAACAAAAGTAAATTGAAAATATTATTCGAAAAAACACGAGAAAATTTTATCTGTTCTATGAATTGTTGCCGTAGTTCTTATAATAGAAATAGACCTTGTATTGTCTGTAGTTATGTTTATGAGATATCAACTAGAACCTGAGCAATAAGTGATTCAGTAAAATACCTAGAAAAGGATATTGTATTGTATGAAAAAAAAAATGTTCTGATAGATTTCTATTAGTTTTATCACAGTCCTATTATGAACCAGATATTAATTCGATTGACGAGTTACACTTGAAGGCAGTGCTTTTTCTAATTTTACTTACATTTCAACGTGAACGAAAAGAAGCCGTCTAATAAATCACAGATGGATTGCTAATTAAGCTTTCAATCTATTTGAATTCTATGACGATTATACTATTCTTACTTATTCGATAACTATCTATGATTTAATTGTTTATATCATGTTTCAGAAGTTTTCAAAAGAAACGTGCAGAACGTGTCGAATATCTCGAAACATCAACTGTCGAATTGAAGAAAAAATTAGCACTAAAAGTTTGCTCTATCTTAGATTTTGCTTTTTTCATCGTAGTTTATATTTGATTTTTTTTTTCTACAGCAAGAAGAAAGTGCACGACGACATATAACTCAGCTCGAAGAAATCCGTCGAAAAGCTGTGGAAATGAGTACTTTACGGGGTCCCAGCGCTGAAGATCAATATCATCATGTATCTCCCGTAGGTGATGAAACTAAAACATCAACATCGACAACAAATATACCGATGGACGATGATCCTGTTGCAACTCGTAAATGTTGTACATTATGTAATCTATTGGTTAGTTTTGATCTGTTGGTTTTTGTATAATTGTAAAATTGTTTGAACAAATTTTTCTTCTAGTTAGCGTCTGATTTTCATTTACAAACACATTTACGTGGTACTCGTCATAATCAATTATTAATCGAACGATTCAATCAAAAGAATGAAAATGGTGTCAAAAAACAGCCGACCCAAGAAGAACTTGTAAGAAAATTTTTGTGTTGAGACTTTGTTTAAAATTGAAACAACCAAATCGTCTTTTTAGAATATATTTAATATAGAATGTATAGTCGTTGTTACAAGTGATGACATTGTCAGGCAGGAAATGGCTTATAATCGAGAAAGAAAACATACAATGAAAAAACGATCGAAAAAATTACGTCTTCGTATGAATCAACGGTAAGTAAACGATTTGCATTGACTAAATCCTTTATGATTTTTCTCTAAATTTTCAGTGCTAACACATATGAAACTGAAAATGCTCAACGACCTTATTTAACATCAACACATAAAGCACGGTAAATATACCATAGGGTTACAATAAAAGATGAATTCAATATTAAATAATTTCTTTCTATTTAACATTTAGTATTCAACGATTTTTAAATGAATTAGAAAAATCTCTAAGTACAACCGTAAGAAAAGAACCACTTAATACAACAAATTACTTAGCATGCCAACGTATTCTTACTGAATTTGTTAAAATTTTTGACACACATGGTTATGAAAAAGTACAAAGATATTAATAGTATTTCTCTTTTTTATTTATCATCTATTTAGGATTCACCACTGGAACAACGTGTTTTCTTCAGTTTGAATGGTTATTCAACATTGAACAAAATGATCGAATTAAGGGCAGAATGTAATAAACCAGCACTTGCACCTGAAAGGTAATATACAGTATTTTTCTTGATAAGGAAAACTTTGATGCTCCTGCAATAGGACCATGTAGTTACTATTTAGTCTCTTTATTATTCCTAGCATAAAATATTTACAAGTTTTTATTTATTAAAACAATTTAGTCTAATTGCACTTACTGTGTCCGTGTATCGAGCAGCAACATATAACAACCTTGATAATGCAGTTTACCTGCTTAATAGTGGTAAAATTTTAACACTTGTAGAAAGTTTTGTTCGACATATGAATGTAAGTATCGCATTGTTTTATTGATTATTATCAGGCAAAAGACGCAAACAATATTCATTTTAGGGTTTAAAAAGTGATGTTCTACTAATCAATAACGATCAAAGTGAAAGTGAAAAATTAGCTCAAATTGATTTAGTGACCAATTTAGCTAAAACACTCACTGATTTATTTTTAATGTATAATTCAACAGTAAAAGAAATACGAATTCGTGATAATGAAACTACAGAAGATAAATTAACAATGAGTCGCTTAACAGATTTAATTAGGTAAAATAAAACAAACACAAGACTTTTTTTTAAAATAATACTCATTATATAGTTATATGGCAAATACCGGCGTTCTTGATCGAATAGCATCCTTTTTTCGTACAGCACGTGCACTTGTTAATACAACAAAATCATGTATACCAGATATGATTCTTCATTGTTTGAATCTTCTACAACAAATGATTGATTTTTCTAAACCAAAGTAAATTCTTTTAAATTGTTTTACATGGAAAAAAATTATTTCGCCGTTACCGATTAGATCATATGTGCCTCTATTTGATCAATCATCAAAAAAATCTATCAATGATCCGGCACAAGTGTTAAATATAATGAAATCAACAAATTTTTGTGAGATTCTTTCATTACTCTATGGTATTCTTATACATGAAACTGATCCTAACAATCAAACTATTACGGAAAATAATAATAATAATAATAATAATAATAATAATAATAACAATAATAACAACAACACCAACAACAACAATACTCATAATAATACACTCACTTTACATGAAAAAACAATTACTATTGTTATTAATTCAATGATATTATTGAATACAATCGCTACATTAGATCTTGACACATTTCAAGTAAGTAAATCGAAATATATTAAAAGTTAAATGAGAAGTTCGTATGCTGCAAAAGATTTCCTACTTACTAAGCGTATCTCAAGAAATAACATATAACTATTCTCAAATCTAAAATATAGAACAAATTCAACTTCCTTCTTTGAACTAAAAAATTGTTCTATCTTTTAATTATCCTACATCTGATTAAGCTAAAACTTTCCTCCACTTGATAATTATACTAAACCTTTATTCAAGAAATTTTGAGTTATACTCGCAAAATTTTTATTTTTCGTTTTCGTTAATGACGATTTACACTAATTGATCAGTCAAAACTTCACAGCAATCCCGACCGAGTAAAATTCTCTGACAAGAAAAAAAGTTCACAAAATCCGCTGAAATCTAATGTTAAGACTAAGAAAGGATATTTTCAGGTGGACAAAAATATGTAATTTACTGTATTTTTTAGGCCATACTTGGTGAAGAAACAATTTCTCTACAACTCCGCCATGTAGCTAATTATATTCTTGCTTATTGTAATCATAAACAAACCACGAATAATGACAGTCTTTTACATGAAATTATTCTGTTGGTTGGTTACTATTGTGTGTTAAATCAAGATAATCAAGTAAATCGAGTTCTTTCATTGATAATTTTCAAAAATGAAAATATTTGTGTGATTTCTAGTGTCGTCTGGCATTTGGTAATCGACCTACTGTACTGCAACAATTATCTTGTTTACCATTTCGTTATTTTGTTGAGTCAAAATATATGGATATACTTTTTCCAACATTGATTTCTTGTTCATTTGATTGTGATACAACACGAGCAATACTTCAAACTGAAATGTCACTTGATCTTATAGCAAATTTTATTGAAGTAATTTCTTTTCTCTTTTTAATATTTACTTCATTGAATTTATCTCTCTTTATTAAATAGACAAAATTAACTGAAAAAAAAGCGACCAATGACGATGATAATAAATTCGATATTTCAGCATTTAATATGCGATTTCCATTTGAAGAATGGAATAATGCATTACAGTACTATCGACCAATATCAAAACGAATCGAAAAAAATTATAATGATGAAGAAAAAGAAAATGAATCTCATCGTATTGATTTTGACACTAAATCTTAAAAAAATTATTTTATATTTTTCTCTCCAAATCTCATTTACATAGCTATATATTTTTTCTTTTGTCCACGTGTGTGTCTTTCGCGTTCGCTTTTTTTTATTTTCAACTGGGCATCAAACAAAAACCTGACTCATTGTAACGTAATTCCAATTTTTGTACAAACCAGAATCTCTTGTATATAAACAAACAAAAACGAGTAAAGAACATGGAAGACATTTTCTGTGCTTGTGAAACATTTTTCTAATAAACGTAAATCACTATGTCTCCCATAAAAGAAAATAACCGACTGATAGTGGTGGAGTCATGTGTATTAAAACTTTCATTTTTTTAAATAACTCAATGAACCTAACATGAAAAAATCGAAAGTTCTCTTGACAACATATTTCCAACTTGCTAAAGGCTGTTGCATGCTATATTTTCACAGACACCAGCCGATGGTGAACCATATCCAAATTTCACCAATAAGCGAGCGTGCCCTGTACTTTCGCCATTGGCAAAATTCAGGAATCCAACATAATTAATTTGAATATGAATATGGTAAATAATTATTTAGAGTCATGTTCTTTTATTTTACAAGGAAATCCAACACTTCTCAATGTCATTTATTATCCTCTTTGGTGTCGCATATCACCGTATACTATCGATCTTATTGTTGATTTCATAAGTATCCATGCAGGTCACAGTGATCGACTCCGTCTCCAGACGAAATTGATTAGTACATTGCTTGCATTCGAAGTCAACTTTATTTGTATTTTCAAAATGTATTAGTATCACATCAACGTGTCATAGTCAAAAGTATTTTTTCATGGTGGGTTTGGATACCACCAGTTCATATCAATTACGGTGCTTTCCTCATTCATGAAACATTACTCGCTTCTGCTACCATTGCTAAAAAGGCAACTCCAATTAATAATTGTTCTTTTGCACTTCTGCATAGTGCGGTTGCCTTTATGTGCTTCACCTATAGAATTGTGATTACGACAGTCATCTTTTTTGCTACTCTATTTGTTGTCATGGAAAAAAAGATTAATCAAACGATACATAATTGACCTTCGATTACACTCATTCGTAGATGATGCATCCCGAATAGTGATCTGCTTGACCAAGGAAATAAAAGATTATTCAATAACAGCTTTAATCAGTGGCCAGATCTTCTGAAACCTAGGGGAAATTTCTGAATTTTGAACATGTTTCTGATTTTTTTCTGAATTTGGAATATTTTCAGATCCTGCTTTGTCACTGAAATTTTATATTTCTCGTTAGAATTCTGGCGTCGAATTGATTTTCGGTCATATAAAGCATTTATAGTCCGATTATCATAATCCGATAATATAAAACCAGATAATGCTTAACTTAAAATAAAAATGAATGGTAATTATTCTTGAGAAGGCTTTATTAGCATACGTTATCTTAAACAAACTTCCTAGAGCAAATTCCAAAAGATACGAAATATGAATAACAATACCGAGATGATGGGATTTAACGTTTTTTTTCTCTCGTTGAACTTCTTAATCTACGCAGAATGTATTTGATTAGGTTTGCTCGTTTTTGTGAACGAGTTTTAAATTTAAAAAGAAGCTGTACCAATTTCCCAAAAACTGCCATTTTCTGATTAATTTCTGATTTTTCAATTTTTGATCGGGCCACCCTGGTTTTTATGGTGATTGTGGAAAAATAATCCTAATTGATGTTTTGTGTTCAGAATTTTAAGCTCTTCAAAATGACACAAGAAGATTGAGAATACGTTCATCTACAGCGGAGAAAACTGCGGTATATTCGTCGTGACCAAAATTGGCCACGACGAATGTGTCGAAGTTTTCTCCACGGTAGTTCAATGTATCCTCAATCTTCCTGTATCGTTTTGAAGAGCTTAAAATTCTGAACACAAAACATCAATTAGAATTATTTTTCCACAACCATCATAGAAACTGTTATTGAATAATCTTTTATTTCTTTGGTCACGCAGATCACTAATCCCGAAGAATAAAGAACTAGCAATAAGACTTTTAAAGCTAATGCTGAATGTGTCACTCGCGAAATATTCGGCATTTTCAAAACGCTTCCATGCCTCACCAAAATTAGTCAATAGAATACAATAATTTGCCTCGAGAAAATAAATGAATGTAAAAAAAACTGGACAACTGATCTGTACGAACTAATAAGATGTGAACCGAAAAAGGCTAGTTATTTCTAGTAATTTATTCGAAATCTAAATCTAATATGATGGAAGATTCTACAATATATTCTTGAGTGATATTATTTATTATCATAAACAATGTGAATTTTAAGATCGTTAATTCAATATCGTACTTCAACATTAGATTTTTGTGAAAGCAAAGTGTGCTAATCAAGTCATGTGTTTATTTCTATTGAAATGAAGAATTAAGTAATTAATAAACTTAAGGTTTCAAGTTTACTTCACTCTATCTTTCGTCAACAAAGATAATCTTCAATATTTCTTGATTCGAAATTTTTTTGTTAATATCTAGGAAATAAAAATATGTGAATCTCTAGTGCATTTATTTTAAAATAAATTTTGTTTTAACTTAAAAATGTAAAAAGCAAAGACTATGTATAAAACAATAAAATATCACTCTGATATTCTAAATAAGTGTATTCTTCCTAATTTGAGCATCGCATACCTGAAATTCTCCCGAAGAAGAAATTTTACTCTCGTTAAAAGCAACATATCGAAAAGAATGAAAACCAGCATTGAATTCAGTAGCATTGAAAACGATCACATGTTGATGTTCACCCGACGTCAAATCCTGGCTTTTTCTCTTGATTCCGTTTAAAGACCGATAAGTTATCCACCAAAGGCCATCCAATGATAAATTGAAATCGAGATTATCTTGTAATTCTTGTGTATGTCCAACCGTAAGTGAGAATGAGAGATTTGTTTGAATACGTAAAAAGTCAATAGCGAAAAATTCTCCTCGACGCGCATTTCTTCCAGGACGCCAACAGGTTTTCGAATCATTATCAACTGCTGACAACGTCGTATGAGATAAAAAGAAAGCAACGCTTGGTCCTCTTGGGAGATTCTTTCTTGTACTTCGTTCAAAATCTTTTGAAATATTAAATGGAATATTTTCAATATCAATTGGAAGTATATTAGTAAAAAATATGAAATCATCTTTTAGACTTGATGATTTTATGTAATATGGAAAACGACGATTTGACCGACGCACAAAACCTAGATGACTGGTAGCATTCGATTGATTGTAACGTAGATTATGTTCCAGAATACGAATCGCTAAAATAGAACTTTGATGTTGATATTGCAAGAAATTTGATGAAGAAGAAAATGATGCACCAGAATTACGTCCAGTCAAGCCATAAATATTGATATTGAATTGTGATGGAATATCATTGAGCCAAATAGAAAAAAACACATCACTTAAATATACTAAATCTATTCATAAAAATATTATTGGTATGCTATAGACGATTTGACTTCCATTTACTTACTGCGATTATTTTTCAAATAGACTTGTAAATATTGAAGGTGTCGTTGGGCATATTCACGTAAGAAAATACTTCCGCAACCAATCCATGAAAAACCAGTATGCAAATCAATATTTTTATCAAAATAGGTCCATACTAAATTTGTATAGAATGTGTAGGGCTCCGTAGCAGAGTGTAATACATAGGGATCGGATCGAAAGTCAGCTATGAGACTTTTCAAATAGAATGATGCATTCCAATCATCATCGACATAGAAGCAAGCCATAGTTTTTGCTTCAGCACATACACGATATTTGGCTTCATCTTTGAGATTCTCTTTTGAGTTGATAATGCGGATGCGATTTAATGATGCGTTATTTTTTACAAGTACACTTTTTTCAAGATTAATTTCTGGGTTATTGTTCCAAATAATAATTTCTTTGAAAGAATTACAATCGAGTAAATAGCTTACAGCTCGTTTAACACTTTCTGTTCGTTTCCAATGAAGTAATACTGCCGTTAAATCATACTTATTTTCAAGTTCGATTTCGTATTGTTTCGATTGAGCAATTTCGAAATCACTCAAACCAATATTGATTTCATTTCCATAATTATATCGAGCAAGTTTGCTGGCAAATTGATTGGGAATAGCCGGTAAAAAATTAGTGAATTTTGGAAAATAATGTAATGTTTGAAAGAAAAATAGTAATACGAGTATGTTTATTAATAATATTGCATACTCTTTCTGCATTGCTAGAGTATGTTGATTGATAATATGCAATGTCTTATTCAAGTTCGAATATTTATGAATATCCAACCACTTGCTGTCAATCCGAAAATAAATGAAAAACTTTGAATTCTCACATAATTGAACAATCAGAAAAGATGAGAATAGATTTTGTTTTATTTGTATATAAAATTTGAATACATATAAATATCGATACATTGTCTGAAAATCTAGAAATAGGTTTTTCTTCTTCCTTTTACTGATCCTCTACTTTGTTGATAGATTAGATATGAGCTACATTACTATTTCAGAACTCTTGAAATGGTAAAAAAGAAGCAAATTAATGATTAAATCAGAAACAGAAATTTCGATCACTAGTGAACACCTTTGAGAACTTTAGCAGTTCGAAAATGTTTTTATTCACGATTTCTTTGGTAACTTATTCGATCGATTCAGCATATTTGACAATTGATAACTTACTCATCGCGTCGTCAGTATCATGCGGCAGTCGTTGATTTCATCGTGATGTTTTACATCGATTCCTACAGCAGCATGCGCTCTTAATTAAACGAAAATAACCAATTATTCGATCTGTTAGCAGTATTTGGTTGTAGAAATATATTTTAAGATAAATACTGCTGACGCTTAATATCGTATTCGTACATATGTTACTCACCGGGTAGTGTATGTATTATACTTTTCAGCGTGCAAAGAAAGCAACATGAGAACTATTTCAAAAAGCCTTCAGTTCGGATTAAGAAGATTGCATTACTTAAGCAGAAAGAAAAAAGTCTTAAATCGAGTAGTTATCAAGTTTCGTTGTGGTGACAAATTGACCTGAGTAGAAGAGAAAGAAATTTTAACTATTCTTATTCTTACAATCGATATGACGGTTACACAATGGGGGAAAGCTGATTTCATTGATTCTGTGTGATTCCAGTACTATAAAATCAATTGTTTTCTCTTTGATTTTTTTATGGCTAAACAAAAATCAATATCAGATCAGATTCGTGTTCAGAATGAAAAGCTAATTGTAATCAAGATGAAAACAGCTGAATTCAGAGCGTTGGAATCATTCGGAATCACGAGAACTCACTGAAGAATCTCACTGATTCCGAATGATTCTGTTGATTCTACCTGATTCCAATGATTCTATCACTACAGAATCAGCTCCCCTCCCGTGGGGTTATAGAAAACCTAAGCCAAATAAAATACAAAACTTTAAATGAAGGAATGCTTACATTTTATAACTAAAATATTTTTATATAAAGAAAAAGCTAAATAATTACGATAATTACTGCTATTTGTTGATAGAATCCACTTTTCTTGATAAAATAATTATCCTTGAAGTGAAATACTACTTATTTGTCATTCCAACATTCAGAACATCCGAACGATAGTAAAAATAAACTCATTTATTTCGATAGAGTCAAAAATACCTATTGCAATGTGTTTGAAATCGAAGATTAATTGTGATTTATTTTTATATTCAATCACCCGTCCAAAATTCAGCAGCAATCTGTTTCGTCGTCTGTCTTTTGGTGTAATACATGCAAGGGAGAAATAGCAGACTCCACGACTCCGCTTGATTCCGCTTGACTCCACTCTAATATGAAGTCCTTAATTTTCTAAAAATATGATACTTTCCATTTCCTTCATTCACTATTGAAAATAAAGAAAAAATAATGCCAGTAAAAAAATCGTCTGAACTTTCGCAGATGCTACAGAAATCACTCAGGAGATTCAAATCGACAGTAAGAACCGATGAGATCCGATAGGATCCTATTGAGTTCCCATCGGTTTCTCATAGGATTATGTCGGATTCCGGGTAACGGGCCTACAGTCGGATCCTCGGTGTCGGATTCCCATGAGATCCTACAGACGAACTCCCTATAGGAACCCAGATCGGGAAATCATCGTATGCTACAGTCGAAACCGACAATAAACCGACCATTTCCAACACTCGGATTCTATAGACTTACTACAGGAATCCATCGGTTCTAACGGGATTCTACAGAATCCGACGAAAACCAACAATAGGAATCCGAATAGATTTCAGACACTCAGTTTTCATAGGCTCCAGTAAGTTCCTATAGGAAAATATTAAATCTGATGAAATTTCAACCAGAAGTTTGTCTTCGACGAAATTTACACCAGTATCAAGATCCGCCAGCCACCACATCTCCGAAAAAAGTCATATCAAAGCTGCTAAATACTTCCATACTGCTCTTTTATCATCAGTCTTTATCAAAATCTATTCTATCTACATGACTCAGCTAAGTCGCATACACCCAATCATTATTTAACAATCCAAAACAACACGCCACACATTACAGAGCCTTCAAGAGTCTCTACAGATTGCCGCCACTCAACAACTCCTAGCCCTAAACCCATCGACCCTGTCTGCGTATTATTTCCAAGACCAGTTCCGCAACCGGCATCCCACTCCTACTCAATTTCACGCCTCCACACACACAATTTGAGCTTAATAAGGTAGCATTCAATTCCATAACAAATCTTCAAAAACACGTCACCCTTGCCACAGACAACATCACTTACACCATACCAAAAATGATCGCAAACCCAACATCCAATTCGAAAAAACAATCATTTTCATAACATCTATATCGTTCATTGCCTTATGCCTCAATCAGTTCACCGTATCAACATTACTGTTAGATAATGTATTTCATTATATTTCTTTCTACCGATATGTAAGTAAAGTTCGAATCCACAAAAAATTGACCTATCTTTATATTTTATCAAGAAACAAACTGAAACGGATTTTACATAAGCAGCATACGTCTTTACAAATGAAAAAAAAAACAAGAGGAGAAACGCAACATGTCAAAATATTTTCTACCAGATGTCCTTCCCAATAAACACCATTTCATACTCGTCTACATCACATCTTATCAAAGCGTCATTACATCAATCGCATCGTCTCGAATTTTACTTGCACTTTCCTATAATCGCTACCGAAAACAGCTACTTCCGAATGTCCATTACTATAATTTCCACAACAATACATCACGCACTCTACAAAAACAAGTCCTCACAACCTCTCATTTCCATATTTTCAAATCCACTTTTCAAGCAACCTACTCCAAACAACAAAAAACACGTGACGATCCGAATGCCGCAATATACCACAATTCGGTAAAATCTGTCTCGAACCATGCCGATTTTCACCTTTCGCTGCTCACACATACCGATTTACAAAAAAACAAACGGTGACTCTTCATGATTTACATGACTTTGATCCCCATTCATATAACAATCACGAAAAACAATTTTCTGCTAGCGATAACTTGCATGATTTTAATGCCCATTCATATATCGATACGGCAAAAAAACAATTTCCTACTCGTGATTGTTTGGATGATTTTGACTGAAGGTAGCGAACGGATTTTGAAAAACAATTTTCGACTTGTCATGATCTCGATGATTATGACGCCTACTCGTATACCAATTCAGAAGCAAAATTTTCTGCTCGTGATGATTCTGATGATTTTGATGACCGCTTGTTAACGAATCAAGGGGAAAAAAGCGGATTCCGTCTATCCGGGATACGTGACTATCCACACAATCCAGAGGATACGATGGTGATCCATCCGATCCGTACAATACGCACGATACATTACAGACACCGAGGATGCGAGTTCATTTCATTGAAAAATGCAAAATATATAGGATAGATGTAATATTAGTACGATGAGTCACTGCTGTTGAAAAGTTCATTCGATTTGAAGCAAATTTTTAATGGTTTTTTGTCATTTATTTTTCCCATGAGCATATTTTTTCATGCAGTGAAATGGATTAAGTGTAAGAGAAATAACAATTCGATTTGCACAGTGCCAACTAGATCTACTAGTTTTATGTCTATTCAATTTGTGCAAAATATTTTACCGAGTTAATAGGTATAAAAGTCATCCAACATAAGTAAATACTGAGCTTGTTTCCAATCGAAATTGTTTGACTTTGCTAACTTTCATATACGTATAGGAAACTAATTTTAAGGATGACGGTACAAATGTTTTGAAGAAATGTCGTTCCGCTGTTAAGGTATTTAAATGTTTTGAGAACCTAACTGCAAAAAGCTACTCCTTTTTTTTGAATATGTCTACATGCATTTCTCGACAACTATACATTTATTTACGTCGAAATTTTGAACATACACACATCTCAAGCTCATCAAGTTTTCGTATAAAAATATGGTCAAATGAATGAAATATGAATATATGGACCAGTATTGCCATGTACACAAGGAAATTGTCATCTATAGATGTTTTGTGGATAAATATATCTCGTAACTCG